TAGGGAAGCGGTATCTCTCTCTCTCGCTCTCTCTCACTCTCTTCCACCATTCAACGGCTGAAAAAGAGCCCGAAAAGGCGAAGGGAAAAAGCGCCCTTTTTCGAACGGTTCAACCAAAAAAGGGCTGGGGGGGGGGGGGCAAAAAAGGACTAGTGCAAATGGGGGGGCAAGGGAAGTGAGGGGGGCCGTACCGGGACGCGCGCCGTTTGTTGGCTTGCACTTTTCATAGCCTAGAGGGAGGAGGCCTGATGGGGGGAGAAGCGGAAAAAGAGTGGACGCGAGACCAGGCTAGCTATCGAGACCACACCACTAACCCGCAGCCTGTGTGGGTTTGTGCTTCCTTTTAGGAGTGGCGGGGAGGGGGTCGCTAGATAGTGCTTCCGAGTTCTTGAGGACACGAAGGTTGTGTGAGATGGATTTTATGTTTTTACAAAAAGCAGCTAAACGAGAAAGTAAAAGAGACATTGTGAGCGCGATTCAGTGAGAGCGAGATGAGAGAGAGAGAGAGAAAGGAGAGAGAGAGAGAGAGGCGAGGACCAGCTTTTTGGTAACTATATTTCGAAATTCGCGAAGCCACTTGGTGCAAAAAAAAGATTTTTCGAGAAACCATGTTCCAAAAAATTATTTTTGGTAAGTCTTACATAACAAAACATCAAGATTTTCCAAAATTTCGACAGTTAGTCCACAATTTTTTCGAAATTCTGGGAAAAAAAAACATTGAGGCCGTCAATTGATTTTGAGCTATGTTGCTTTTAAAGGATTTTGACTCTCCACCTTTTCAGCCCTCTGTCTCTCGCTTACTCTCTTTCTCTCTCTTTCTCTCTCTTTCTCCCTCGTTTTCCAGAGATCCACCTGTTTTTATAGCATTTCCGCTCCACACCCCGCGCGCGAATCCGGAACGGTAGCGCTCCGCCACCAGCTAGCTTTTCGCTAACCATGCCTCCTCCTCTTTCTCTTTCTGCTCCCTCTCACTTCACACGCTCTCTCGCCTATCCAGGCTGGCTGCTAGACCGTGCTCGTGCCACCCAAAGTGCACATAGCAAAACCCCCGGCCCGGTCCCCTCAACCAACCACACACAAATACCCGAAAAAACCCGATTCCCTACCCGCAGGGGTTTTTGCTGGCTGTTTTTGGGGGAAATTCCGGAAATTGGAATCGAGCCATTGTTTTGTGTTTTGGGGATGAGCGAAAAAAAATACTTTGGTCGTTCCGCAAAAATGCAGCTGCATCGGAATAAATCAAATCAAAATGGGCACGTCGATTGAAATAAGAGGTCAGTAAAAAAACGGTATGCGTTTATATTGAAAAAAACGGAACCGTCTAGAAACAGGTGGATTCCAGCTGGGTTTTTTTTAAATTGGCCGAACCAAGCGAAGCCCGATGCCGAGCTTAAGCCTACGCCGACGCCTAGCGCGAGACCAGGGCTAAGCTTAAGCCATTGCAAAACGCTTCGGCATTTCTGACTAAAAATTTTCAATCGAAGCCTAACTTCGAAGAAAAACCCTCACCCGTCTCGTGTAGCTTCTCGTACTCCTCCTCTTGCTCGGCCCACTGTTGAGACTCTTGGTCCAAGTCAGTTGTTTTTGCTAAAACGGTGTGTGAACTTCAAATTCAGAAAAAAGCCTTGAAAAATATAACTTTACTTCTCTTCTGGAACACATGATACGGTATCGGCTCGAGCGGCCACTCAGCCGGGTCCATTGGCCATTTCCGGGGAGACGATCGGCCTGCTACATGTTCGCCGATCACGACTGAAAATGGGTTTAGAGAAAGAGAGAGAGATAGAGAGCTAGCGAGAGGGAGAGAGAGAGAGAGAGAGAGAGAGAGAGAGAGAGAGAGAGGGAGAGAGTGAGAGCTATAGAGAGGGAGAGAGAGAGAAAGCGAAAGACGGCGATAACTAATTAATCTAATTTGACGAGAGATAGTTCGTTACAAGTATTACACTATAAAGTATACATATGCTGAAGGTGTATACTTCATGGTGTCAGTCAACAGCAAAATTTTACAACAAAACAATGATCACCATCAGATTCCCGTTTTATGCGAAAGTTCAGCCCAATCCGATTTGTCATTCCCAGGCTGGTATCAGAACTTTAGGATTAACGGGTATTGAACAAGTTTCATCCTTGGAAGATTGCTGAACTACAACGGTTTAGAGAAAATTGACTCTGAACGGGCCGATTTTGAGCATTTTTTGACAAAACAACGCTTCACAAAATGTGAACTTCGAGTAACTCATTCTCGAAAACCGTTGTCGTTCAGCTCTTTTTTGAAACATGGGGCTTGTTCGGAAATCCGAAGCTCTATCGAATGAGCGGTTAGGGTAAGATTTACCCCACCCCCCCCCCCTCCCCAGCCGGCACCCAACTTTTATCTCAGCTCCCTGTTCATCTGCAGGTGTGTGAAATATTCCAAAAGGTTTGCCTTGCTCTGGCAAATATTTTGGTATACTTTACACGGCTGTAGATGAACAGGGAGCCGAGATACGGTAGGTGGGGGTGGGGTCGCAAAATTCCAGGATCACCTATAAACCGCGTTGTAAGTAAGGAAGTCCGAAACGGGCAGAAACCGAGCGCAGTGTTCACAAAATTCCTAGCATTTTAAACAAGTTATGATGAAAAGTGCGTGGAACATTTAGCGACCAGTTTCCTGGGCCCAAAATAGCCCGATGGCATGGCTGGGGGGCCCGGATGTGAAAGCGATCCGCCCCGGCCCCCTGGGTGGCTAATACCGGATTTTGCGCATTTTCCCCGCGTCATTGGGTAGCTTTTTTTTATTGCGGGCACGTGGGATCGTTCCAAAGGATTTTGGTTAGCGCGAGAAGATTCCGGCGGCTTTTTGGTACATCCGCGGAGCTTTTTAAGGCCATTCGTGACAATGTCGCGCTGGCGGATATAAATTTGGCTGGCTGGAAGGGGATTAGGTGTTGCATCATGTTATACAATGCCGATCGTAACGTAAAGTTAGCTCTACCAAAAAAATAGAAAATCATTCAAAAGTCCGTCCAAAAATTCAACAACTTGCTCGTTCTGTTGGTTTACAGCTCCTAAACATATGCAAATTTTTCAGTCTTTTTATAAAGTAATTTTTTGGATTGTATGAACACAAAGAAAGCGCTTATTAGCTTCTGAGGGCCATCAAAAAATTTCTGGAGCTACGCTTGTTTCGGAATTTAGGCACTAGACTGTTAGCGGGAGAGGAGCGATTTATTTTCCGTCGACGCTACCTTAATTATCTCTATCTATTTTCTTAACTCATTAAGTCGTTCTATGAATTTTTAGTATACCTTAAAGGCTAGGAGTTTATCAACAATGTTTTGACAATTACCGAAAAATCCAACGTTAGCCTATTTTTCCTGCATTTTTTATTAAAATTCAAAATTTGCGAGAACTTTTATATTTTCACAAAGCAAAAACTGCGCAAAATGGCATAGAAGCCATTTATTTTCGTTATTCATGGGACGCGCTTAATGGCAGGACATGGTTTCCCACACCAACCCGCCCCCTCCCCCTAACAGTCCAGTACCGCTTGGGACTAGAATAGTAAAAATCCGTAATTTCACGAAATCGACCCAACAGGGTGCATTTCCGGTCTCTGGTCATGTCGATGAAGTGGTAATCTTGAATTCCGACGAAAACAAGAGCTACTTTCGGTAATCCATTTTAAAATCTTTTTTATAATTCTATAAATCAAGCGAAGTGATCATTGAAAGGACTAGGGATCTTTGACATCCGGTCCGGGCGTGTTGAAAATTTGTGGACATGGTATGACTACGGCAAAGACGATAATAACAGGTCTGAAGATGCGGGAAAAGCCGGGAGGGAACACCGGCTTTAGGCGCCACCTCCTCCTCACACCCCATTTGGGCCCTCTCTACGATTAGGAACACATACTCTCCTCTGGCTGGCATGTGTCTGAGAAGCCAGGTGGCGCCCCCCTAATTACCGGTAGCTCCTGGAGGGGGGAAGACTGGAAGCAGCCGGAGGGCTGTAAATAGGAGGATGTCTCATCGCTAGCTCTCTTTCTCTCGCTCTCTCTCTCTCTCTCGTTCTCTCTCTCTCCTCATACTAACAACCACCGACATTCCCTGCGGGCCAATAACCAATTTTGGATCCCGACACTCGAAAGCCTACCAAGTTTTTAATGAGGCGTGCAGGTGTGGTTGGAACGTCCCGTAATTATTCGGAAAAAAACTTGTACCTGTTGATACAGAAATTACAAGCCCCGCATTAGTCAGCCGGGAACTTGAAAATTGCTTCAATCGGGTTTAGCAAATTTTCCGAGCTCCGAAGGGTTTCTGTAATCCATAGAGAATGATCTCGAGACGGAAAGAAAGATCGAGGACGAGAGTCAGAGAGAGAGAGAGAGAGAGAGAGAGAGAGAGACAGAGAGAAGGGGAAGAGAGGCAGAGACTGAAAGCTATTAAGCTAGTCATAAACACACCGAGACTACGGTATATAAAAAACGGCCCTGGGTCCCTCTCTCGCTCTCCTATTTTTTTTCTCGCTCCTGCTCGCTCTCACTCTCTCGCTTCTTATCTGAGTCACTTTTTCAATCTGGTTCCCACATTGTTTAATTTCCTTAATTTTTCTTTTTTAATTATTCTCTATTTTTATTTTTAATCAATTTAAAATCCACTATTTTTAATTCATCCCTTTGAGTTGTATTATTTTTGAGAGCATCTGAAGCCTTGGTTTTTAGGCTATGGTAATCAGGGCCAAAAAATGTTTGAGAAATTGATCGCATCTTTATCTCTGCTTTAATGCGGCAACTATTTGCTACCCGGCGCCCCCTCTTCTCGGGCTACCGTATCCAAAGGGGGCTAGACGCCAGACCACTCCGCCAGTGTGCCGCCTATCCGGCGAGACACGCGTGACTTGTACGGGCGCGTTGTAAGACTGGATTTTAATGCCCTTTTCCGCGCGTAAGGCAATAGATTATGTATAAAAATCATTGAATAAAGTAAATTTAACGATTTTTCAGGCTAAAACTCCGGGTAATGAGCTACAATGGCGGTAGAGAACCCTGGGAGATCGCGCAGCAGCAAAGTGAGTTTAAATTAAGCAAAAATATAGGTTCAACACGAGCATCTAAGCTTTAAATAACATTATTTCTTGATTTTGCTAATTTAACATAAAAATAAATAGTAATAAATTGCGAAATACGCAAAAAGAGGCAGTATTTAGTGTAAAACAAATTTTGCCCTTTTTTGCTTCGTATTTCTGTTAATTTGCATAATAACTTCTCGTGGATTATATCAAGTCAATAAAAAGTATTTTAGAAACTTTTTGTTTCAGAAAAATGCTATAGAAATTTTTATATAGTTTTTTTCAGCACTAAAAGGACGGGTACCAGTGATACACAGCCTGCAGTTGAGGCAAACGGGCGGCGGAAGACCTCCTAGATTAAATGTAAGTTAAATTTTAATAGAATTTAGTGTTATAGAACCTTTAGAACCGTTTCTATATGTAAAAATTTTAAAAAAAACTGAATTTTTCCAGGACTCAGCCAAGCTAAATAGCCAGTTCTCGTCAGCGAAGGTGATGAAAAAGGTAGGGGATACCCTAAAAATTAATGAAAATTTTTAGAGCAGTGAAACATTGACGATTTATCTATATACAGCACCTCTATGAAAGCAAAAGATCGTTTTTAAATTTTAATTACAGTACCCACCTCGTCTCGACCCACCTCCAGCCCCTTCCCAACAAACCGAAGTCCTGAAGCTCGTCCCGAAGACATATCAAATTATTCATACCTCGGAGCCGATGAATATAGGTGTGTTTTAGAGTAGTAAATATCATAAAAAATAAAAAACCTGATTATAAAAATATATTAAATTTCAGAAGCCACGGATCAATGTGAAGTCGATGGTGTGATTTATGACGACATCGAATCTGTGGAGGGAGCGGAAGTGGGCTTTTCGCTTTTGGCTCCCGCAAGTCGCTCTGCCTCTCTCGTTCTGTCTGTCTCTCTCTTTCACTGTCTCGCTCCATCACTTTCTCTCTCTCTCGCTCACGATCTCTATGCCAACATTTTCAGCTGGTCCAACACGTCGAACTTTTTGAAGAGCAGCCATCTTTCGAGGGAATTGGTGAGTTAACTTTAGGCTTTTTAGAGGTATTTTTTTATAAATTTTTATAAATTTATATAGATTTATAAATACTGAGATTAATGTTCTTAGATTTTGCCTGGAACGAGTACGACGAGAGCGTCAGAAAGTGCAAATCCTGCAACCTGATCATGCCTCAGTTGGAGATGCTGGAACACGTGCGGGCTTTTCATCGCGGGTGTACGGTAGGTACCACTTACGCCGAAGCCTAAGCCCAAATCGATTTCAGCAAGCAAGAGGCTTCCCACCACGCCCGACCGGAAATCTCTGGTGCCCATATCCGCATTGTAAGGTCTGCCTCTACAGCTATGAATACCTGATCGCCCACCTGATCGGCTACCACAACCAGGAGCAGTTCAAGAGAGAGGAATTTGCTTTTAACAATGAGGATGAGCTGAGGGTGAGCTTTCCATCTCTCTAACCGTCTCTCTCGCTCTCTCTCTCTCTCTCTAATTCCTTAATTTTAGGATTGGCTCCAAAAACACGAAGAAAAGGAGGGAAAGCTTTGGGAGAGCCCCGACGTCGTCAACGAGTATTCCGAAGATGGGATCACGGTGATTCGGACTCAAAAAATGTTATATTGCGAAAGGAATGCACAGACGTTTCGCTCGGTGGGTTCCTCTCTCACTCTCTCTCTCTCTCTCATCTCTCTCTCTCTGTCTCTCTTTCGATCCCTTTTTCGTGTTCTCTTGCTCGCTCTCGCTCTAGTAGAAAATAGATTTTAGACCTCCGAAACTCGTGCTCCAACGGTCGCCTGCCCATTTTTATGCACGATCGAGACGCTGGACAATGGGTGTGTTTTTAAGGTTTTTATCTCTGTTTAGCTCTTTCTCTGTCTCACCCCCTCTCTCCTTCTCTCTCTTTCTCGCTCATCAAACAGTCTTTTCTAGCTTCGTGATCCTCTCCGGAACGACCTGTCACCTGGGTCATAAGAAAACTGTGCCTATGGTCCTAGCTCCAAAGAATATTCTTCGACCCCAGAAGACGTCGGGATTCTATAAGGAGGTAATTTAGGATCCGCTATCTTAAGCCTATAGAATTCTTTTCATAAATATAATTTAGTACCGTTGCCACCCTTGCCGACGAGTCTTCCCAGACCCCTCAACACTACAGTACCATCAACGACTACGACATGGAGTTATTACCATGTTGGGAGGACAGGTATGAAAAATAACGTCCGTCTCATTAATGCACATATTTAGTGCCGCCGTCCAAACATCATGTGCGCCGAGTGCGACGGCTCGTTCGAGAATATGCCCTCGTATGTCAGCCACGTCAAGGAGGATCATCTCGAGCCAGGCCACACGATGAAAATCGAGTCCCATCTTTTTCACAGTACGCAGGAGCTCGAGGTACGTATAAAGGCTCCTCCTCCTTCTGTTAGTCAAACTCATTTGTTCATAAATCATCTTTGCTAGCTTACCCGGGACCAATTTCAATTTTACTGAAACACGCTACTAGCCCAACTTCGAACTAACAGATTTTACAGATTTTTCCACCGCAGTTTCGACAAATTTTGCTTTCTTGATTATCTTTAAATTTTTACTACCTGGGTTCCTGCTTGCTGCAGCTCTGCTTGCTTGCCGGCGTTTCCAACCAGTATTGCTTCAAAAACAGAGCCTAAGCATAAGCCTAAGCCTAAACTTAAACCGGAATCGAAGCTAAAGCCTAAGCCTAAACCTAAACCTAAGCCTCAGCTTAAACCTAAGCGTAAGCATAAGCTGAAGCCGCCGAGAGTTCCCAATTTCCCAAAAATCTTTGCAAAGCCTCCCTGCTCAATATGATCAACTCCAAACTTTTTTCAGGACTGGAAGAACAAGGTGGAGAACGAGACATGTGCTCTCTTCGTCTGCTCCTCCGGAAAAGTCCGCCCCAAAAACACGCTCGGCACCGGAACCTCGCATCAATATCTCCAATGTTACCGTTCCGGGCATCAGAGCCGGAACCATGGTGTTGATCACGTCGAAAAGTTTCGGCGGAGGAAGAGCAAAAAGATCAACGCCTTTTGCACGGCGTATATCAACATCGCCGAGACGAGCCGGGGGTTGATATCAGTCAAGTGCTGTCTGTCGCATTTTGGCCATGACATCGAGCCTGAGCACTTGCCTTTGAGCAAGTTCTTGAAGGTGAGCCCGACATCCTTTATTTAGTATTCTGATGCCGAAAATTGGTTTCGGGGTTCCCTGAAAAATACTTTCCTTTTTACAGAGCCGCGTTGAAGACCTGCTCCGGCTTGGCAAAGATTTCGACGACATCCGCGAATCCATAGCCAACGAATCGCAGCCCACCGAGCGGGGATATTTCTTGAAGAAGTACGAGGTCGTCAATGTAGCAAAGAGACTCGTCCGTCTCGAGCCGTTTATCATCCTCAACAACCGGTTGGTTCCCGAAAGCGCAGACGTCGTCGGCAGCATCATTGAAGATACGGGGAGAGGTGAGTAAAAATGCGGAATCCTGTAAAACTAAGCCTGTAGCGCGCAGATTCTTTAACTGAAAGCTTATGCAAGCAAGTGAATTTTTCAGGTCGAAACCGAAACATCCCGCTCGGATTTGACACCACTACCCGGCTGCTGTTGAAGCCGGAGCCCAGAACTAGGTACGAAAAGGTTCTTTCTGGGCTTATATCGCTCTCCCTCTCTCTCGCTCCCTCCCTCCCTCTCTGTCGCACACTTTCCCTCTCTCTCACGCTCTCTCTCTCTCCCTCTCTGTCGCACACTTTCTCTCTCTCTCTCGCTCCCTCCCTCCCTCTCTGTCGCACATTTTCCCTCTCTCTCTCGCTCTTTCTCTCACTTTCTCTCGCCTCAAACTTCAATTTTCAGAAGCAGCTACGCCTTCGATACCTTCCGACAGGAGCCCGACACCTTGGTATTTCCGGGCCCTTCCACTTCTTATGCCGATGAGGGACTGGGATTTTTGGGTACAGCTTCAAAGCTTTTTGCCACTTAAACTATGCTGGATTGGTCCTTTAAAATAAATTCAAGTCGTCGTTCTTTTCAGATGATGAGCCCTCTACCTCTTCTCGACCTCCAGAACCCAGACAACTGACATTTGTGAGGCATCGGGTAGCTAGAATTCCGAAGATTTTGAAAATTTCCTTTTTTCTAGCGAACCTTGGACATGCCCGAGATCGACTTGGGTCATAGGAGGATGGGCACGAAGGCGGTAAGCAGCTAAAAACTATTAATATTAAATATGGTTAAAACAGCTATTTTTTGCGTTATTGTTATGACTTTTATATACATAACTGATTTCAGCTCCTTGTCGACGACGGGATCATCTACGACCCGAGAGCACCAAATATGGAAATAAGGCCTGCGATTAAGAAGACGCCGCTATTAATGTAAGGTCACTAATTAGCTCTGGCTCTCTCTTTCGCTCTCTCTCTCTCTCTCTCTCTCTCTCTCTCTCTCTCTCTCTCTCTCTTTCCTTCTAATTTCGGACTCTTCAGGCTTCCAACTCCCAGCGAGGACGGTCAACTTTCGCATGATCTGACGTACAACCTACAGGTTTATAGTTTCGAAATTCCGATACCTAACAAATTCCAGGACACCGTACGAGCGCTCAAATACGAAGTGGACCCCATGAAAATTGAGGACCTCCGGATTCAGAAGGCCAAAATCGAGGCCAAGATTGCTGAACTGGTGCCACAGGTCGGATTTGAATACAAACACGCTTCCGTAAATATCTTTTTTTTCTTAAGGATTTAAGTAGACAAAAATTATAAATTCATAGGCTAGTTTCGCTTATTTTTCTCGTCAAATTTCTTTTTGAAATGTTGATACGGATCCTTGTCTTGTTCATCCCTTTAAAACACGATTCTAGACCAAATCCGGAAACCGACTGATGCTTGACGTTGTGGATGACCACCGGAAGGACCCGCCACTGCTTGAGAAATCCCAGGCTGAGCACCAGTTCATCACTTATGATCATGATTTTGGCAGTTTCGAGTATCCAGAACAGGTCAGCAACTTCAGAAAATCATCTCTTTTTGAATCTTTTTGAATCTCCGATCCTTTTTAATCAAAAAAGCTAATTTTACGACTTGCAGGACGACAACAGCTTCATCGACCCGCTGGAGACGATCGATCCACTTGGGGATTTTTAAATTTGGTTTTTTTATGTTATATTTCTCTCTCTCTCTCTCTCTCGCTCTCTCTCAAGGTCTATCGTCATTTGCTCAAAAAACTCTGACAAGACGTTTATTCATAGCTCAAAGCAATACAAATATGGTAAAAAACAAAGCCATAGCCAAATTTATTGCTTGTTCTTTTGCGCAGACTCTTGCTCCTTGCTTTCTCTCTTGCTCAGGCTCCCGGAATTATTTGATCGTGCTTCGCTGGCTCTGCAGGCTTCGGTGACTCCAGGGCCGAATGGTTTACCTGAAAAATTGTGATTTTAGGCTAGTTTTTCATAGTTTTTGATTTATCTGTGATTCGGCATGTTCCGCAAATTTAACTTATGTGACGCTTTGGCCAAAAACATCTGCTGTTTTTGGACGTTTCCAAAAAAAAACCAAAAACAAAGAATTTGTGCGAATCTAAGGTTACAAGGTATAAATGCTTGGTACCCCGAATTATGCAAATTTGTACAGAAGAGCTTGAAAATCTCGAAATACCGGATGGTCAGACGCGCGAAAGAACGACAATTTTAGAAATTGAAATTTGTAAAATTCATACGTATTTTTACACTTCATAATTTGGTATGGTGAATATAATTTAATTGGCGAAGCATAAGGATAATAGAAAAGAAATGTATAAAAAATTTGGAAACTGAAAAATACCGGTACAACCGCCTGGACGCTTGGGGATACGGTAGTTGTCGTAGTGGTTGGTGCATTAATGGAGGGAGCAGGAGGTGGGGGCAAAGTCTTCGAAAAGTAAATTAGGTTTGCTTAAATTTATACCTTGTAGCCCGGCTCGAGGTCGGCGCCCGGGTACTTGCGGGCCAGCAGCCGGTTGTGGACTTCCTGAAAAATGGTCTCCAGTAATACAAATGCCGACAGGCCACGTGTCGACATTCACAATACCGACAGCGAAATCGCTATCGATGAAAAATCCCGACAAGCCAGAAAGCCGACAGGAAAATGCCGATATGAAAACGGGAACGCAAATTGTTTTTGCATGCGATGGCTTTTTGGTGTCGGTATTTTGCTGAGGGATTGTCAAGATTTTTGCTTACAAGGACAAGGCTTTTCGGTATTTTCGTCGGTATTTTCGTGTCGGGATTCTGGCTTGTCGGCACTCCGTTTTCGGTGTTTAGAGTGTTGGCATTTTACAACGACGAAAAATAGCCATACCTGCAACTCGGCGTACTTGGCCTCGGCCTCTTTCCGCAGCGCCACGTTCCGGTTGACCTGCAAATGCAATCTTCGAGGCCGGAAATTCCGCAATTTTAAGGCGAGCTAGCAGAGACAATTTGCTTTCTAATTCCTTTAAAACAACTGACACACAAATTCATCGCGGCCACGATGACGCCCATCAGGAGGATGACGAGGATGGCGCCGAGGAGGGCGCTCGTCATCTAGGAGTTATCATGGTTGCTTTTTGTCGCTCTCTCTCCTCTCTCTCCCTCTCGCTCTCTATCTCTCTTTCTCAGTTTTGTTTTCTCACCCTATGATTATTGCACCATCGTTTGTGCATGGTGGTGCTCGACACGGTGCCGGTCGGGCCGACGCGTCGACTGTCCTCGACCATGCCTAAATGACGGATTTGGAATTCATATATTTCATTAATGTTCCTATAAACCGATCGATACTATTTAAAGGCCCCTTGAAGCCAAATCCATATTTACTTTTCCCATCCCGATCCCGCGCCTTCTCCACAATCGACGGCCTCTCCTTCTCCTGTGTGTTCGAGTCGCGCTCCTCGCCCGTCTCCACCCGAGAGTAATCCCCGTAGTACCTCAAATCAAAAAACAAAATGCAATTTTTAGAACCCAAGTCGATAACGAAAATTCTGTAACAAGGTTTTCAGAAACCGACATTTATAACCGTAAGCCTTGTAAGTAAACCGGATTAGAGAGTAGAAAATGGTAGAAATGTGGTGGAATAGGGTTTTCCCGCAAAGTAAATTTTAATCATGTAAATCACAAATTATTTAAATGTCTAAAACGGTCTCGGGAGATCGAGACCAAGATGGAAAGTGAGCACGAGTGGGTGAGACAGGGCTTTTGAGTGCGAACGAAAGGGTGTGGGCAGGCGCGTACGAGGGGGGCAACAGGGGCAAGTTGCCCCCCCCCCCCGCCCTGCAAGGAAATCTTAGCAATAGCAAGTTGCTAAGATTTTTCGAAGTGATCACTTTTTGCCGTTTTGAAGCAAAGGGGGGACCACCTATTTGTCATTTTTATGATTATCGGAGTCTTAAAATTCAAAAGAAAAACATAGAGCCAAAAAATTATTTTAATATCGGTTCCTTCCATGCTCCCCACTCGCCCCTCACCTGGCCCACTAGTGTGGAGGGAGTCCTACGCGTTTCCCTTGATTTGGTAACGATTACTTTACTTAGGTTAGGCTTAGGCTTAGGCTTAGGCTTAGGTTATTAGGCTTAGGCTTAGGCTTAGGCTTAGGTTATTAGGCTTAGGCTTAGGCTTAGGCTTATAGAGGTCGCCCATGGAATTTGGCCATATCGATGGGCTAACGAAAATTTTTGGCTTTTTAGTTTTTAGTATCCTACCTTTTTTTCTAAAAAAAAAATTTCGAGTTGTCCCACCCCGTTTTCATCCAACATCTGAAAGACAGCTGAAAGAGCCTCAAAAATAGTGCCGAAAAGATCTTGTTACGCAAGATTTCATTTCATTTGCATTGGTGGGTTAACTTCCCATCTAAAATTTTGAGTGAGTGAGAACGAGTGAGAGCGAGTCACTGACAACGAGAGAGTGAGGACGAATAGGGAGAACCAGAGCATGAGCACGAGGTAGTGAGAACCGGACAGTGAAAAGGTCCAAGCGAGAACGAGCGTGTGATTGAGAAAGAGAGAGCGAGAACGAGTGGGTGAGAACGAGGTTGCTCGAGAAGGAGCGCAAAAATTGCACGTTTGCGTTTTCCACCACTTCTTAACATTCTCAAATTTCTGACCACTGAAGATCAAGCCTCCCTAGGTAGCTAATACCCCAATTTTCGGCCCCATTAGCCCCGAGCCAAAATTCTATTACGCCAATTTTACATCCCGACGCGGGGGCGCGAAAAGCGCTGATGACTTCCAGTCAGCCCCAAGTTTTTTTATGGATTTCACGTTGGCCATTGATGCAGTCGTCTGAATGAATGTCGAAAATAGTACTTCAACTATCGATTTCACGCCTACGGAAGAGCCGATCGATGAGCTTGAGAACACGCTGGCACTTGTTGAGATTGGGGCGGTGAGTTCGACCTACTGATAAACTTCATTCTGAGCCTGAGCCTAAGCCTAGGCCTAATCCTAAGCCTAAGCCTCAGCCCAAGCCTAAGCTTAAGTAAAGGTTAAACCCAAACCTAGCGAAAATTTTAGGTGGGCTTTATCGGTGTTGTACTGGGACTTGCTGCTGTACACGTTATTCGCCGAAATTCTATGATTAAAGGTATCGCGGTTGTAACATTTCTCTCTCTTTCTATTTCTCGCTCTCTGTCTCTCTCTCCCTCGCTCGTTCTCTCTCTCACTCTCTCTCTCTTTCTTCATACGCGTTGCTTTTTCCAGGTATCGTCGAAATCTACTGTCTGCTCGACCTGGCTAACTTACTGCTTATTAATGGTGGTCACCTATTTTGGGGCTTGCCTTGCGCGCTTTGGTATGTGTAAAACGTTTTTCTTTTATTTTGTTTATCTTACGCCTAGTGTTTGTTTCCGCCTGACCATATTTTCTGCGACGTGCTGATTTTTAGGGGCATCAACGAATCCTGGCCGACGCTAGACTATATCTTTTCCGCATTGACCTTTACGAGTGTATCCCTCGGCTTTCCGCCAAAGGTAAACTTTGGCGTAAAATATTATAAATTATATAAATTATCTAAATTAAGGCAATTGTTCTTTATATCGTTAAGCCTCATTTTTCAGCTCTTCCTCAGCATCAATCGCTTTTTCGCGCTCTCATTTGAGGGCCGATTCTATAATTCGTTACAAAGAACGCATGTTGCTCAATATTTCTTTATGCTAATTTACACGCTGGGCACGTTTAGTGCTTATATGATACGTGAGTTTTCACTTTTTTACGGATCTTTGGCTTTCCATTTTTTAGCGGGTTGCGGCGCAACGTTTGTGGCCGATGGGTTGAATATATTTTACATAGAAGCGAGTTGTGGGGAAAGGATTATGTATTTCACGCAGGTAGGCAGAGATAGAGGGAGAGATAGACAGAGAGAGAAGGAGCGAGAGAGAGAGAGAGAGAGAGAGAGAGAGAGAGAAAAGAGAGAGAGACAGAGAGAGAGAGAGTGTGTGTGTGAAAGAGAGAGAGAAAGAGCGGGAGAAAGGGAGAGAGACAGAGAGAGAGAGAGAGAGAGAGAGAGAGAGAGAGGGACAGCGTGCGCGTCGATAATAGAGAACCTCTTCATTTCCCAGATCATCGCCAGCTGGATCTTCCTCCCGGTTAATGTCTTCTTTGATCTCTTGATCTGTATTTTAATGCGGAGACGATTACGACTATTACATGCAAAACAAAACCACGATAGTCGACAAAAGAAGGAGCAACTGAGGATGGAGATGAACCTGGCTTTGCAGGTGCGTTAGTTGCCTTAAAGTGACCGGAAAGGAATGTTATGGATTCTCTGGCTAGCGAGGCCCCTAAAATTTTTCCGTGTGCTCATCACATGGTTCCCATTAGTCGGCCATTTAAAAGTATCGTTTTCCATTTAGATAGCCGTGAATCTGACGACAGGGCTGATTCTGAATGTCACAATAACGATCGCGGAGGAATCCCTATGGTCCAGTTGGGCTACGTTCCTCTGCTATACGGCACTCTGGCAGATTTGTACCCTCATCAATTGGTAGGATACATAGCAACGGGAGCGGGGAGCTACGAAACCAATTGGATCTTTGAAACCTGACAGTGGTCGGTTCATTTTTTATTTTTTTGTCACCTTTAAACTAAAAGAAACGTCAAATATGGCTTTTTTTACCATTGCTCTTCTACAAATTTGACGCAAGTGCGACACGCAACGCGCGAGTTTTCTTGCTTTGATTAATGGGTTTTAATCCATCACGCGACGAAAATGCGGGCGAGCGCGTTGCGTGTCGTAGAATTTTATGGAGAAACGTAGCTCTAAAGATTTCCGATGGTCCCTTCAAAGTCCCGTTAAAATTTGATGCTGTGCTACCCTTTGCTGCGGCTAGGTCGCGACAGTTACTCGCGACGACAAAACGAGGACACGACAAACCGAGCTTAATACGGCCGCAGAAAAGGACGATGGGGAAAATTCAAACATGTTTTACCTTTTTCCTTAAAATATGTAACTGTCGTGACCTAGCCACCAAAATCATCAGGACTTTTAAGTCTACTAATTCCTGTAAGGCTAAAATATACTATTTCCAGCATCAGCTACATCGTATTCCTGCGTGAGAAGGAGAGGTCGACGGGCAAACTTTCCATTTCCATGACCACGCAAATTCTGAAGCGTCAACCATAAATACATTTTGTACAACATATATACATATTTTTGGCAAATTCTGTTGGGACTTGTGATTTTCACATGTCACATGACTCACTAAAATTATGGGCCGGTGATTTGATTGATTTTGGCCACGACATCTGAGACCAAATGTCAAAAGCAAGCATAAGGAAACAGCGTTACTGAAAGTTCTTCAACTTCACACAATGCACCTGCGCAATTTCCGCCGCCAACGCATTGCAAAAATAGAGCGCTCAATTCTACAGGTATTCGTGCTCTACGCTATCGGCTGTGTTTTGCAAGGTTTTCATGTGTTTTTTCTTTGGCTGGTTGACAAATAATTTTATGCACTACATACATAACCTTGTTACGGCGCTAGATGCACTAAATTCTCGCAGTTTTCAGGTTAGTGGGAAATGCGCGTATGAATGACCCAGTTTTTAATGAAAGCGGCCACTCCACTGAAGCCCCAGTCGATGAGCTGCCACCCCCTGAGGATAATGACGTTTTGGAAGTCTGTATCATGACTTTTGTAAGTTATATTTTTCTCAATTAAGAAATAATTGTCATGTTCAGTTCGGTCTCCTTGGGACCAGCCTTGGCATCACTGGGTTCATTGTTGTTAGGAAAAACTCGATTTTGAAAGGTAATTATCTCGCTCTCGCTCTCGCACTCACTCACTCTCTCGCTCTCACACCCTCTCTCTCTCCTCCCTCTCTAACTTGAATTTAAGGTATCATCGAACATTACGCCTTCATGGATTTGCTGAATATGACTCTCATCAATAGCTGTCACTTGTTATGGGCTGTTCCTTGCGTAATCTGGTACGTAGCGTAACGTCAATAGGAAAGAAACGTAATTTTCTAGGCACGCCAACGAGTGGTGTCCTTTTCTAGACTACGTATTTTCTGGCATAGCTTTTACATCGGTGTCAATTGGGTTTCCTCCAAAAGTGAGGATTTTGGCTCTATCGCTCTATCTCTCTTTCTCTCTCTCCGACTGACACTCTCTCTCTCACGCTCTCTATTATCATTTTCTTTTGATTTTTCTATCCCTTAATCGCTTCTTTGCGCTCGCCTTTGAAGGGAGTTACTACAAATACTACGAACGAACATATTCGGTTCAATATTTTATAATGGCAGCTTATCCGCTAGCTACAGCGATAGCGTATGCAATCCGTAAGTTTTTCTATCTCACTTTCTCTCTCTCTCTCTCTCTCTCTCTCTCTTTCTTTCTCGCTCTCTCTCTCTCACTCTCTGACCCGAATGGCCCAGCCCGATTCACGGACTCAGTTTGCAGCTGGCTGTGGTGTAATATTCATCTCGTGGCAGCAGAATTTCTTCATGCCCGAAGGCGATTGTGGTTTGGAAATTATGTACTACACGCAGGTGAGGATTTGAGGGTTTTTGAAGTACAGTAATGCAGAAGGGACGGACAGCTTTTGCAAATTGTAGGGAATTGGTTTACATCCAAGTTTGGTGTCGAGACCAAGCCTACCTTGTGCAGAATTTTGCGCTGTTTCCGAATCTGTTTGCTGGATTTACTTAATTGGATTTTTTTGAAAAATTTACAGCGCATTTTCCGGGGAAAATCCTCAAAATCCATGTTTTTTCTTTTGTAGCTTAAGGAAGAAAGTTTTTTAGGTCCTAGCCAGCTGGATCTACCTCCCTATAAACACCTTCTTGGATTGCTGTATTTTCTACTTGATGAGGAGGAGGATTCGAGCGTTCAGAGAAATCCAGGGGAATCCGAGCAGTCGCCAAAGAGCGGAACAGCTGAGGAAGGAGATGAGATTGGCTGCTCAGGTCAGGCCCTCTCGTGCTCTCTCTCTCTCTCTCTCTCTCTCTCTCTCTCTCTCTCTCTCTGTCTCTCTCTCTCTCTCTCTTTCTTTCTCTCTCTATCTCAGGCTCTCTCGTTCAATAGACTTTTTAGATGATCCTCAATCTGCTATGCGGTATCTTTCTAAACGTCTCTTTATCGGTGGGAGAGAGCTATATAGCCTCAGCGTTTGAAGCTTTTATACTTTATACAGCTCTCTGGCAACTGTGCATGACAATAAATAGGTGAGAGAGCGAGAGAGGGGGAGAGAGAGTGAGTGAGAAAGCGAGATAATCGCAAAATTTAGTGCCACCTACGTAACGCTACTCCGAGAACGGAAACCAAACGAAGTCAGCGGCCCCGCTACCGTCAGCAACATCTCTACCAGCAGCCCTCGCGGTCTACTATCGAATGCCCTCAATAAAGCTAGATAAGACCTGGAATAGGCGGGCACAAGCTACAGCACAATACACAAATTACGGTCCGAAAGAACTGACGGAAAGGGGCGGCGATTGACTTGTAGATGTTCAAACTTCTTGTCTCGAATTGGTTAACACTTCTGACATTAATGCATCGATCAATCTTGATTTCTATATAACAGGAAAATCAATGCCCCTCATTCCACTTAATTAGCATAAAACTTTTTTCCCTAAGTGTTCTTAATCAGCAATAGAATTCGGGCATTTCCTTCCTCTACTCGCTTCCAAGTGGTGGGTTTTTAGTTTCTAGTTTGGTTTTTCTCTACTAGTGCTTCTGTCTACGGCATTTTGGGTTTCTGAAAGCTCCAGAAATTTCCCTTACAGCCCCTTCCCGAATGTCGAACGAAGAGAGCCAATCCCTCCTCTCCGAGCGCTCCGAGTACGGCGGGCTGAACAGCGTCGGCGAGTCGGCGCTGGAATCTGTGGTGCGGAAACCTTGAATTTTGGCTACGGGACGCGAGCGTAACGCAAGAGCGACGTCTCGAAAATCCTTAACGTCCCTGCACCTTTAGGACCCGTCCGTGCTCTCCTGGGAGAACCTGAACGTGTCGGTAGGCAAGTCTGGGCGCCAGCTGCTGAAGGGTGTCTCCGGGGTGACGAAACCTGGGCAGTTGATGGCACTCATGGGAGCTAGGTACGGTTTTATAGGGAGCGTGACATCTGTCTTACAGTGGCGCCGGCAAGACGACACTGCTCAACACGCTGCTGGGGAGGAACCTGAAGGGGCTCGACGTCAAGGGAAGGGTGCTGGTGAATGGGCATGAGGTATCTCTCTCTCTCTCTCCCTCTCTCTCGTTCTAACTCTCGTGCTCAGATCGGCGCCGGAATCACAGCCGTCTCCGGCTACGCCCAGCAGGAAGAACTATTCGTCGGAACCCTGACCGTACGAGAATACCTGAACGTTCAGGTACGTTCCAAACCCTGACCTACCTACGGTACACTTAAGGCCCGCCTTCGTGTCGACGGCTCCCGAGAAAAGCGCATCAAGCGCGTCAACGTCGTGCTCCGCCAGCTCGGCCTCTTCAAGTGCCAGCACACGCCTATCGGGGTTATCGGGTTCAAGAAGGGCATCTCGGGTACGGGAGGCTCTCTCTCTCCCTCTCTCTTCTCCAATCTCTCTTACAGGTGGAGAAGCCCGTCGTCTAACCTTTGCCTGCGAGCTTCTCTCCAACCCTCCAATCATGTTCTGCGACGAGCCCACCACCGGTCTCGACTCGTTCATGGCCGAGTCGGTCGTCTCCGTCCTCTCCAACCTCGCCCACAGCGGCCGAACCATCATCTGCACCATCCATCAGGTCTCTCGTGATCCAACAACTCCAACAAGTTCACCCCGTTTAGCCTGCCTCCCAGCTCTACGCCATGTTCGACACGGTCATGTTCCTCGCCTGCGGAAAGGCGGCGTACTTTGGCAACCCGACCGAGTCGATGCGCTTCTTCGAGGAGGCCGGTTACCCGTGCCCGAACAACTACAACCCGGCCGATATGATCATCCATACGCTGGCCATGGTGCCGGGCGATGAGGTGGGGGCTGGAGATCTACACATACAGATGAGGTTTGAGGTGGAATGTCAGAAGCGCATCGACCGCATCATCGACACGTTCGAGAAAAACGAGCACGGCCAAACGCTACGCCAAGAGGTCGTCTCGGTGGATATGAAGGATGTGGGTTTTTTGAGTTTGGGTTTTAAGCTTAGGCTTAGGCTTAGGCTTAGGCTCAGGCTTAGGCTTAGGCTTAGGCTTAGGTTTAGGCTTGGGCTTAGGCTTAGGCTTAGGCTTAAGCTTAGGCTTAGGCTCGGCTCAGGGTTAGGCCTGGCTTAAGCTTGAGCTTAGGCTAAGGCTTAGGTTTAGGCTTAGGCTTAGGCTTAGGCTTAGGCTCAGGCCTAGGCTTAGGCATAGGCTTAGGCTTAGGCTTAGGATAGGCTTAAGCTTATGCAACGGCTTACGCCTTCGGCCGCGGCTTAGGCTTCTAGAAAAACCTTTTTTTATCTCATCTCCTTGAGGTCCCACCCGGCCGCCACCAAGTCAGCCACTGGGCCCAGTTCTCCGCCCTGTCCACCCGCGCGTTCATCGACAACTGGCGGAACCCGTCCCTCGCCAAGGCCAAGATTGTCCAGAAGACGATCATGGTGAGCAGCAGCTACACCGCCGTATGATCATCTTCTTCTAGGGTCTCTTTGTCGGGCTCCTCTACCTCCAAACTGAGGTGAAGAAGCCGTTCGGGGTCGACAACATCAACGGCGCCCTCTTCTACCTGGTCTGCGAGCTGACCTACTCGACGCTGTTCGGCATTCTGACCTTCTTGCCCAACGACTACCCCCTGGTCGTCAGGGAATATCACGATGGGCTTTACAGTGTAAGCGGTGAACTGCTTGAAGACGTCGCTTTTTCTTAGGTCGGTGCCTACTACTTCTCGCGCTCCATCTCCTACGTGCCGCTCTTCACCCTCGACGGCGTCCTGATGATGACGATTGCTTACTGGATGATTGGGCTGAACGCGACGGTGGCGCAGGTCGGGTTGTAGATGGTGAACAGCTTGAGCTTGACTTTTATAGTTTCTGCGCTGTATTGGCCTCTCCATCCTCATCGAGCAGTCGGCTTCTGCATTCGGCGTGATGCTCTCCACGGTGTCGCCGTCTTATCCGGTCGCTGTGTCATTGGCTGGTGAGTTGAACTTGTTCATGACGTCGTATAAGCTTATTCCTAAGTCTATGCCTAAGCTTCAGTCAAACCATACCTTTTCAGGTCCTCTCCTCACGCTCCTATCGTTGACGGGTGGCCTCTACGCAAACGTCGGCCAGATGCCCATCTACATCAGCTGGATCCAATACGTGTCCTGGTTCCGGTAAGTTAGTTAAAGTACCAGGGGCTGAGTGGCTCCGATACGCGCCATAACTATACGGCACGCTACGCTACCATACGAAATGATACACTACGCTACGTTACGCCGAACTGTGATGCGATACAGTAGGATACGGTACACGACGCTAAGATACGTTACTATACACTACGCTGCAATACGATACGATGCGCCACAACGCTACACAATACGCTACAAGATGCTACGATACGATACGATACTGTACGATCTAGGTACGGCTTCGAGTCGCTGACGATCAACCAGTGGGACCGGGTCGACGAATCGGGCGTTCATTGGAATGCTACGAAGGTGAGTCGTTTAGCCTAGGAGGCTTAGACTTAGGCTTCGGCTTAGGCTTCGGCTTAGGTTTAGGCTTACGCTTGGGCCTGGCCTTAGGCTTAAGCTTAGGCTTCCCCCGCTAGCTAACTAGGATCTTTTTCAGCAAGCCGACACGCTTGACAAGCTCTCCTTCAACTCGTACATGATGGGCTGGGACGCGCTAGCCATGATCGGCTTCATCGTCGTCTTCTACCTGATCGGCTACATGGGGCTGCTGATGCGCGTCCGGAGCGCACGCTGAGCTAAAAACTGATCTCTCTCAATTCTCACTCTTCTCATGTGAATTTCTCGACTTCGCGGCAAACGCTAAGCACTAACTAGCCCTTATTTTTTGTTGCTTTTCTGTGTTATTTTTCTTGTGAGTGTAAAAACTCATCATTCGAAATATTCTGTGGCGTGCCTGTGATTTTAGGATCGGTTTTCCGTGTATAATTTTGTCAAATGGCGTCGTTTCTGAGTGAGGAGGTGCTGAATAAAGTTTTGCCGTTCTTGGTGCATTCAATTTGTGAATTTTGCGTAATTTGAAACGTCATTATGGTTAAGCATCGGAAAATGTCCAAAACTGAATATGTTTTCCTTTTTTGGTGGCCGAATTGAAATAAGAGCTGGAAATAGCCTTTGAAAATCTAGAATATGACATATTAGGCAGGTTTTTTTTACAGTTTCAGTCTCGTTTTTAAATTGTCGGCAAAATTACACTTTACTTAGCGATGATTGGCATAAATAAAGTTTTAAAGCGACATTTCGAAACGCAGGAGCTTTAAAAATAGGTATTTCCATTGTCTTATCGATTATCGCAAGTTTTATAACGAAAAAGATTGTGCTATTAATGTAGCAAAGATACGTTGCCGTTCAGTACCAATCCCAGATGGTAAAAAAATTTTTTAATAAAACTAATAAATTAAAAAATAATGCTGTTAGTGAAGCAAAGATACGTTTCCTTTGAAGTAGCGATGGCAGATGTCCAAAAAATTGCACGGAAAGACGCACTAATGAAACATCAAAGCACCCCGCACACCCTCGGAACTTCTGCTTTTTTGGGCCGATAAGCAACTATTTTGTGAATCCAATTCATTCACAACTTATTTCTTATTCCCCCCCCTGCTAACCCTACTAATAAAATGCCGATGGAGACGCTGCTGACCCAAGCATTCACGATTCGCTCCCAATGCTACTACCAGCAGGACGGGCGTAAGGTATGTAAATTTTGGTTTTACTGTTCAAACTAATCTAAAAGTATGGCGGAATCTATTTAAAGGGTTTTTAGTAGTTTAATTTGTTATAGTAAGTGCATTCTGATGAATTTACCCAGCTTATGGGTGAAATGTCATTTTTGAGACAAAATTGCTTGAAAAAATTGTTTTTGATTTGTTTTCGCGCGAGACCGGTTTATTTTTTAACCCGAATCAAGTTATAAATGTTTTGCTGACGTTTATATCATAGTTTAGTGTTGCAATACAACGTTGTTGTTCAATTTAGAGAAATTCCAGGCAAAGTTATGACGGGAGCTGGGTGTGACACCGCGCCAGCTGCAGGATTTCTATTGCGCGCCCCAGTGACCGTAACCCCCAGCCAGCTCCCCCAGGGCCCTCTCGCCTTTTCGACCAACTTTTCCTTACTTAACCGAAAGGAAAGAATGTAGAAGTAAGAAAGAATGAAACAACGTGAAAAGTTAATAGTTTTTAGTAAAAAAACGAAAGTAGGACATTAACTAAGGCGTAGAATTAATAGCAGCTAATGCTGATCAATCAGACGCGTTTTTGTATCTTATTTTCGTAGGCAATCGTCTCCAAAGTTAGATAATCACCTAATATTTTCAGCTTAACCAACTCGAACCATTTTTCCGTTTCCCATGAACTTTAGGTCCATGCTTCATGATCTTCTTTAGACTTCTCGCCTTCCAGCGATATAGAAAGAATTAGTCTCTCCAAAAATCTATCAGCACGTTGCAGCGATAGCAAATTATAACAATCTAGCAATAAGCCGTGCGAATGTTGTGATCAGGTGGTGTCGTCATCTTCGTGAATCTGCAGGTCGTCGTCATCCCGGAAGGCATACCGGAGAGATTTGGTGCTTTCCACCTGCTACATGAGCGGAAGAGAGCCGTATCCGAATCCGCAGTGACGGCTGGAGCGTTTGAAGTTAAAAGTTATAAGTGAAGCGGTCCATGCGCAACATTTGCCAGAATGCCGATGTCTAGACGAAGACTTTTGATCACGACAAGAAGCGTAGATCGAACCTATCCTGGAGCGGGGCTGATCTTTAGTATAAGCTTAACGTATGTTTAGGGCCTACACTATGGTTTAGCTACTGCCTTAAAACGTTTCGAGCCGTTGCGTAAGCCTGGCGCAAACCTAGGACCCCTAATCAAAGCTTTCCACCAAACTTCTATATATCCGAGACACCTCTACATATATTACACACCTGTTATATTATATAATGCATGCATATATTGCTCAATGCGTGAAAAGGTAAAAGAATCTATAACAAAAAGACCGTTACTAAAGATTTGTCTGCCAGAAATAAAGTCATCCATCCAACGAACCTCATGAATAAAAGCCTAGGGCGGCACCCTAGCATTATTTCCTACAAAAAGCATTTTTTTGGTAAAAACTATTAACTTTTCACTTTGTTGCATTCTTTCTTACTTCTACATTCTTTCCTTTCGGTTACGTAGCGAAAAGTTGGTCGAAAAAGCGAGAGGGCCCTGGGGCAGCTGGGTGGGGGATACGGTCACTGGGGCGCGCAATAGAAATCCTGCAGCTGGCGCGGTGTCACACCCAGCTCCCGTAAAGTTATGTCAATGTTCAGCGAAAAGTACTTAAAATAGAGTTGCTTTGAAATTCTTCTTACTCAGCTACGTTTATTATTCCTATGTACGCGTTAATGAAGGTTTATTTCACCTTACTACCGGTGTCATTTTTATAAAAACCTTTTTAGTGGACGCCGGCGGTGATGCGGCTGGAGCGCACCACGAAAAACGACATCCTCGGCCTCGACATCGACGGTTTTGTCGGCACGTGGAATATGGATGCTTTTATGGGGTTTATACAAGGTTTTTTTTACTTTATTTATATTTTCATTCCGATTTAGGTGGTCCGAGCTACAAGAACTCGCAGGCGTTCACGCTCGTCTTCACCGATCGCACGCTGCAGCTTGCGTTTGCCAAGGAGAAGGACCTGCTCTCGTGGGTAGAGGTGTTTCGGCGGTTGTATAAAAATGGTATGTAATTTTTTTCACAATTATAGTATTTATATCAGTTTTTTGGCATAATCTTTCGCGTTATCAGGTTAAATAACCTACTGATTTTTTTTTCCTGGTCCAAGGACGTTTACTGACGCCGTGGCAAGTTATTCACTGTTTTTGGTACAATCTAGCTATAATACAAGGGACAACGATCTTTAACGTTAGGAAACGGCTAAAACTTTAAATCTGCTCGATAATCATCGATTTTCGCTCGAAAATTAGTGTTAGTATGATTATCTGGTGTTGATAGAGCTCTTTTCAGGCACCGGCTTCTTCCTCGACCCCGAAGTGTTGTACAAATCTACAGGCGAGCCGCCGCAAGGAAAAAAAATCAAGGGCACGCATATGGCTTTCATAAAGGTAGCTTTTTATAATTTTACCATACCTTTTTTGATTGCTCAAATCACGCCATTTTGCTTGTCTATAGTTCGAAAGATTTACCGTCATTTTCAGGGCACCGCGATGACGGCAATTCGGTGGAAGAACCGCAGGTTCGAGCTGCACCTGAACCTCTACGAGTTGAGGGTAATAATTTGCGGAAAATCTTGATAATTAAGCCTTTTAGATCGCCGAATTCAGCGAAAAGTGCGCGCGGCTCGAGTTTGACAACCAGTGCCCGGTTTTGCTGCACCTCGAAAGTACGCGCGGGCTACGGCAGACGTTGTTGAAAACGAAGAAAAAGGTATGTTTTTCGAGAAGTTCGGATTAATCGATTACACCATCCTCTTCACATCATTGAAGACGAGATCTAGATTTCTTTAGAACGTTTTTGTTTCAGTTCCTGCCCGCCCTCAACATCACCAAGGCGCCAGGCGCCGAGAGATCGGGCGCCAGCGTCTTCTCGGCGATCGCCAGCGTTTGCAGGAATGCGAAAAGATTCCGGAAGACAGGTAAATCTTGTTTTCGATTAAAAGATTTTTTTTGTTTTTGCGGTTCTTTCTGAAAATCGGGAAAAAACTTTATCTTATGAAACAAAAATTTCCTCCAATTCTTCTAATAGAAATAGACGGCTATTTCTATACATTTGAGCCCATTTTTAAGCGTAGAAACTCTACACTGTTTCTTTGAAAGTACAAAAATGGTTTTCGAGCAAAATTCTAATTTTCACAAATTTTCAATTTCTAGAAAAAGGGGGCTTGAAATATAGCTAAATTTTACAACAGAATCGTTGAAAATTTTTAATTCATATCTGGACTACAGGAAAAATTAGGGACTCCCCCCGATAGTGCAAAAACGCTGTTTTCTTGTATTTTCGCGATTTTGCCGTTAAAAACCTATGGCATCTCATAGGAAAAATTTTTAGCCCAGCCTGGTATTGAAAAAGCTCCATTTTGCGTATTTTTTATAAAAAACTTGAAACCTCAAAAATTTAGTTTTCTTGCAGAGCGCCACGCCCGGCTGCCCAAGCACCGCACCTCTACGCCGTTCCAGAGTATGCTGACGGAAAATTCGATGGAACTAAAAAGCCTGATGGGTCCTCCAGACTTCTCCTACAACGACACTGAACAGTACGCCGAGATCCCTGATATTACACTCATTGCCATGCACAATTGAACACTAATAAATATTGGCCGATAGCCGATGAGTACACAAATTTTGTAATACCCGAAAAAGACCCCGAAAATTCAAGAATTTTGAAATTTATATGTTTTTGAGTTGGTGACCAAATTGTGTAATTTTAGCCAGACCGGGCGGGTTTGAAAAACCTGCAATCCCCCACGCGCACAGCTAGAACTACACCTGGTTTTGGAACACCTGTCGAGTCATGTGAAAATCTGCGGATTCAAGAATATGTTCCATTATGTTTTCTCGGTTCCGATTGTAAACTACGAGAGCCCAAACATCAACGTTATTCAGAATTTTCAACCGTAAATTATGACCTTTAGAAGATGTTGATCCCTTTAAAAACCTATTTTATCAAAGCTCACCTAGATCTCATTACCAATTTCGCTAAACTGCGGCACCGCAAATCGGCGGCGCCCAAATTGCTTACGATTTATTTAATCTAAGGGGTAATTCCACGGAAGGACTTTTTCTTTCTTCGCAGTATTTGCGGGCCTTTCGCTGTTTTCCGGGTAAAAATCGGAACTCCAGCTTGATCTTTGGCTTCGAAAAGTGTATTCTACCCTTGAGAATGTAGTTTTTTTTTGGAATTTTCGTACTTTGAATTTCTTCGATGCAAAGCTGTTTTCCAGCCGATTTTGAATGGCCGCTTGCTTTAAAAAATTTCGATTAAATAAATCCAGATTTCTGAAAAAAATCTTTTTTAATATTTTTAAATTGAACTTTTTGTTGGTGATTGTTTTTAAAAAAAAGCTCTTTGCAAAAGCCACTACAGGTAAATATTATTTTTTGATGGTTTAGCTGTACAAAGATGCCCTATGAATCTCGCCTCGACCAGCACCACCCCGTATTATGAGGATAGTACGAGCGATACCACACCGTTACCGGATGATGACTACTCTGCTGAAGTTGATCCCAGCGAGCAGCTTTTCGACATACTTTGCATGGCTACGGTAAGTGGCGCGAAATCCCATTTTTCTTTTCGATATCTTGACAAAAAAAATTGAGGTTGCCAAATTTTACACCACCTAGCTTGGACTCTAAATTTAAAAAATTGTACTTTGAAGATATTGAAAAATATATTTTGAATTTGTGTTTTCAAGATTGATTTTAGGGAAGTTCCAACATAAAAGTTGCTTTTAAGCTCGGCCTGCTCGGAACGATGCTCGCAATCTACGGCTTTGTCATCGTACGAAGGAACACGATTCTAAAAGGTGCGCCTTTCTCTCTTTCTTTATCTCTCTCTCGCTCTCTCTCTCTCTCTCGCTCTCTCTCTCTTTCTCTTTTTCTCGAGCTCTTGCCTCTCTCAATCTCCTTTTTAGGTATCATTGAGCACTACGCTTTTGTGGACCTACTAAATATGCTGTTAATCAACGGGTGTCATTTGTGCTGGGGCGTACCATGCGCAATTTGGTATCCTAATGGGATTTCGTTCTATCAATTTTTTAGGCAGTTAAACGAGTGGAGCCCGCTGCTAGATTATATTTTTTCGGGTATAGCTTTTTCGGCTGTATCTGTGGGATTTCCTCCAAAAGTAAGCTTCAAACCCTTAAAATTCGTGGCGTAAATTTAGATCTTCCTCACCTTCAATCGATTCTTCGCCCTAGCATTTAGTGGGAGTTATTATAAATTTTACGAGAGGACGAATTATGTGCAGTACGGGATTATGGCGGCCTATCCTTTGGCGACAGGGATTGCCTATGCGATTCGTAAGTTGGGGACGGGGAAAGGGGGCAATCTAGCAAAGATTCTTGAGTAATCTGGTCAGCATTAGCTTGAGGCAAGCTAGCAGAGAACATTCAGGAATCCGGGATCAATTAGAGGGAGTCGGACTAGCAAAAGTGATTCGAAAAGTAGGGTCGACCCCTAAAAACCCCGAAAATACTAGAGAACCTAGGCAACCTAGCAGAAGTCGAAAATGAGAAATTTTCGTCGAAAATTTTTTTTGCCCCCCCCAAAGTATACTAGTACCGGTTTTTGAGGAAACTAGGAAAGCGACATAGCAGAGAAAAATGAGGGATTTTCTGCACGAATTCTGGAAAACTCGCGTCTTAAAAATGCCAGCAGCGATCCTTCAGGAAATTTTTTTGACGATCTTGACTTGCAGTGAAGGAAACTAGCAAAGATCCTTGAGGAGGTTTTTTTTAAATTTCTAACAATAACTTCAGTGCCGCATCGAGGCAAAGGGCAGAGATTTTTCAGGAAAATTGGCTCTCAAAAGTTTTTTTTTGGAACTAGGGGATGAACCTGCCGAGATTTTTGAGGAAATTCTAGCTAGATAAGGCAAGCATAAACCCTTAACGAGGGCAAGCTAGCAAAGGTTTTTGAGGAATTCTTTTAACTCGAAATCTGGAGCGGTGAGCTAGCAGGGCCATTCCGGAGTACTGGTTAAGATAGCAGCCAAATCGAGAGCTGAAACTGCTGCTTTCTGAAAGCGGGCAAGCTAGCAAAGATCCTTGCGGAAATTACAACCCCGTGTTCAGCCGGCTGTGGCGCCATCTTCATCCCCCACGGCCAAAACTTTTTCTACGTCGAGGGAGCGTGCGGGGAGGAAGTGATGTACTACACACAGGTTTCCTGGGAGCGGGGTTTTAAAAGCGGAAGAGTTCAGATCTTGGCTTCCTATATTGTGCTCTCAATTCAAACGGTATTCGATGCCGCAATTTTCTATTTAATGCGCAAGCGGATCCGATCTTTTCAAGCCATCCAATCTCATCAGAATAGCAAACAAAAACGAGAGCAGCTGAAGAAGGAGATGAGGCTGGCGGCTCAGGTGGGCTTCAAAGGGTCACGAAAAACGATTTTTGAAAAAGATAGCTAGAAAAAATTGTTAAAATCGTCAACTAGTCAAGAAAAAAAATAGCTTAAAATTTTCTAGGAATCTCTGCTAGCCTGCTTTCCGTTCTGGCACTCTAGCAGCGAAACTTGGCGGTTTTTGAAATTTTCTTCTCACAGAGACAAAAAAAATACTTTTGCAAAAGAGGTACAGCTATTTAAAAATTTTCCGCAAGGATCCATGTTAGCTTGCCATGCAAAAATGACTTTGAGAAAGACGAGATAGCAGAGAATCTTATTAGGGTGTTCCTCGCTAAATGTCCTCTTTTTTAGATGATCTCCAACCTCATTACCGGGATAATCCTAAATGTCACTATGGCCATCGGGCAGCAATATTTGGCCTCGACATTGGCAACATTTCTGCTATTTACAGCGTTGTGGCAGGGGTGCCAAACCATTACAAGGAAAGTGCTTTTTTCTTTCTCTTTCTCTATCCTATCTCTCTCCCTTTCTCTTTTTCCCTCTCTCGCGCACGCTCTCTCACTCTCTCTCCGTCTCTCTCTATCTCTCTATCTTCTAGAAATATGCTTTAGCGCCACATACGTCATCTTGCTACGCGAGAAGCGGCAATCTGACCAGGCCCCGGCTACGATTACCGTATCCTCGGGCGTTCCCCAATCTGAAGTTGCTCAAAACCGGAATCGCCGACAGACGAGTCGTATTAGATAAATTTTTATCCCTTACAATCAAAGCATATCGATTTCCCAAGCGATGATCATCATCGAAAAATTTGCAGGAATATCGGTACAAAAAGCTGATCAATACTTTGCTGTCAGCACCGCGAGTCCCGGAATAAGCACAAATTTGCATACCGAGCTGGAATCGATCGGCAGCCCAAAAAGAAAATATTTCTCAAAACTACCGTAACTCGGAGCGGCATGGCGCCGCCGCTGGAAGCAAGAAATCGACGGCCCAAGCGCGAGGTGATCGGCTGGGGCACCAGTCGGTGGTGCGAGGGATGGTTGGCTTTTTGGAGGTTTTTAGGCGAGGCTGAGGCTTCTGCTTATGATTAAGCTTGGCTTAGCCTTGGTTTAGGCTTAGGCTTAGCCTTAGGCTTAGGCTTAGGCTTGGGTTTAGGCTTAGGCTTAGGCTTGGGCTTGGGCTTAGGCTGAGGCTTGGGCTTAGAAAAAGGCTTCGGACTCGGCTTGGACTTAGTTTTAGGTCTAGACTTAGGCTTGGCTTAGGCTTAGGCTTTGCTTCCACGAGTTTATTTCAGGATTGGAAAAAATGAACATGGAAAGGAAGAAACCTACGGTGGCTACTACTCGATGATGTTCTGCGTCTTCTTGCTGATGTGTGTCCCGGCGGTTTGCTGCGCGGCGCTTCTCGGGGCGGGTACGGTATTTGCCCAGTTTCCCAAATAATCTCTGCTAGCTTGCCTTATGCTAAAATTTTTTTTTCAGTTGGCTACTACGTCGGGAAAGGAAAACGATAGACCAACGCCGCCCTCATCAGCACATTAACATTTTCCAGGTTAAAAAGGTAAAAAATAACATTTTATTTCTTAATGATTTTTTCAGAAGAAGCGTCTCAAGCGTTTTCGCAGTCACCGCATTCGTCGATTCAACACAAAAGTCGCAATTCTTGGTGTTATGTACATTCGAATAAATCGTTTAATTCAATATGTTTCATGTCAACAATTGCCTCTGCTTGCTTGCCTTGGCAAAAAAGCCCGTATCGATTTCGCGGAATTTTTGTAAGTTGCTGGAAATTTCGAAAATGCAGTTAAATTTTAGTTTCCCTCCCCCCTCCGTACCCAGAAAACTTTGGTACTTGGTTCTTAGCGGGGGGGGCGGTGGAACTCGTGCCGGTGATGATTGTCTTCCTCTTGCTGTTTTTTGAACATTTAAGTTTTTGGACGTTTTTCAAACATTTGCCTTGCCCAACGTGAAATTCAAAATCTCAAATTTGCCTGCCAAGTTTGAATACGGACACATAGACCATTTGGCGCTCTCGAAATGGTAGTACGTCCGAAAACCGGCTGCTAATTCGGTTGGCAAATGGCACCTCGCCCCACGCGCCGCCGCCGCGACATGGCCCAAGAGACGCCGTTCCATCTTGCGTACGACAGCTCGAAGCGATGCTGGGCAGGGTGAGTCTCTCCCCCTCTCTTTCTCTCTCTCTCTCTCTCTCTCTCTCTCTCTCTCTCTCGCTCTCTCTCGCTCTCTCTCGGTCTCTCGCTCTCTTTCGTTGTTGCTCTCTCATGCTCTCTTTCTCTCTCGCTTTTTCTCGCCCTCTCTCTAGCTCTCTCTCGCTCTCTCTGTCGTCTCTACCTCTCTCTGTCTCTCACGCGGTCTCTCTCGCTGTCTCTCTCCCTCCCTCCTCCATTTTATCTATTTCAGAATCCTGTTCTGCGAGTGCAAGGTGCATCCCGGCTCGAGCGGCTACTGCATGGTGATCGTCTACATGGTCGCCTGCTTCATGCTGCCCGCCATCGCCATCGGCGCCTTCGTCGGTTATAGTGGGTTTTTTTGTGACGGTTTTTAGTCGGTCTACTAGCGGTGTAACTACAAGAATATCGATCTTTGAACTAAAATTACCGACAAAAAAAGCTTGGAAAATGTTGGCCGAAAAACCCGTTTTTAGTGGGCTACAAGCGCGGGAAGGCCGGCAAGAAGATGATCGGCGGCTGATGGGCCCTCACCTTCAAGCAACCCCCTTAAAGCGAAGCCAGTTAATTCACCATTTCAAATCATTATGAATTGCCGTTTTCACAAACTCGATTGCCATTTATTTTCTGCGTGTTTGAGGAAAATAAAGATCCTCTCTATCGATTCGGGTATCGCTTCCATTGTGTGTCGGAGCCGTTCTCCTCCGCTCAATAAAAGCATAAAACAGTTTATTAAGCAATGAGACGAGAGCAAGTGACAGATTTCGATAGTGACCATATTTTTAAAGCTTTGTCGGCAGGTTTGGAGCGCTTAATGGCATGTGCTTGTCGGCTTTTCACGCGAACGGCTTCTTCCCGGCACGACCACGTTGGAAGCATACTGGAAAAATTTGGTTAGGTCATGCTCTCTCGCTCTCTGTCTCTCGCTCTCAGTAGCTGGCTCACTCTCTCTTTCTCTCTCTCTCTCTAGCCCTCTCTCTAGCTCCCACTCTCACTCTCTCTCTCTCTCTCTCGCTAGAAACTGCCCCCACTTACTGTAGCCGACGAGCAGCGCGATGAGGATGGCGGGGGCGAGCAGTAGCATCGAGAAGTAGATGACAATCGTGTAGCAGCCGCTGCAGCCGTGCATCAGCTCACAGTCACCGATGCGGACCCTGAAAAAATTAGAATCACCCTTATTCTCTCTCGCTCGCTCTCTCTCTCTCTCTCTCTCTCTCTCTCTCGCTAACTCTATCCATTTCTATGTTAGGATTAGCTAAGGTATCCCACCATCCATCACAGCTCCTCCTATCGTCAAAGCCGCACACGACAGGGCAGGTGGTCTCGTCCTTGTCGCGGTACGCGAGAAGCTCCCAGTCGGGCGCGTGAACCTTCTTCTCCCGCGGCATCGAGCTGGTAAGGTGGAAAGTTGAAGGTATGAAATGATGGAATTACGGCAAAGAAAGCCCGATGCTGGTGGAGGTATGCAAACTTAGACAGCAAATTTTGAGGAAACGTAGTTTTCCAGCCTTTTTGCCCCAGGTCATTAATGCGCTGATGGAGCAATCATATCCTTATGGATTCAGGTTTATTGCATGAGAAATGCGGCTCAAGCTCATGAAAAATATGTACATGTCATAAAAATACAATCAAAATCGCTCCTTAAAAGTCAAATCAAATTCCGGAATCTCGGTGATCGTCTTAAAGGTGCGTTCCATTTTTGGGAGTTCGTCGACGGAGAGCTGAAAATTTGGTTCAACCCAAATTAAATCGAGATTTTTTTACCAGAAAGGATGCGAAAGCGAGAGATGGAGAGAGAGGGCGAGACAGAGGGCGAGAGAGAGAGCGAAGCAGAGAGAGAGAGCGAGAGAGAGTGCGAGAGAGAGCGCGAGTGAGAGTGTCAATTTCCATAGCTTACCTCATATTTATGCACCAAATTGGTAAAGAACAAGAAGAGCTCGAGGCGTGCCAGCCCTTCCCCGGCACATTGTCGTTTTCCGATTGAGAAGGGGACGAGCTCTGGCACCTGAAAATCATGCCCAGTGTAACTCAAAAACCACACTCAATTCGTAGAAATTCAATTTTTTATCTTTTTCTAATAAGCCGACCTTCTTAAACGTCCCATCCTCGTTGATGAAGCGCTCGGGCTTGAATTTCCGGGGCTCGGGGAAGAGCTGAAGAACCGAGTTATTGGATTGTTCATGTCGAACAAAGTTGTAGGTGATTTCTCATAAGTTGTATGAATGGTATGAAAGCCGGTCCGGGCTGTACTGTATGTCGCGACATTTCGCCGCGTCTTCCATCGTGTATAGAAATTGGGAGTGTTTCGTTCGTCTGCGGCTATTTCGCGACTGTACAGAGGATCATTTAGTCGTACTATCTACCGAACTTTCTTTTATCTTTATGCCATCGCCTTGCCCGTTTTCGTAGCTTTCGCTCTTTTTCACATTTTCTCTGGCTCTCCCTCTCACTCTGTTTCTCTCTGACTTTCTCTCTCTCATCTCTCTCCCTCTCTCTCACTCTCTCTTATCTGTCGCTCTCTCTCGCTGACTCGCCCAAAATTGGATAAAAACTAAATCATAACATTTAATGACTTCTTGAACCCACCTCCTCGTTAAACAGCACGCAGCTAATCTGTGGTATGACTACCGTACCCTTCGGTATCAGATACCCTTCAATATTGACATCCTCCCCCGCGATTCGCATCAAATTCTGGGGTACAAGGTTTAGGAACCGTTGGGTTTCCTAAATCATCGTGGCAATTCATACATGAATTCCGGTTTCTTACCGCAATCACGGCATTACAGTAGTGCAACTGGTTCCTGTCGTTCATCTCGACTTTCCGGTTCCGCCCCACTACTCTGTCCAGCTCTTCGTGCATCTTTTCAAAGACGCGGAGTTCCGGGTGGTTGAAGCAAAAGTTGAGGCCCCATTGGAGGGTGGTGACCGTGGTGTCGAGACCTGGAATATGTGAGTTAAAGGGACCGGGAAGGCAAAATTTTACTACTGTAAATTCACAAAAGTGGCAAAAAACTGGTTTCATGGCTTGCAACTTCATTTTTTACCAAGCTTTTGGAAACTAGATGCGGCGAGACCTATTAATTTGTCTTAAGAAACGCAAAAATTGGTTTTTACAAAAATTATAATTTATCGTGCCGATCGGTCCAAACTTTTGTTTAGATTGTCGAATTACTGCAAACATCACCCCTAACTTTATGAAAAAAAGGCTGAAGCACAGCATTCGGAATTTTTGACTTGGGAGACTCTATACAAGCAAAATCCTAATTGTTAAAGTTACCGTACTTTTGGAAAGTTTTTGCGGCCTTGCTACATTTTTTCTAAATGATCTTCGCTACGTCTTTTGTGAGTGAGCATGATCCAGTAATTTTGATCGCAACTGGTTTGCCAAGCCTAGCCTTAGGCTTTCAGATTTAATCTCTAACGCTGCCAGCCATAGGCGGACCGATCTTGATCATCTACTATTGAATGCCATTAAAGCCCGGCATTACACCGTTTTGCTTTCAACCCGCTCCTTAGCTTTTTCGAACCCCAGTTTTCGACCTTTTCGGGCAAAAATTGGCCCCAATTTTTGAACCAATGAAGTTCATGGGATACCGTACCTGCCAACCAAATGTCGAAGACGATATTCCGGAGTTGGATGTCGCTAAAAAATAAATTTTATTAGTTCGAGCAGTTTTTTCTTACCTAAAGCCACCCTGGTCAGGCTCGTTTTGGTGTTTTCGCTGCTCCTTCAGGTAGACCTCGGCCATGCACTGGCTTTCCTGAAGAGAAAATTGAACTTAAAAAAAGTCTTTTAAACTATTTTAGTGCCACCCTCCTTTCCAAAAGACTTTTATAATAACTTCTGCCAGCTTATCAGCACCAGCTGTCGTTATATTGCTCCTTCCCAGCCCCTCCCTAACGAATTTCGGCAGCGCAATCAGTGCCAACGCTTCAGTCGTCCATCAATAATGCTTTTGGAATCATGTACTTTTCGACGTCTCCGTTACTCTCTCTCGCTCTCCCTCTCCCTTTGTCTCTCTCTATCATTCTCTCTCGTTCTCGCTCAATCTCTTTCTCTCGCACTCGCTCTCATCACCCTGTTTTTCACCTACCTCAGCGTCGAAGTCCATTTCTTTCCGATGGGTCTCGATTTGGGCGTTGAAATATCCGAAAAGATCGTCGCGATATCCTTGAAGACGTTTCCAAGAATCTATAAATTTGCTAGTGATGTCTTGCTTCAACTCAGGCTTGGACTTAAGCTTAGGCTGATACCTCTAAAGTACGGGAAGTGACGGAAGGGTGGCCACAGAATGATCGCGATGAAGCTAGGCATTTCTTGCTGCTGCTTTTGAACGATGCGGCGAATGTTCCAAAATTGAGGTAGTGTAGTTTCATCAAAACGGTAGCCAAAAATGATTCCATTGACAATGTTGCCTACAGCAATGTTGAGAAGTTCTTTTGCCTAAAAACTAGGGTTATGCTTTGGTTATCTCTCTCGCTCTCTTCCGCTGTCTCTCTCTCTTTCGTTGTCTTTCTATGTCTCTCGTTGTTTCTCTCGTTCTGTCTCTCTCGAAACTCACGCTCAATTTCATCCCAGCTTTTTCGACTCTAGCAAACATATAATCGACCTCTTCGAGAACCTAAATTTGCTGATTCTCTAAAGAGTCTCCCAACTACCGTACCCTAATCTGCATCAGATTCTTTCCCATTCCAAAATCTCGCAAGGTCGAGATGGCAAAGCGTCGCTGGTCTCGCCAGAGCTGACCGTCCGACTCGATGATTCCATAGTTTCCACCTTGAATTAATAGATTTGAGGGAGAACGAGCGAGAGAGAGCGAGAGAGAGAGAGAGTGAGAGAAAGAGACGGAACTGTTTAATTCATACCTCGATACATATCATTAAAGCCCTGGAAATGCTCGCGATCGCTGAATTTGTCGCCCTGCTGAACGATGTACTTTTTCATCATCTCGTAGCTGGTGATGGCCACAATACGTTTAGTACCTACAAAATGGCCACAATTGGGAGTTTTTGCCCGTTTTTGTCGTTTCAAGAGGACCAGGAAGCCTGAGAATCGACTCATCTCTTTTCCTAGGTCTCGACAACTAGGTTTTGCTGCCTGTTTACCCATTTTTATTGATAACCGTGTTTTTAATCCGACTTTGGATTTCTGGGTATCTTCTGGTGTAAAATGTAACGTTCAATGCTGTCCTTCCCGTTCGAAGGCTCGCCAAAATATTCCCATCAATTTTATCGGGTAGTTGAAGCCGACACCGGGGCTCAACGAAAACCCCGTTTTTAGTCAGCTAGGCAAACATTTGGCATGTGAAGCGCGGGGGTGGCACAAGTTTCAGGGCGCGCTCATTGAACGACAAAGGATGGGTGCGCCTTTGGTTTTGCAATTTTCTGTACAAAATTTCGGCCAATTTGATTTTTTCATTTTTTTTGAGACGTGTAAAATTACTTTTTTGAATTTTTCGTATCAATCTTTCTGCGACCAAAGTCTCGACTAGGTATCGGCAAAAACACACGCCTATACTTAACCGAGATGTAGTGAAATTTGCATTTTCCCCCAGACCATGTGGGAATTTTTATTGGGAGGTGTCAAAACCCGTTCCCAGAACCTATTATTGCGATTTGTCGGCGAGATTTTGGTGGCGCTATTTTCAGCCCTAGATCGTGTTTGGACCTTCCTCTCCGACCGCTAGACTATTTTAAAGGGACTGGGACGGCAGATTTACTCCAAAAAATTGCCTTAGGGGCTAGTCAATCTGAATATTTACTGTCCTTTTGCCTTCAGATCTAGCTAACTGCACTTTAGCGCGACGTCTGTATATGTTTTGCTGCCTGGACTTTTTTTTTTTGGATTGCCTGCCCCTTTAAAAACGGTTTTTCGCTACCTCCTGATATCATGATTACATACCCATATAATAAGTAACGATCGGGCCGTATTTCTTCTCCCAGTCCAAATATGCGTCATAGCCAGGTTGTTTCCAAATCACTTCCAACATGTTTCCGACAAATGGCAGGGGGACTGGTCCTGCAAGGCGTTTTTGATACATTAGTGAATTTAAAAATCAGTTTACGCTATTTGTTATAGGTTTGATATGGTAATTATTTGTCCAAAAAATTACCTGGCGGAAATCCTCTCCTCCTCCAGTAAAATTGGTGAAATAGGAATGCGGCTAGCCCGATTATTGATAGCAGCAGAATCATGTTTTACTAAAAGAAATCCATCATAAAAAATTTTAAAAGAATTTACAATAAAAAGTGATTGAAATACAGTAATTAAGATAAAAACGGGGTTTCTTCGATGATAACAAGTCATAAAAATAGCTCTTTGGAAAAATTCGGTACTTGCTGAAGTAAAGTTTCTGAAGCGCGGGAAAACGGGCTTCAGAAACATACTTAAGGAAATACTATGCCGACGAAATAAGACACCTTTTTTGTTTAGCTCTATACCTTAGAGTTAACGCAACCTAGGCTTCAGCAAATTAATAGCTTTGAAATCGCGCTTTTGGAACGCATTTAAAGAGATACATATTAAAATCTACAATTTTCGGAAAAGCTCCAGAAATTTCGTACTTGATAAAAATCCATTCATTTTACTGAAAAGGGTTATAAAACCCAAACCCATAACTTATAATTATAAACTTGTATAATTTTTATAAAATTTGGCACCATTGATTTTTAGTCGTCTTAATTCTTGCAAATAAGAATAATAACAATCCTCGCTTGCGAAATTGCTAGTTTTCAAAAAGCACGTAGCCCGTAGCGATCAGCCGGCAATTTCCTGTGGTTGGCATGGCCGCGGAAAATGGGGTTAGCTAGGGATCAAGAGAGCACGGAGAGGGCAGTTGGCTCGACGAGAGGAAACAGGTAACCAAAAATTGGCTGAGAGGGGGGGGGGGGGGAAGCGATCAAAAAAATGGCTTGGGAAATCTTTTTTGACAACTAGAAAACAGTATTTTAATAGCAAAAAGATATCTAAATACCTTAAAAACTAAGAAAACTGTAGATCGTGTAAAAATCAAGGGTTTCCCAGTTCAACAGCCCCTTAAATCTCGGTTGGCCACACATCTTATCAGACTCTGACGAGCGGGGGTAAACACGGAAAAATACGCCCAGCCTTTTCACCTTCACATCTCTCTCTCTCTCTCTCCCTCTATCTCTCTCTCTCTCTCTCTCGCCCGACCACCCCGGTGGTCACAAAAGTTCTGAGGAAGAGCCGTTCTGAGGAAGAGGCGCACGATTTTTGGAAACAGTAAAATAAATAGAAAAACCTTGTTTGGTCTTTGTAAACATATGTAAATAATGAAATGAATCCCAAATTGCAAAAATTGGAATGCAACCCCTAGAAAAGTTCGTTAAAATTCAATTTTTTCTACAAAGACAATTAAATTAATCAATTTGAATAAAGATATTCGAAAACAAACCAAAAATTGATGAATTCTCTCAAATCTATAGCTATCAAAATTTTATCAAATTCCTATTTTTTTTAGTTATTGCTTTCTGAGAAAAGCCATATAACCTTTGGCTGAATCGTGCCCTTTTCCTCTTTTTTATCGGTGACGCTGGACTCAAAATTGTGCAATTCTAGCTCAAACAGGACACCCCAAAAAATGATGAGAATTGCAAGACCAGCGATTCTCTGGAAAAACACTGTGGTCTTAAAAATAGAGTCTAGCTTGCCAATACTAAAAAGCCCTTAAAAAGCTGATCTAATTTTCAAAAAAGCTAATTCTCCATAAAAGCAGTTTGAAACAAAGCTATATACTTATTCAAATTATCTAAACAGTCCAAGCACAAAAACTAGCCACGGACTAAGATTGCGGGGCTCTAAAAACTATAAAAACACCATTTCAGGCAATTTCCAAGCTATCCCACAAATCGGCAAAAAAGCAAAAAGGGATTAGCCGCATAGGGGGCTCGAACCCCTGACATTCAGATTAAAAGTCTGACGCTCTACCAACTGAGCTAATGCGGCACTGGGGCATCTCGGGAGGGAGCCGTCTCAAGAGGGAAGGGGGGGGCACAGGGCCTGTTGTTTAGAAAGGGCGGTCGCAAGACCCGAAAAGGGAATCCGCTAAAAACAAAAAAATTTAAAAAATACAGGCCATCTATGCAAATCCGGCGAATGCAAATCAAAATTATATCTGATAGCGGCTGGTTTAATTCTAATTTTTGAGCCCTTTTGATCATGAAAAGTTGCTTCTGCAAATTGAATTTTTCTATTGCAATTGTGTCTAACTGTAAAGTGTTTTTACTCAACTTGGAGTTTCGATTCGGGCCCAAGTGCATCCTGTACAGAATTTTTCGCTGATTCCGACTATGTTTTCCAAATTTGCTACGGACCGTTATTCTGAAAGTTATATGGCAATTATGACCCTAGTTTTCAGCAAAATGAAGGTATAGTTAGAGTTTTCGATTTTCTTCATTAATTTCAACGGCAAAGTTGACTAGAGGTTGGCTCGACAAGCATCCTACTGCTCAAAACAAGCATTTTAGATAAAAAATGAGATTTGCGATGCAAAAAGCAAAAGGAATGGTGCAGGGCGGGGGTTCGAGCCGCCGCCCTGCGCTTGCCAAGCGAGTACTTTGCCAATGCACCATGGTGCCAACTGTGTAGGGTGCCGTCAGAGGATACTTCAGGGCCCTAGGAAACCCTAGACCCAAACAAGGAATAGTGGGCCAGCGTCCGAATTTTTGGCTCTTTTCGGCCTAATTGTTACCAAAAATGATTTTTTAAATAAAAGTCCGTAGCAAATTTGGAAAACATATTCGGGATCAGCGAAAAATTCTGCACCATATGCACTTGGTCCCGAATCGAAGCTCCAAGTTGAGTAAAAACGCTTTACAGTAAGCTTATTTTGGAAGATTTTCTTATGATTGCGGCATCAAATACACATTGCAATTGGCTTTTTCAGCACTCAAAATGTCCCAGCGTGATACTCTCATCTCATGGATGATCCTCATCGCTGTGCTACTCACATTTTGGCGGGTCAATCTAAATTCTAGTGGTAAGGGAAAGGCGAAAGAAAAAGAGAGCGTGAAAGAGAGAGAGAGAGAGAGAGAGAGAGAGAGGGAGAGAGAGAGGGAGAGAGCTAGAGAAAAAAAAGAGAAGATTCAAAAACTTTTTAGTGCTAAATCAATTGCTATCCGATGCAAATGTTGGCCCTTCAAGAACGGGGCCTTTTCTGATTCCAAGCCGGATGAGACCGGATGAATATATCAGCCGGAAATACGATAAACAGGTGGGCTCTGGCCTCGCACTCTCTCCTCTTTCTCTATCTCGCTCTCTCTCAGCCTCTCTCTCTCTCTCTCTCTCTCTCTCTCTATCTCTCTTGCTCTCTCTCTCTATCTCGCTCTCTCTCATCCTCTCTCTTTCTTTCTCTTCCCAATTCGCCTATGATGGCTCTTTCACACTCAAATTCCCAAAGGTCTCTGCTAGTTTGCCTTAGAACTCCAACACCATTTGAAAGGAGCTCTAAGGAATATTTCCTAAAGGATCTTTGCAAGCTTGCCAAGTGCTCCTGCTAAATCTTTCATCGCTACTTGGTTTTCAGGTAAGCGACCGTGTTGAAGTCCTCCGCCTATGTCGGACCGTCAAAAAAGACCTGGGCTTCATGAAGTTGTACAACGCGATGGTGCCAGAAGTATAAATTTGAGGCCATACGTTGCTTACAGTATTTTTCAAGGTATTTTGCCCAAACTTGGTGCGTATAGGCGAGGTGAATGACGGCGGGAAATGGGTCTGCCATCCGAGGGCAATGCCGGGTACGGTATAATTTTTGCTTTTGGCTATATTTTTTTAGTTTATTTTTAGTCAGCTTTCGATTTTTTGTTATTTGATGCCAATAAAAAATTACAGATAATTGTGCCATCTTCTCGCTAGGCGTCAGCCAAGATACGTCATTTGAGCGTGAAATGCAAGAGATTACAAGCCAGAAATGTTCTGTTTATTCCTATGACAAGGTGAGAGAGGAGAGAGAGAGAGAAGAGCGAGGCAGAGAGAGAGAGCGAGAGAAAATTTTCAGGGTCAACCTCAACCAAGCGTACTTGAAGACTACTCAAAAATCCGGGCCCAATTTACCAAAGCCTTAATAGCTAACTCGACAAATTTAGAGGTCTGCATTTTTCTGTTTCTTTAAATAAATGTCTTTTCTTTAGAAAGGTGAACGTAGCATTGGGTACGAAATGGAGAGGCTGGGCCTGAAGCGGATCGAGATTCTAAAGATCGACATCGAAGGTGCTGAATTTCTGGTGATGCCTACTTTGATAAAGCAGGCCAAAATGTGTCAGGTGATTACATTACATCGATAAAAATCCGCTGTAAGAACAATAGTTTTAATAATTTTGTTGTATGATTTTATACATAGAAAAAACCGGCTTTTTAGATCCTCATCGAAATCCACGGCGACCCGAAGTTTGTCGTCAACTTGGTCGTAATGTTGGCGCAAGCGGGGTAGGCATTCAAAAGTGTTTTAGTGTTCTCGGTTTTATGCATAGGCTTAGGCTTAGGCTTAGGCTTCGGCTTAGGCTTAGGCTTTGACTTATGCGTAGGCTTCACTTCGGCTTAGGCTTCGCTTAGGCTTAGGCTTAGGCTTAGGCTTAGGCTTAGGCTTAGGCTTAGGCTTAGGCTTAGGCTTAGGCTTAGGCTTAGGCTTAGGCTTAGGCTTAGGCTTAGGCTTCGGCTTAGGCTTAGGCTTTGGCTTAGGCGTAGGCTTCACTTCGGCTTAGGCTTCGCTTAGGCTTAGGCTTAGGCTTAGGCTTAGGCTTAGGCTTAGGCTTTGGCTTAGGCGTAGGCTTCACTTCGGCTTAGGCTTCGCTTAGGCTTAGGCTTAGGCTTAGGCTTAGGCTTAGGCTTAGGCTTAAGCATAGCCTTCGGCGTAGGCTTCGCTTAGGCTTCGGCTTAGGCTTCGCTTAGGCTTCAGTATAGGCTTCGCTTAGGCTTAGGCTTGGCTTCGGCTTAGGCTTAGGCTTAGGCTTAGGCTTAGGCTTAGGCTTAGGCTTAGGCTTTGGCTTAGGCGTAGGCTTCACTTCGGCTTAGGCTTCGCTTAGGCTTAGGCTTAGGCTTAGGCTTAGGCTTAGGCTTAAGCATAGCCTTCGGCGTAGGCTTCGCTTAGGCTTCGGCTTAGGCTTCGCTTAGGCTTCAGTATAGGCTTCGCTTAGGCTTAGGCTTGGCTTCGGCTTAGGCTTAGGCTTAGGCTTAGGCTTAGGCTTAGGCTTAGGCTTAGGCTTAGGCTTAGGCTTAAGCATAGCCTTCGGCGTAGGCTTCGCTTAGGCTTCGGCTTAGGCTTCGCTTAGGCTTCAGTATAGGCTTCGCTTAGGCTTAGGCTTGGCTTCGGCTTAGGCTTAGGCTTATGCTTATGGATGATTAGGCTTAGGCTTCGACTTAAGCTTTAGCTGCCGGTGCTTGAATTCGTCACTTCCAGGTACCGTCTCTTCTCCTACGAGATCAACGGCATGTACCACAGCCTCAGCGAGTACTCCTTCATCCACGATGATTGTTTGGAGACCTATGGCGCGAGTCCACTAGCATATTATTGGCATTTGGTGTAGGGTGAAGCGGTAATTAACGCAGATTTTTAACGTATGATTTATTTTGATCTTTCCATGTTGTGATTTGACGACAACTGCTCGCAATAAATTCCGGGTCATGAAAGCAAACATTAGCGGACACTCGGATAGCAAAAAATTGTGCGTAATTCCGTGTGATGAACCGACAAAAGCACGCAATCGCCTAAATTTGTTGTTTTTTTTGCGCGTGCCGTGCAGCAAACCTTTTTGTTTTTGAAAGCCAAACGAAACTTCGCTGCAAAAACATGTGCTAAAAATACTAAAAACCCTGCCGCCGAAATTTTAAAACCGGCAAAAGGTCTTACTGTTGAAAACGGCGACAAAGTTCCGCGCCGCTACTGTAACCGTATAATTACGGATAGGAGCCGATAAGGGGGTCCTGAATCCGGACGGTTTTATTTCTCGTGTTTTTGACTACGCTGCGCAAAGATCAAATGACGATTTAGACTATACACCGATTCTATGACGAGAGAGATATATCTAGCCAGATAGGGAGAGAAAGTGAGAGAGAGAGAGAGAGAAACAGAGAGCGTGGGAGTTCAAGAAAGCGCGTGACAGCTATCGAGTTCGAGAAATACTTGAGCTTGATGCCAAGGGGTCCAACACTTTATTTAAGTCATAAATCGAAAAGTTTTAACGAATACAGGTAAAAAATGGGTGGGTGTAGACGGCGATCAGCATGGTAAAATCCCCGATAATTCTTGTGAAGAAGAAAACGTCGAAGTCGCGGGTGAATAGATACTGTAAAGGAGTTCCCTCTCTATCTCTCGCCCTCTTGCTCTCTCTTTCTCTCTTTCGCGATTCTGTTACCTCGCTATCCAGACATTTCACGTAGGTATATTTGTAAAACCCAATCATCATTAAACGAATAATATCCCATGCTCCCTTATCGACCTCTAGCCGATAGCAGTGCAGCCACAGCACTACCAACTGGGTTAGGATGGCCCCCCAGAGTAGATAGCCGCTCGCTAGCACCGTATAGCACTGCATGACGCCTGGCGGCTAAATTAGCTAGATTAGACAAAAATTCAACGGCTCTTGGGTTCCCGTGGCTTTTAAATGTCCTAAAACCCCCCAAAAAAAACCCAATGAAACCTTAAAACCTAGTCTAAGCCTGAGCCTAAGCCCAAACCTAAGCCAAACCTAAGCACCATTTTCTTTTACAACCCACGGTATAGTAGTAGTAACGTGGTGTGCGCTCGATCACGTTATAATCCTCGTCGTAGGTGTTGTACCAGCTGGGTTTGGGCACCGGGCCGCACAGCCACGGGCCCGAGCGGTCCATGAAAAATGCGGCAATCGCGACGATGAGGGTGCCAAGCAAGCTGCCGGCAACCAGGAACCAGTTGACGCGCTGCGGTTGCTACAATGCGGATGTTTGCGAAGCTTTTAAAGGGGCTAGAGGGTACGAGAATCGACCCAAACGTCCGAATGGTTCGAGACAAGTGTCATTTGCGCTAAAGGACGCCGAAATATTTCTCTTGCTTTATCTATCGCTTTCTCTTTCTCTCACTCTCGCTCTTTCTCTTTCTCTCTCTCTCTCTCTCGCTCTCTCCTTTTCGCTCGTCTCACCATCTCATTTCTCTTCTCATACTTCCCCCATTCCCAGTCCCTTGAGTTTGCCAGACTCACCGGGCGCCGAATAATACGATGAACGCAGTGCGCAGCGCACCAGGCAAAGATCAAAAAGCTGTAACTGAGGATGATAGTTAGGGCGGCGAACTGCAAGGCGTGAGCTTCGGAACGGTACGTCTGTAGGTAGTACTGAAAGATATTTATCTCTGCCTTGCTCTTTCTCACTCTCTCCTCTCTCTCGCGCTCTCTCGCATGCTCACTCACATCCTCTCTTTTATCACTCTCGCTCTCTCTCTCTCACTGGCCCTCTCTCTTACGCACTCTCTTTGGCTCTCTCTCCCGCTCTCTCTCTCTGTATCCCCGCTCTCTCTCTCAATCACTAGCTCGCTCTATCTTTGTCTCTCTCTCCCTCCCTCTCTCTCCCTCTCCTTGTGTCACCTTCATGATGCCCAATTCCCAATTGTTCAGGTCCTCCATTTGCGGGTAGGAGACGAGCAACGAGATGCAAATCAGGAGGAGCACCTGGAAAGTTTTTTTCCACACAGCAATACTGTTAACGATGAAGGTAATGCTATATAGGAACGTAATATTATACTGCGAAGTTAACGGCTTTGAAAGAATTTAAAAGCCGTGCTACAGTTATAGGCTACGCCAGATCAAAAAATATGTAACCACTTACCGTACACCTGACCCAAAAAAATATATGTAACCACTTACCGTACACCTGACCCAAAAAATATGTAACCACTTACCGTACACCTGACCCACAGAATTATCGGTTTCAACGTCCGCTCCTTCCCTAAAATTGAAAATTTCAATCTGACTTCACTTAGTGGGCATTCCGTTACATCCTAAACTACACTCCCACCTTTCTTTAAAATCTTATAGACACTTCGCGCGTGGGCGCAAATGTACAAACACATGAACACGGCCAGTGCGAAGAATTGGAAGAGGTAGTACATCTTCTTCCGCTTGTCTGAACGATGTGCCGGAAATGGAATATCAAGTTTTACTGGTTTGGAAAATAAAAAACACGTGAATTTTAATTTAAGGTTAATTCAACGACAAATCCAACGCATTACAGTAATTTCTCAAATTTGTAGACAAGTTATGGACCTTTGAAGTCAAGTCCGGAAGCTACACACAATTTTTTTGGGCAAGTTTCCCTGGCAACGAAAAGTTCGTAAGCTGTAATTTTGGCTTTGCGATAAGGGTGATCCCTCTCATTAGTGCCGGTCAGCTCGTCATTAGCAAAAAATGGGGTACGTTTGGCGTTTTCAAGGTCTCACTCTCGTTCTCGTACTCGTTCTCGCACCCGCTCTCTCTCGCCCTCTCTAACTCCACATTTCTCTCTGTCTCTGTTTCTCTCTCTCTCTCTCTCTCTGTCTTCTTTCTCTCTCACGCTCTTCTCTCTCCTTCCATCGATCTTTTTTTGCAGTTGCCTCACCTTTTTGAAAAACCCTTTATTAAACTCAAAAAAGACACGAATTCATAGCGAAAAACTTGTCTTAGAATGCAGGATTCAAATTTTTGGGCTAACGGTAGATCCGTTGTTTCCGAGGAGCCACGGAATAAAGATTCCACGAGTTTCCATCCCACAGTTGTCGACACCCTTACGCATCTGGAAAATAGCTCTCTCTCTCGCACGCACGCTCTCTCTCTCTCCCGCGCCCTCTCTCTCTTTTTCTCTCACTCTCTCTCTCTCTCGCTCTCTCTGTCGTTCTCTCTCGCTCTCTCAAACTCACCCTAAAATAGCCGCTCTCGCCCCAGTTCGGGCCCCACGAGTTGCGCACGATCCAATACGGCACGTCCTTCTCAACACCTTTAAAAAGTCGTTTTCCAAAACGAGGTAGCCCCACCGTATCCCACAATGACCATTGCGTGCCCTCCGATGTTGTTCGTCTTCGAGCAGGTCGACTGGGGTGGGTAGAACACTCCGCCGGTGTACTGGTAGATGGAGCTCGGGACGTAGATGCCTGAAATTTTTGAAAGTCGAGGAGTAATCCTCCCCCGTTAACAAACCGGAACCGAAGCTCTTCTCATTTCCCAATTTCCTAAATGGTCCCTGCTAGCTTGCCAATCCCTTTAAAACCTACTAAAAGCCAGGGGCCCGTAGTTGTAGACGTAGTTCTCCATCTGGGGCACGGTCTTCAGCTGGTACCACGTTGCCACGGTCTTCGTTTTGGACTAAAAAAACTTGAAACTGCGCTAGAGCAGGTATCCTACGGTATTATAGCACGCTCCGACGACGCCAGTGTACGGATAGGAATCACGGGCCGTGTTTCCGGTAACCGAGGAGTAGCTAAAGATGCTTGAAATCTTTTCAAAAAAATTTTATACTTGAAGACCCGTTCCGGCCACCCTCCACCACATCCAAGATTTGCTGTAGAGCAATCGACGATTTGCTGAAAAGGTTGGGCTTTGGCTGAAAAGACTGACTTAAGCTTCGGCTTAGGTTAGGTTAGGGCTTGGGCTTAAGCTTGGGATCCTGACCTGCTCGGAGAAGTTGTCCTCATGCCCCAGGCTGTTCCATTGCACCTCGATGGCGTTGATTGCTCTAAAAAAGAACGCTTGTAATTCTCTCTCGCGCGCACTCTGTCTCTCTGTCTCTCTCTCTCTCTCTCTCGCTCACTCTTTCCAAAACTTACGAGAAAGCATAGCAGCTCCCGCACCGGCCCTGGTCTCGAACTGGCGGCATATAGGGGGTGTTTCTCCAATCCTTGCTCTCACCGGGGTACTGTAATTGGGTCAGAATATGACATCGATTCGATCGATTTGACAAAAGATTGCTTGAATTCGCTGGTTTCGGCATACAATTCTTCAGAATTTTAACGTTTGTATGTATCTTAAGAATAGCATTGAGGCCGAAAAGTTTATTTGACTCGGAAAAACTGTAAAAATTTTATACCGCTGCAATGTCGAGCTCCGGCGGCGGCGCCATCGAAGTGCCATCAGTGGTAGCATCGGCCACTTCGGCGCCCATTACGTACTGTAAAACTATACTGTAAAATGCAAAGTAAAAGATTACGCCTCATGGAATGCTACGTTTACTGACTAAGCAAAGGCCACCTGCCTGCGCCTTCTCTTCGGCGCTCAAATCGGTGAACTTGGTCTCACCGATGGTGTAGCCGTGCGATTTCGCGTGCTCCTGAACAAGGCAGGTTTTAGAGGGAGAGAGAGAAAAAGGAGAGAGAGAGAGACCAAACTCACATTCTCGCGCTCGATCTCCTCCATATTTTCCTTCCAGATCTGGAATCGTTTTTTCACCTCGTTGCCCGTGTCGTACTTCTTGTGGTGACTGAAAAAAATCGTAGGTTAGGCTCAACCTTAGGCTTGGGTTGGGGCTTAGGCTTCGGCGTGGACTTAGGTTTGGGCTTCAGCTTCAAGCCTATCCCTACTTTTTCGCAAATTTTTGGAACTTCTTCGTCTCCTCCGGCTTTTCGTCTTTTAAAATATCCGGCATGTCCGCCAGCTGAACACAGTAGTGGAGCGGAACGAGAATCAAGAAGAGCACGAGAGCTGTAGACATCATTTTTCGTTTTGGTGCTCCTGAGAGTCCGTGGCGGCTTATATAATGCCCATTATTTTGGCGGTACCAACCCAGGGCCTGCGAGAGAGAGAGAGAGAGAGAGAGAGAGAGGGAGAGAGAGAAAATACTGCCATTGACTCAGTTTACGCTAATTGTCACCTACCTGGCACCCGCAAAAAAGTATCAGCTGCGCAAATTACGGGGTAATGGGGCCCAAAATGTTATCGGGGTACGGTCTCTTTCACGGTGTCGAGGTTTGAAGCCGGAAGTGGAGGGAAACAACCTGTTTTCTCGAGTCTGAGCAAGCAACGATACGATTTTCTCCGCTGCTCCAAAAAAACCAAGAAACGGCGGATTTTGCAAAATAGGAATTTCGAAAGTTTTAGCATGCTTTCGTACTCTTTCTTTCTCTCTCACTCTCACTTCCTCTCACTCTCTCACTCTCGCAACGCCCCGCCTCAGGAAATGGCGTAAATTTAGGATATTAAAATTTTTTGCCTACCAAACTTGAAATTTTCTAACAATAATGCGTGTACTTCATGATCAATTGCTTATATTTTGCCAGGGTTTTTAAAAAATTTATTCGCCGCCTAATCTTTATACATATTCCATTGACTTTTTTTTGGGTTTTTTTAGCGTCCGGCTCCGTTATTTCCGATCAACCAGGGGAAGAAAACGCCGCGAGTTTCCATTCCACAATTGTTGACACCCTTGCGCATCTGGAACAGTATCTCTCTCTCTCTCTCTCTCTCTCTCTCTCTCTCTCGTTCTCTTTATCTACGATATCCAATTGCTGCCTTACCCTGAAATATCCACCTTCGCCCCAAGTGGCGCCCCACGAGTTGCGCACGATCCAGTAGGGCACGCCGTTTTCACTTCCTGGAGAAAAAAAATGTCGTTTTTACAATTCTGCTAGTATTACCGTATCCGACAATTGTCATGGCGTGAGCTCCAACGTTGCTCGTGCTCGAACAGGTGGACTGGGTTGGGTAGAAGATACCGCCGGTGTAGGAGTACAAAGCATTTGGGACGTACATGCCTAGATAAATGAAAATCTGGGTCTACCTGTCACTCTCTTTCTCTCGCTCGAAAAACTCACTGAATGCCACAGGCCCGTAGTAGTAGTTGTAAGACTCCATTTGGGCTACTGTCGTCAGCTGATACCAAGTGGATACCGTCATCGTGCGAGCCTAAAACGTGACCGTGCTACCGTATGCTTAGCGGTCACCATCGTACCGTATTATAGCAAGTCCCAACGGCTGCCTTGTACGGATACGCCGACTGGGCGGCATTACCGTAGTACTTCGAATAGCTGAAAATAGAAAATAAAATAAATTAAGAGAGAGGGAGAGAGAGAGAGAGAGCGAGAGAGAGAGATAGCTAGATAGAGCTGGAGAGAGCGAGAGAGAAAGAAAGAAAGAGTAACGCACTTGAAAACCTTTTCCGGCCACCCTCCATTACATCCCTGGTTCGAGCCGGCGCAATCGACAATTTGCTAAAAAAAATTTTTGGTCGGCAAATTTTCGTTTACATTGCTTCAACTACGGTATTTCGAACGTGTTTGCTTTTTCTCACTCTTCAAACTTAAAAAAGGGGCTTTCAATCCAACCTGCTCCGAAAAGGCAGCATTATGCCCCAGCCAGTTCCACTGCACCTCGATGGCGTTGATGGCCCTAGAGATTTAACTTTTTGGATTTTTGGTAACTAAAACTCCAGTATCTACAAGGAATCTACTGTAAGTTTTTTTTCACGGCCTTGAAGGTACGATTCTCTAAAAAAACTTACGCAAACGCGTAACAACTCCCGCAGCTGCCCTGGTTGCGGACGGCTGGCATGTAGCCGGTGAAGCGCCAGTCGATCGTCTCCCCGGTGTACTGTAAGCAAAATACAAAATTCTTTTAACTCTGTCTCTATCTCTCTCTCTCTATCTCTCTCTCTCTCTCTCTCTCTCTCTCTCTCTCTCTCTCCCTCTCTCTTTCTCCTTACCGTATAGACAGCGCGCTTGGCTCTCGGCATCTCGCGCTTCAGTCGTCCGTCCGCTTCATCAGCCAGGTCGGCACGCATGACGAACTGTACATGGCGTGTTTTTAGCTAGCTCTCTCTTTCTCTCGATCTCGCTCTCAGTCTCGCTCTCTCTCTCTCTCTCTCTCTCTCTCTCTCTCTCTCTACCTTTTGCCTTTCTGCCGGGTTCATGTCCGCAAAGAAGTTGGATCCGATCTGGTATCCATTGCGCTTGGCCCCGGCCTAAAAATTATTTAAAGGACCATTGAAGCCAAAATCTACCAATTCCTCAGCGATCTCGGCCATGTTGCCCTTCCAGGTCTCGAAGCGCGTCTTCAGCTCATCGGCAGTACCGTAGTCTTTCTTGTGCCTAAATATCGTTTCAGAATCTCTAGAAATTGGCTTGAAGGCGTTGAAGTTAAATTCAAAAATTAATCAGGCTTGAAAATCAATAAATGTGATTGTTACGCTTTGATAAAGTCGAAGAAGTCGGTGGTCTGCTGCAGGGTGGCATTCTTCAGGTTCTGGAGTAGGCTCACGATGCTGAGGTTCAAGGCATAAGCCGGGACGATGAAGGCGAGGAGGAGCAGCACGAGTCGGGTCATTCTGGAACGATTTATCTGATTTTAGAATAGTTAGACAATTTTAGAGGCACCAGATAGTGCGAGAATCGACCCCCTGCGTAGGCTAGGCCTCGACAACTGTTTAAGAGGCCAAAAGCCCTCCCCACGCATATCTTAATATTGCAAAACGTAGAAAAAACTTTTAGTTGTGCCTTGCCAATCCCTTTAAAGGCAGCCCTCTTCTTGATTTCGGTGTTTTTAACTGGGCAGCACATGTTTTTAACAAGCCTTAATCAATTACGCGAGGAACTCAATTACTCGCAGAAATTCCTGGAGCATCCATAACCTTGAAAATTTAAAACGCTGCCTTGCGAGGACCTTTAAATGGCTACTTGTCGAGACCTAGGCGAATGTAGGGGGAGATTCTAACACTCCTAGGCTAGGAAAACGTATTAAGGATAGAACTTACCCTGCAGATGACCGGCCGGATGGTGAAGTTCCCCCAGACAGCCCTCATTTTATACCATCGGGCTTTTGGTCGCTAGACTCGAGGGACTTTTTGCGAGTTCTGGGCTTTCAATGGGTTTTGGATTTTTGAAATTAACTTCGGTGAATGGGGAGGACTTCGGTGTTCTCTGCATGGGGCTAGAACTCCAGCTGTTTGAATGCTTGAAAAAATGGACGAGGAAAACTGTTTTGATGAAATCCACCACCCACTCGATGGTTTTTGATTGGGAAAGGGAGGGCGAGAGAGGGCGAGAGAGAAAGAGAGAGAGCGAGCGAGAGAGAGAGAGAGACGGAAAGAGAGAGAAAGACAAAGATTGCTGAGGCAATCTCGACCTCTTTCCCGTAATTCTCTGCTGCAGATTAAATCCAGACCGGGGCCCCTTTCTTATCAGCATAGATTTAGTCCGGATGGCTCCCGAATTTCAGGAGCAAAAATTTCCCCTTGGTTTGACATAGTTTTTTTTCTTCCTCACATGAAAAGTGCTGTTTTGTGTCGTTGTCGGTTACTCACTTTTTGTGGTTTTCCCATTTTCCCTTTTACCTCTGAAATATTTTGGGCTCTTTCGATACTTCCAATTTTCCGTTCCAGTTTAAACGAAAAGTCAGCTCGATTCTGTAGTAATAATGGAGGCCGAGCCGCCTAAAGATGCACAGATGGGCGTTTGGACCTGTATGGCCTATGTGGTGGGTAAGTTCAGAAGTTTTTTTGGGAACAAGATAAGTATTAAAAGGGCCCTTTACGCATTAACCGACGCAATAAATCATCCAAAACCCTCCAAAAAAACCTAAGAGTCTTCAAAAATATAAGAAAGTGATCAAACTTTTCCAATTGAGTGGAACGTACGTGGAAGCACAACCGCAATTAATTGGTCTTATAAACCATTGTCGTTTTCTTTTCAGGCAACATCGTGGGCTCCGGGGTGTTCATCACGCCGGGCGGCGTCTTGGAGCAGACCGGCTCAATTGGGCTATCGCTAGCCGTTTGGCTCGGATGTGGAGTCATTTCAATAATGGGTAGCCTTTACTATACTTCTTTTAGCTCTCCAAATCCCAGTGATACACTTCTTTTTGCCACCTTTTTCAGGGGCGTTCGCCTACATCGAGCTCGCGACAGCAATCCCTGACCCGGGCTGCGATTTTGCGTACAGCTGCTACCTCGGATGGGAGGGAGTGGCGTTTGCCTTTATGCTGGTGAGTCTCCCACTGCCGCTCTCTCCCTCTCTCTCTCTCTCTCTCGCTCTCTCTTCTCTCTCTCTCTCTTCTCTCTCTCTCTCTCTCTCTCTCTCTCTCTCTTTCAAATTCGAGTACAACTTTATTCACAGCGCAATACACAAAAAAATTAACTGCGGTAATTTGAAAGAAATTGAAGTGAAGGCGTTCAGTTGCGACGTGCAGTAGGTGACGAGTAACCTGAAAAAACACTGCAAGAAGAATCCGAGCGTACCCACCGTATTCCTCAAGCCGTTGGAGGCGGAGCCTCGGCCGCCTCCGGCTTCTTCTCTTGCTCCTTGTTCTCCTCTGCTTTCGGCTCCTCCTTCTTTTCTTCCTCTTTCTTCTCAGCCTCTTCCTTTTTCTCGTCTCCATCCTTCTTTTCCCCATCTTTCTTCTCCGTCTCCTCCTTCTTTTCTCCCTCTTTCTTCTCGTCTTCTTTCTTCACGTCTTCCGTTTTTGGCTCTTCTTTCTGTAAAATTTTTTTTTAAAAAAACTCGAAAAACCCTACGGGACTCTCCTCTTTCTTGTCTTCAGCTTTAGGCTCTTCTTTCTGTTCCTCATCTTTTTTCGGCGGTTCCTTGGCGGGCTTCTCGTCGGCGGCCTTCATCGTGCTCTTCTCCTTCTAAAACAATGCACTCTTTTAGATCACGCTTCGAGAAAGCTTACCGGCTTCTCATCCTCCTTGTTCTCCTCCTTCTTCTCGTCAGCAACCTTCATCTCACTCTTCTTCGCTTCGGCCTCCTTCTTCATGACGCTCTTCTCCTTCTCCTTCTCTTTCTCTTTCGCCTCCTCTTTCTCGACTTCTACCGGCGCCTCTTTCTGAAAAATGCGAATTTTTCTTGAAGTGTTTTTTTGGATTTTTTCGTTCCGATTTGCAAGTTTCGAAAATCATGTTTTCGCACATTATTTTTCCAGATTGTTTTGTTTTCGAAAGCGATTTTTTTAAATGACTTTCAAAGACCTTAAGGGTTTTTTGGGTGCTTGTGCAATATCGGGGGAGGGGACAAATTCTCTTCAGGACCCAAATTTTTAATACAGCCCACCTCTTTCTCAGTGCTCTTCTTCTCCTCCTCCTTCGGTGTCTTGGCTGTCTTCTTCTCGGTGCCCTCCTTCTTCTCCTTGCCGCTCTTCTTGCCGCTCTTTTTCTCGCTTTCCTTCTTGTCCTTACCGCTCTTTCTCTCCACGCTCTCCTTCTTATCTTCTGGCTTTTCTTTTGGTTTCTCCTCGCTCTTTTTCTCATCCTCCTTCTTCTCCTTGCCACTCTTTTTCTCTGGGCTCTCCTGCTCTTTCTTGTCCTTTCCGCTCTTCTTCTCGTCCGGCTTCAACTTTTCGCTCCTTTTCACGCTCTTTTTGACGCTCTTTTTCTCGTCCTCCTTCTTTTTTTCATCCTCCTCCTTCTTCGTCCGGGGATTCTTCTCCGCATCTTTTTTCTGTTTTCCGCTCCTCTTCAGGCTCTGTCTTCCGCTCTTCCGGTCGTTTTTCTAAATCGAGTTTTAATTGACTAAATTGATTGATTTAAATCGTTTTTGTATTTTAGTTGGAACGGGGCAATCCAGTTACGAAAATAGCTAAACTTATATTTGTCAGGGAGTCGCGGGTTTTTTCTGCATTTTAAAACTATTCTTGAGCAGAAAACGGTAGGAATTACTTTAAAACACGAATTTGAAGTTCTTTTAAAACATGTTAAAATTTACTTTTGGTCAAAAAAACCTTTAAAAATGCTACAACATTTTAAAAAAACTTCATCGAAGATGCTATAAGAACTTCTTAAAAATGTAAAATAATTTTCTCATCAAAATCTTTAAAAAAATTAATTATGATGGTTTTTAACAGTTTTAAATTTTGAAAATCCCTTTAAAAGTCGAACATTTAATTACTGCCATTTTGTGACTTAATTAACGATTAATTTGATAGAATTTTTTGATCGTTTTCTTGCCTTTTTGCCAGAAACCAAAATCCCGAAAATTTTTTAGGAATGTTTGTTTAACCCTGTGCCAAAAAAAGCTGTAAAAACCTAGACCCCCGCTAACAGTCCAGTGCCATTTAAAATGGCGTTGGATAAACCTACATCTTTCAGCACGGCGTCGACGTATTTCTTGGTGGGTTCCTGGAAGTCAGTATTCAAAGCGCCAAAAAAGGGGCGAGGTTACCCGAACTTTGGCGCTGTCCCCAAATACATTCTCAGGCGCATCGTCGTACGTATTCCGGTCAATGGCTAAATTGCTTGTGCATTAGTGGGGGGTGGTCTGATGAAAATTTCGACACTCGGCACTTTGAAATTGCGAATTTTGAAAGATTGAAATTTTCACATTATGCCGCTTGACACTATGGAATTCGACATTAATAATCCCGGCATTTCGAATTGCGACATGCTGAAATGCCGACATTATCAATTTGGACATCAGTTAAATATGTCCGTTTTTGCAAATTTTTACGTTATCAATTTAGAAATTACTATATCCGCACAAGGAATTTCGAAGTTTCGAACAAGTATTTCTAATGAATTTCGACCTTATAAAATTCTTCATTCAGCATTTCGAAATCGTGGATTTTGCCACTATGACTTTCAACATCATATATTTCGACGCTACGCAATTTCGAGCATTATCAATTTCAAAATCTGTATTTCGTCAATCTGAAACTTCGAGATTGTGAATTTCGCCAATCTGAAATTTCGATATTGTGAATTTCCCCATATTCAAATTTTAGACGTCATGAATTTTGACCTGAGGAATTTTGAAATAATGTTCCCAAATCCTCACAAACGATTCCGCGGGTGGCGGGTGGTTTACCACCGCTTGGCGACGTCGAGGAGCTGTTCGTCTGATTCGGTTCTCTCGTCTGTTTTTTCGGCCGGGCCTTGATGAAGTCGGTGAGGGCGCGGGGAGATCGCCTGGGGGAAAAGGTTCACTATACTAGACTGTCGGGTACTGAACTGTTAACGGGGGGGGGGGGTTATTTAGCAGGGCAAAGACATTGCATTTCCGGGGCGGGGGGCACTAAAAAATTTTTCGGCACAAGCCTAAATTTTTTTATAAATAGAGGATGAGTTTCTAAATAGTTTTTAATACTATTCCTAGGCATAAAAACTTGACAAATTTTAAACAAAGTTTAGTTTTCTTTCGAAAAATCCCCAAAAAAGGACCCAAAATGACCAAATTTTCGAGTTTTTCAAACTTTTCTTCTAACTTTGTTTGAAAGTTTTTCTTCTTTAAATATAGTTAAAACTTACTAAAAACAATCCGAAAACACTTTATATTTGATTACTAGGTCAACCGGGACAGCCAGGCAAAAATTTGGATCCCCCCGGCAATACTAAAGAACCAAAACTAGGAAAAACAGGTTAAAAATTATTGATTATTGATTATTCCCAGGTCAGTACAGGCGAAAAAAAAAAACAAAAATTAGTTTCTTTTCTGCTGAACCCTCCCCTGAAGATGCCCCAACTTTTACAGTATAGCGCCTCAGCGTTGTGCTACAGACATGTAGACTATACCAAAACGTTCGTCTTCCTCCGGCAAGCATTTTGGTATACTTTACGTGGCTCTAGCACGACGCGAAGCCGAGATACAAAAGGTCCTACAGCATGGGGTCGTCGCTCAGCTGTGCTTCGTCATCGTACATTGGATCTCGTGAAGCATACCGCCGCCGACCATTATATTTTCGCCGTAGACTATACGGTCGCGGACGATTTTCAAAATCTAAGATCTCAATATAGCTCCAATTTTGGTTCAAGTGCAGTTTACCCCCTCCCCAGCCGGCCCCCAACTTTTGTCTCTTGGCTCCCTGTTCATCTACAGGTGTGTAAAGTATAGCAAAATACTTGCCAAAGCAAGAGGAACATTTTGGTATACTTTACACACCTGTAGATGAACAGCAAGCCGAGATACAAAAGTTCGGGGCCGGCTGGGGGGGTAAACTGCACTCTAACCCAATTTTTCCATGTAAATTTACTGTTTTCTTCATCTCCAGGTCTCGATGATTATTTTAATATGTGATATGTCCGGCAAACTAGCCCTCGATCTCCCCAAAAACTAAAAATTTCTGAGTTTTGGGAGAAAGATCTTAAATTTTATAGGTTTAATAAGTTCTCTGGCATTTGCGGGGGGGGGGGGGGGCGAACCCTTTGTATAAGTATAGAAATGTCTGGTAACTTAATAAAAAACGTTTTGGTCTTTATGTAAAGAAATTGCCACTAAAAAACTATCTAAAAACTTTTTTAAAGTCGACATTGTGGCCAAACATCGGCCATTTCCGTCAAAAAATCGATATATTTCAAATTTTTTAAGGAAAATTTGTAAAGTTTTTATGTTTAGGAATCGTAGTCCATTAGAAACGCTTTAAATATTTATATTTGAAAACTCAGATCCTAAGAAAAAAGTTCCCCCCCCCCCGATAATGCCATAGAACCTTTTAATAGATTTTTTGTAGTTTTCGCGCTTAAGAATGGAAAATTTCAAAGGTTTAGAAACTCTGCCACTGTTTATATAAAAAAATGGAACTTCAGAATCTAGCCATGGATTCTAAAAAAGTGCCAAAGATTTACCATTTTCCCTAAAAACCAAAAAGAATTGTACGGTACATTCGACCCAAGCTGGGCCATTGGTGGGCCCAACTTGGTCTAATTAGTCCTTCCCATATCTCCCGCGGTCGGGCGACGATTGCAAGCAGTACAGCCGGCAATCCGGAAACCGACCCGGGATGGCGCGGCCGGGGGTCGAACCAGGGCCCTGTGCCTGGTGGGCGTGGCCTCATGCCCATAGGCCACAGAGGAGTGGGGTTGGGGAGGGTAGGGGGCGCACAAAAGGGGTTTGCGGCGTCGTGGGATCCACTTTTTCGGTGCTTTTTAGGTACTAAATACAGTAAATTAGGGAATATCGCTTTTGAACTAGTTTAAACATTAAAAAATTAATGAAACTTAGGGTTCTGTACTGTTAGCGGGGGGAGGGAAGGCAGGGTTTTAGCGGGGGAAAGCCATTTGTGGTTTTGGGCACCTATACGTCCTACCTGTTGATGATAAATCATGTCTTTTTATTCATAGTTTAGTAGTTTTTGATTGCTAGAAAAATTCAAAAAAAATTTAATCTTTGAAAAATTCGGTGCAACATTTGTGCCCAAAATCAGAAATTTTTGAAACGTTTTATTATTGATTATTTTGTTTTTATATCTGAGAACTATGCAAAATGCTACCTAAATTGTTTATAGTTTGTTTTATACCATTTTACGCCCATTTTGCTTGTATCCCTGCTCGCAAATGAGCTAACGGTTTGTAAAGTATGCCAAAAATGCTCTCCTCTCCCTGGAGAAGAAGAAAACGGAAAAAGCGTAGCAAAATGCTAATTTTTTCATACCGTTCTGCTTGTCGCTACAACACCCGGCGAGAGCAGCTACGCAGAAGACGAGCGTGCCAATGACCCATCCGAGTATCGGGGAGACCCAGTTTTCCTAAGGTTCTCTATTTGTCTCTTTAAGTCAATTAGCATACGGCGAAAGTGATTAGCATAGCCGATGGGACGTGTGTCGTGGACGCGCTCGAATAATCAGAATGACTTTATAGACACAGCCTAGCAAAATGGTAGGGAGGGTAGAAAAGTGAAAAATACAAAAATCTGCCGTTTTTCTAGGGTCCACCCTTATGCAAATTTTGGCAATGAAATTTCAAAATGGTAATGGTTCCTTAAAGTACTGCTGGTCGTCGCTCTCGCTCTCTCTTGCTCTTTTTGTCTTTCTCGTTCTCTCTCCCGCTCTCGCTCGCTTTTTACCGCTGTCTCAGGAACACAAAAATCGGAGAAAATTTTATTGACAACGCAATAAAAACGAGAAAAATAGGACAAGTAATATTTTGAGGTATCCGACGGTTGTGGGTTCGTTACATCTGGCTAGGCAATCGGAGACGCCAGGCCTAAAAAACACTGTAAGTAGGATCCCAGCGTAGCTACCGTACCCCTCAAGCCGTTGGAGGCGGAGCCTCGGCCGCCTCGGGCTTCTTCTCTTGCTCCTTGTTCTCCTCGGCTTTCGGATCCTCCTTCTTTTCCTCTTCTTTCTTTTCAGCCTCTTCCTTTTTTTCTTCTCCCTCCTTCTTTTCCCCATCTTTCTTCTGCGTCTCCTCCTTCTTTTCTCCCTCCTTCTTCTCCTCTTCTTTTTTCACGTCTTCCGCTTTTGGCTCTTCTTTCTGTAAAAAATAGATTTAAAAAATTCGAAAAACCCGACCGGCTTCTCGTCTTTTTTGTCGTCGGGTTTTGGCTCTTCTTTCTTTTCCTCCTGTTTCTTCTCTTGCTCCTTCTTTTCCTCCTCCTTCTTCGGCTCCTCCTTCTTGTCTTCAGCCACCTTCATCGTGCTCTTCTCTTTCTGAGTCAAATTCATAAGCTTAAATACGTTAAACTACCGTATCCTTGCTCTCCTTCTTCTCCTCGCCCTCCTTCTTGATGACGCTCTTATCCTTCAGCACGCTCTTCTCCTTCTCCTTTGAGCTCTTCTTCTCGTCCTCCTTCTTCGGCCCATCCTCCTTTTTCGCCTCCGGCGTCTGCAAGACCATTATTAAAGGGGCCGAGACAGCAAATTCCACCTCCTTTCCGCTCTCCTTCTTCTCGGTGCTCACCTGCTTCTCCTTGCCGCTCTTCTTGCCGCTCTTTTTCTCGCTCTCCTTCTTGTCCTTACCGCTCTTTCTCTCCACGCTCTCCTTATCTTCTGGCTTCTCCTTCGGCTTTTCCTCTAGCTTTTTCTCATTCTCCTTCTTCTCCTTTGCACTCTTTTTATCTGGGCTCTCGGCCTCCTTCTTGTCCTTTCCGCTCTTCTTCTCATCCGGCTTCAGCTTCTCACTCTTTTTCACGCTCTTCTTCTCGTCTTCCTTTTTCTCGTCCTCCTTCTTCTTCTCGTCCTCTTGCTTTTTCTCCTCTTTCTCCTTCTCGGCGCTCTTTCCGGGCTCCTTCTTCTCTTTTCCGCTTCTCTTCAGGCTGAGCTTCCCGCTCTTCTTGTCGTCCTTTTTCTGAAATAGACGATTTTGCTGTTACCATCCCTTTGATGGATCTTATGCACGATCGGGGGGGGGGGTTCCCTAGAAGCCATTTCCCCCTATAAAAATAGTATTGTTTTGTAAAATGTTTTTTGCTATTCCCGAAAATGCCAAAATCCTCGCAAACTTTGATTAGACCTTGTAAACAATTGGCAATTTTTCGACCATTATTTCAAAAGTTCTAAGTCTTGGTAGGTTTTTCAATTTTAAAAATGGTTTTTTGATTTGAAATCTAGTATAATTTGATGAGGAATTTTAATATAAGATCTGTCCCACGCCCGTTACTGCAAAAGTACCAAAAATGCAACACTATTTGCTACCTTTCCGGAAATCAGGGCCGGATCGACGTAGTTCTCGGTCACCTGCAAAATATGCGCTTCTGCTCCGGTGTTAGGAAATCGCTTACCTTGACCTCGATGTCCTTGCCAAAATCGACTTTCGAATCCTTGAACGTCTGCGCTTCGGGGGCTGCAAAAAACATGTTTTGGTGCGAATTTAGGTTCTTTTGCACTATCGGGGGGGGAGAGGTATCAGAACAGGAGAGTATCCGATAATGCTAAAGAACCCGAGCTTATTTTACACCCTTCCCCCCTCGGCTAAGCGAAAAGCACCGAAATTTGTATTAAAACTATGGCGACGGTAAAGGGCGTTAAACAAAAACCCACAGTTTTGCGTTCGGTTACCGCGAGGCCCCTCCGCCATTTTTTTTCTGATGTATTCTGAGGTTTTGATGTTTAATGGCAGCGGTTTAACGTTTTGCATATCCATGTAGAAGTCCTCATCTGAAATAACGGTTTAGGTTAGGCTTAGGCTTAGGCTTAGGCTTAGGCTTAGGCTTAGGCTTAGGCTTAGGCTTAGGCTTAGGCTTAGGCTTGGGCTTAGGCTTAGGCTGAGGCTTAGGCTTAGGCTTAGGCTTTGGCTTAGGCTTAGGCTTAGGCTTAGGCTTAGGCTTAGGCATCGGCTTAGGCTTAGGCTTAGGCTTAGGCTTAGGCTTAGGCTTAGGCTTAGGCTTAGGCTTAGGCTTAGGCTTAGGCTTAGGCTAGGCTTAGGCTTAGGCTTAGGCTTAGGCTTAGGCTTAGGCTTAGGCTTAGGCTTAGGCATCGGCTTAGGCTTAGGCTTAGGCTTAGGCTTAGGCTTAGGCTTAGGCGTAGGCGTATGCTTTCTACCCCGCTTCTTTCTTCTACACCCTGCGAGGGCAGCCACGCAGAAGGCGAGCGTGCCGATGACCCATCCAAGTGTCGGGGAGACCCAGTTTTCCTAAAAAATTTGGAATTTCGTCGAGCCCTAATTAGCATACGTCGAATGTGATTAGCATAGCCGTTGGGATACGTGCCGTGCGCTCTCTCGAATAATAAGAATGACTTTATAGACACAGCCTAATAAAAATTGAGGGGAGTAAAAATAAGAATGGCAGTAGGGGTGGCTGTGCCAGATTCTTTGACTAAAATGGTAATGTCGAGATGAAAAAGCGTAGTCAATTATGATAATTAATTATACTAAGCTCATATTCCCTCTCCCTCGTACTCGCTCTCTCTCTCTCTCTCTCTCTCTCTCTCTCTCTTTCTCTCTCTCGCTCGGATGCCTGGCGATTTATGTAGCGCACTTCGCGACTACGAAAAAAATATTTTTTAGGTAAGCGTGCTCGTCACTTTCCCAGCCAGCGCTGCCGTCCAGGCGCAGACGATTGGACAGTACATGGGTGTGTCTGGTAGCGTGATCTTTGTAACCTTTCAGTGGAGGGCTTCTCGCTGCATTTGGAGAACCCATGGCAAGAAGTGGTGTCGAGGGGGATCGGATATGCTGTATTAGGTGCTGTATAGTTTACATGTTTTCTTTTTCTGGTATTTAAAACCAACTAAAAACGTAAAAATAATTTGATCAAGAAAGATAACAAAAATTATAATCACCAAAATTACAACCGCCTTTCCAGCAGCCGTCTGCTTCCTGAACTTCTACCCGCTAAGCAAGAGCGGAGGTCGACTACAAGTAACTCAACCTTGCGGTTAATTTTGCATTTTTCGAAACTTCTAGACGGTCAACACCGTAGCCAAGGTGCTTTCGATGCTGCTGATCATCGGCACCGGGCTGTACTTTTTGGCGTTTAAAGGTATGGAAACATTTTCTGATGTTTTGTGGTGGAAAAATCCAGATTTTTACACAAATTCAAACGTAATTCGGTATAATTTTGATAGATTTACGAAAATTGTGAATTCACACAACTTTTCAGAAGGCGCCAAGCAGCTCGAGGACCCATTTTCTGGATCGGTTTGGAAACCGGGCTCGATTTCGCTAGGGTTCTACGGTGGGCTATGGAGTTATGCAGGATGGGATGTGCTGAATTATGGGACACCAGAAATCAGGAACCCAAGGAGGTGAATCTTCCTCGCTCTCGCTCACTCGGTCGCTCGCTCGCTTTCGTTCTCTCTCTCATCCTCTCTCACTCTCTCTTCTCTCTCTCGCCATCTCTCTCTCTTTCTCTCTTTCTAACTCTCTCATTTCCAGAACAATCCCAATCGCCCTCTTCTCCGGCTTGCTCCTCGTGACGGTCGTCTACTTCCTAATCAACCTGGCATACGTAGTAGTGCTTCCCGTCGAAACCGTCAAGGACAGCGACGCCGTCGTGGCGGTAAAACTACATCTAATCGTTCTAAAACTCGCAAGTTTAGGATTTTGCCGACAAGTCGCTGGGTCACATATTCCGAGTGTTGGTCCCATTTTCGATCGTCGTCGTGCTGGTCGGGACGCTGAATTCAAATTTGTTTGTTGGATCGAGGTGAGAGAGAGAGAGAGAGAGAGAGAGAGAGAGATAGAGAGAGAGACAGAGGGAGCGAGAGTGATAGAGACAGCGATAGATATAGAGAGAGCGGGGGAGAGAGAGGGAGAAGGAGGGAGAGAGAGAGAGTGAGAGAGGGAGAGAGCGCAAGCGAGTGAGAGATTTCTGAGGCAATCCTGTGCAAAAAAAATACAAAATGTAGATGAGTTTTCAAGGTGCATGCAAGCCGCTTCCCAACGCGGCCATCTACCGCCATTTCTAAGTTGTATCCAACCGGAATACAACAGCCCGAGGGTGTCAATTGTAGCGCAGGTAGTTTCAATCCTGTTCATCGTAAGCTAAGCCCCGAATTCCGTAATAATCTCTGCTAGCTTGCCTAGATTATTCGAGCTAGTTGGCGAAGTTTTGCCTATTCTCTCAGGTTTAGCCGCTTCGTAAGTCACAGATTTGACGCTAAAAAATCACAGGAAAGCTAGCAGTGATCGTTAAGGAGTTTTTAAATCAAAATCTATTTCAGGCCCTGCTTACCGTAGCCATCTCATTCGTCAGCATCGACGCGCTGATCAACTACGTTACTTTCGTGATATGGGCCCAGCGAATTGTAACAATGTCGGCGTCGTTGTGGATTCGATTCCGGAACATTCCGGTGGCCAAAGGTTTGATTGCTTTATTCGGGTTATCTCTAAATCAAAATTTGCGCGTCATAATTCCGAAAAACCGATTTTTAGAAGTCGAAAAATTGCACGAATTCCAACTCAATCGCAACCTCATTTAACAAACCGTTTGTCAAATCATTTAAAAATTTTGTTAGGATTTCCAATTTAAAATGCATCTTTCCAAAAATATCGATGATTCCCAAGTTTTTTTTGAGAACTAATAGAATACAAGATGGGCTTCATCTTCTTGAATTTCCAGACGCCTTCAAATTCCCTTTGATGCTGCATCTCGTCTTTTTTGGAATTTCCGTGGCACTCGTCTTTGTGCCGTTAATACAGGAGCCCAAGGTGAGAGAGAGCGAGAGTGAGACGACAGAAATTTTTCAGGTTAACGCCATTGGCATGGGCTGCATCGCGCTGTCGGCCATCGTTTTCTACCCCTTTGTATATTTTAAAACGTTACCAAAATGGTTAGACGCGTTTAATGGTAAGACTACGGTACCTAATCTAAATTTCATATCAGAACAAACCACAAAAGTTGCGGAATTCATTTTCTCATCGAGGCGGGATCTGAAAAAAATCACCGATGCTGACGATAAAATGGAGGAGCGGAAAACCAAATTATGATACCTTGCAGAAAAAGATGTCTCTAAAGAAGCTGGGTTTCTTCAAGGAACCGTAAAACACGCTCAATATAGAATTACTGATTGCATCCTGTATCGAGAAAAGTTTCTCTCTCCCTCGCTCTTTCGCTCTCTTTCTTATCTCTCGCATGCCAAAAAAATATACTAACTTTATTCCGATGCAGTTTTGTAAGCAGATTTCGAAAATCATAGTGAGACGGGCAAATATAGTAGGACAAAATAGCCGTTCCATTATGAAGTTTTTATTGCCAACGCGGAAAACACACAAAAATCGAGGCACAGCTGGTAGGGTAATTGGATTGAACAGTCGGCTTGTGATTTGGAAGAAGCATTGGCGTCGAGTTGTAGGGTGAGTAGAGTAGAATCCTAAAATAATCTGCAGTGCTTTTGCATTATCGGGGGGAGGGATTGCTGCTTATGTCTAGTGCCAATTCACCTCCCCCGATAACGCAAAAGTACCAATACAGATAAGCTCCGATTCCTACCGTACCCCTCAAGTGGCAGTGGGCGGGGCCTCTTCGACTACGGCGTCTTCTTTTCCCCATCTTTCTTCTCCGTCTCCTCCTTCTTTTCTCCATCCTTCTTTTCGTCTTCTTTCTTCACGTCTTCCGCTTTTGACCCTTCCTTCTTTTCCTCGTCCTTCTTCTCCTTTTTCGGGGTATCTTTCTGGAAAAATGACGGTTCAATTGCACCATGGCATTATCGGGGGTAGACGTCTTCGTATTTTTTATTTGTGAAAGTCTTACCTGAAAGGAAATCAAATTTTACTAAAAAACTATTAAAATCTTACTATTAAGTCATCAGGAATTTCTGGAAGTATACAAAATTCTGATTTCCTTGTCTGTTACCCCCTCCGATAATGCAAATGCTCCAAAACCACCGTACCGGTTTCGACTTCTTGTCGCTCTCCTTCTTCTCGTCGGCGGCCACCTTATTCTCGTTTTTCAGGCTCTTTCCTTCCTGCAAAATTTTTTTAAAGGGACGGCGCCAGGTCAAGAAGGGAGAGAGAGAGAGAGAGAGAGAGAGAGAGAGTGAGAGCGAGCGAGCGAGTGAAAGTGAGAGAGAGAATGCGCGAGTGAGAGAGAGAGCGCGCGAGTGAGAGAGAGAGAGGGCGCGAGTGAGAGAGAGCGAGAGATAGAGAGAGAGAGAGAGAGAGAGAGAGAGAGAGAGAGAGAGAGAGCGCAGCTGTATCAAGACCCACCTCTTTCGCCGGTTCCTTCTTTTCATCAGCTTTCAGCTTCTTCTCGCTCTCCTTTTTCTGGTCGCACTTCTTCTCGGCCTCCTTCTTTTGCTCTTTCTCTTCTTTCTCGCGCTTCTCCTGCTCCTCTCGCTGCATCTTATCGAAATCGCACGGCCGCTTACATTTCGGGCAAGTATCTGGTATTGGGAAAATGATAAGCGGGTTTTTTTACATTCTCGCGGGGGAAGGGAACATATCCAACGTTTTTCTCCTGCATCCAATTTTTGTGAAATAAATAGCTAAAGTGCTGCTACGCCGTTTTTTTTTAAATTAATAAAGGCAAAACATAAAGCTTCACATATAAAATAATAAAAAAAAATGGATTTTTTCGACCAAAATTTTAAAATTGCAAACATTTTGCCCAGTTACGAATGTCAGATGTTTTTGAGCTAGTATGTGAATCATAATACGATTAAATTTTGCTAAAACTCTAGTAAATACTAACAACTAAAGGTCTCGATTTTTCCAGCAAGGCGGGCGGAAACACACAGATTCGCACAAATTTCAATCCTGGAAAAATGTTTTTAGGATTTCATAACCCGTTTTATACTTGAGATATTTTATTATATTATATTTTACTAAAACCACGATTAAACTAATTATCATTACTCAACCAGGGATTTTGTATTTTTGGATATTTGTATTTTGAAGGTAACCCGTAAAAAAATTATACCGAATGGCTGATGGCACGTCTCACAAGGCGTACACCTTTCATAACGACGGTGGGTGGTGCGGCAAGTACGGCAATGGTCAACTGTAATGAGGAGTAAATCGTTAAAAAAATCGATTCTGGACTGTTAGCGGGGGGGGGGGGAGCTAGCGGGCGAGGAAGCCAAATTTTTCCCGGTGTTTCTCTACGGCCCTATAACAAAATAAAAACCATTTCATAGCATTTTTTTATATTTTTAGTTATCAAAACAATATAAAAATCCGAAAAAGTGCAAAAAAGCCGTGGCGTGGGGACTTGTTTTTAATACTTATTATAAATCACCCTCCCCCACTAACAGTCCGGAACCGCAACAATTTCGGGGCTGGCTTTCAAGGCAAACCCACTTGTCTTGACCCGTTTACTCCGATCATTTGGATCTAGACGAAACTTCGCTACGTGATCCTCCCAGTCATCTGGGAGTCGAGGTGGAGATGGCTCGCTGTCATCGGCATGGTAGAACTGCGGCTCTGAAAGTGCAGTGGCCAATGGGCGTTGGCATAGGCTCAGGCTTGGGCTATGCGCAGGCTTAGGCTTACGATTATTCTTGGTTCTAGCTTCGGCTTAGCCTTAACTTAGGCTTCAGCCTAGTTAGGTCTGCTCTGTGGCTAGAGGCGACGCCTAGGTCAAGGACCTAGAAACGTTATTTATACACTTCCTATTACATTACTGGGGATTTCTCAACCAGCAGGAATATAAAATAATACGACAGATCAAATAAATAACAAAAAGCAAATCCATACGGACCGGTGTGCCAATCCTTTTCGTCACCTACCCGGCTCCTCCTTCTTCTTCTTCTTGCAGCTGCAAGTCCTGCAACGCTGGATGGCGTCATCCACGGCTGTAAAAATTTTTTTTTTCGTAATATAGGGAGCAGGACGCTGGTGAATTTGTGTGGTGCTTGACTGTTAGCGGGGGGGGCAGATTTTCCCTGCGATTCTCCACAGCCGTATACTTTACGTTTACGTACGTATATAAACCATTTTTATGGCATTTTACATCATTTTTACCAATAAAAACGGGAAAATTTAAGTATACGGTCACCTAGCCAAACCCAACTTATTTATATATAGAAATGTTCAGCTCGACGAGCTGGTTCAGGATCAGTTGAAAAAACTATTGGGAAACACTTCTGCGCGAGATATAGGGGTCCAAATTTAGCTAGTTAGGTATACGGTCACCAATCCAAACAGGCTTGTTTTATGCATAGAAATGTGCAGCTCGTCGAGCAGAGCCGATATCTGTTCGAAGAATCGTTGGGAAAAATGTATAAAGAAAGTTATGAAGGTTTGAAACTCAGTTTTCGGAAAGTTCCGGCTACGCGACACTCCTTTGTACGGAGCGGTGTAGTCTGTATTCGTACGTACCTCGGCAATAATACATGTTTGTAATTTTTAGGCGTTTTTAACGCTACTAATGTAAAATAAAGGTAAAGGTGAGGCTTTTCACATTGTCAGGCAAGGTGGGCCGTCGCTTCGGATGGGCTGCCGCTCCACTCTTCCGAAATGGGGGCGCCCCCGGCCGCTTCGCCGGCCTTGGCGCCCCCATTTCGAAACCCTGTACGAGCTCGCGCCCATCCGAAGCGACTAGGTCCCGGGTGGCACGAAGCCTTATTTTTAGGTAGAGTTTGAGTGTATTAAAGCGAAATATCCAAAGGAAATGGGCCTTTTTTGGCCCTTTTGGTGTTCAAACTAATATCTCGCTCCAAAAGTGTTTCCCAATTGTTTTTTCAACTGATCCTGAACCAGCTCGTCGAGCTGAACATTACTATATATAAAAAGTTTGGGTTTGGCTAGGTGACCGTATACTTGAATTTAGCCATAAAAACCATATGAAAAACTAAAAAAAATTACAAACCAAACTTGTACAATTTTTCAGGTAAATTGCAAAAAGCTGGGCTCTCCAATTCTTTTGTTTCCCCACCTCCCCTCCTTCTACAACCCGCGAGGGCAGCCACGCAGAAGACGAGCGTGCCGATGACCCATCCGGGGGCTGATGATGCCCAGTTCTCCTGACGAGTAATTTGTATAAACCGTGAATTTTCTTACGGTGAATGGGATTAGCATGGCCGGGAGGCAAGTGCCAGGAAGCGGCTAGAGAAATGCAACACGAAATTCGAAGAAATCGGCAAATCCGGAAGCGGCTTTACTTCGTAATTTTGCTGTCATTCAAATTACTGTATAGGGATATTGGCTGTATCTATCTGTCGTTATCTCTCCCTCTCTCTCTCTCTATCCCTCGCTCTCTCTCTCTCTCTCTCTCTCTCTCTCTCTCTCGTTCCCTCTGATTTATTCTCGTCAATAACAGCGACAATTTCCTGTAAAAAAATTGCACAGAGCTTTTATCGTCACAATATAATTATGGTAATGTAAGGCGGCGATCACGGTAGATGGCCAGGCGGATGGTAGAGGAATACAAACATTTGGCGCCAGTAGACCTGGAAAATGATATTTTTCTGTCACTCTCTCTCGCTCTCTCCCTCTCTCTCTTCTTTCTGGCACTCTCTGTCTCTCTCTCATGATTCGTCGCACTCTACCACTCGCACTACCACCTTTTTGTCGCACTCTCTCTCTCTCTCTCTCTCTCTCCCGCTCTATGCGTATTCTCCCCGATTCTTACCGTACTCCCCAAGTGGCAGGGGGCGGGGCCTCTTTTCCTTGCGAACCAACTATTACACATAGTTTTCGTTTTCTTCTTTCTCTTCCTTCTTCTCCTTTTTCCGCCGGACATATCTCTGAAAGAAAGACGGTTCGCTTGCACTTTGGCATTATCGGGGGGGAGAATCAAGTGGAAAATCAAATTTCGTAGCACCAATTTTTTTAAAGATTAGTGGAGGTCGTGTTTGGACACCGTTTTTACTATTCAAAAAATGCAAAACCCCCACAAAGTTTTACTAAACATATACAAAATCTCGATTTTTCGATCAAAATTGAGAATTTTTAGAGTTTTAGATAGCTTTTCCGCGTGAAATAGAAATAAATTGGCGACAAAACCATGAAAATTGCGCTATTAGAATTTCTGGACGTATACGAAAAACTCGGTTTGGCCGTTTGTAGCACCACCCCCGTTATTGCAAAAGCACCAAAGCCACCGTACCGTCTTCGACTGATTGTCGCTCTCCTTCTTCTGGTTGGCAGCTACCATGTTCACCGGCTGCTTCTTGTCCTCCTTTTTCATCTCACCCTTCTTCTCGCCCTCCTTTTGTTCGCCGTCCCTCTTCTGCTCCTCTTTCATCGACTGATCAACATCGAACGGACGATGACACATCGGACAAGCAGCAATCACTGCAAAAAAGGATCAAATTTTTCTAATCGTTAAAATTTAAGCTTTAGATTTTTCTAAATTAGCGTCTGGCGGCGAGAGGCGTGATAAATTTGGTTTTCTCTCACCCTCCTTCTTTTCTTCGTCCTTCTTCGGCTCCTGCTTCTTTTCTTCAGCTTTCTTCTTAGCGAGCGCCTGCTGCAATAAAAGGTTTTGGTTCTTTCGCATTATCGGGGGGGAGTAAATTTTTTCTTAGAACCTAATTTTTCAAACATAAATTGTGGAGGCCTTTCTCTAAATCGTTTTTCACCATTCCTAAACTTCAAAAATTTACAAATTTTTATTAAAACCTATCAAAAATAAATCTTAATAAAGACCGAAAAAAGCGGATTGTCGACAAAATAAAAGTTCGGCTTTTTTCAAAATTTTTAAAGTGGTTAGTAGTGTTTCTAGTTGAAATATACTTGTATATCACCAAAAAGACGATTAAAACACTGCTACTAACTTACTAGGCATTGCTAGACTTATATAAAAAAAGTTAGCCCCCCCAATAATGCGAAAGAACCCTACCGCCTTCTCCTTTTCTAGGCGCGCCCATCGCGCTCTTGCGTAGTGCGGAGCTACGTCCCAGTCCGGCAGCTCGCCCGGCGGCGGTTCACGATCCGGGTCGAAGACATATTTCGGAAGAGCTGAATGCCGGGCAGAGTTTTAGCCTTAGCTATCGACAAGGTGTATTTTGGCCTGTTTCGGGGAATTTGAAGCCTTTTTTAGGCCTTTTGTATGTTGCTCAACCATTTTTTCGCATTTTCTCCTATTTCTAAAAATTAGAACAATTTTTTCAACGCCATTTGGCAGCAGATAGAAAAAGGCTTACGTGCAGTTTACCCCCCCCCCCAGTCAACCCCACCTACCGGATCTCGGTTCCCTGTTCATCTACATGTGTGTAAAGTATACCACAATACTCACCACAGCAAGACGAACCTTTTGGTATACTTTACCACACCTGGAGATGAACAGGGAACCGAGATACAAAAGTTGGGTCCCGGCTGGGGGGGACTGCACTCTAACCTATAAAAATACTTTGAAAGCGCTTATGGCAGCTCAAAAATATTGTCATGTTAAACGTTAAAGTAAAAAAATAACGACGCGGCTTTTTTACTTTTTGGTCAGCGTTAGCAAAACCAACGGGACGGCGACTCTGGGTCTGGGTCATCGTCCGGATCCTCTGGGAATGCCCTGACGTAGGTTTGCGTGGTAGAGGTTTGCTCCGGGCTTCGTGTGATGGCGACGGGAACATTTCGGTAGATGATCACTAAAACGAATTTTGGATTTTAGGTTCTATTGGGCGGGGGGGGGGGGGTCAAGTTTCCTCCCCCAACAGTGCAAAAGCCCTTGCCTTGCTCCTTCTTCCTTCCACACCCCGCGAGGGCAGCCACGCAGAAGACGAGCGAGCCGATGACCCATCCGAGGGCTGATGATTCCCAGTTTTCCTACCGAGTAATTTGCATAACGCCCGAAATTGCCTACGTCGAATGGGATTAGCATAGCCTGGAGGCAAGTGCCAGGAAGCGGCTAGAAAAATGGAAGACGTAATCGAAGAAATCGGCAAATCCGGAAGCGGGTTTGCTCCGGAATCTTGCTGTTATGCAAATCTCGCTGTCTCTCTCGCCCTCTATCTCCCTCTCGCTCTTTATCTCTCGTTTTCGAATGACTTTTATCACCACAACACATTTACAAAAATGTAATAAGGCGATCGATCATGTTTTGTAGTCGAATGAAGCGTCGGCCATTTGCACACAAAAATCCGGCCGGATTAAGTCAGCAACCAAGGAGCGGAGTTCTGAAAAATCTGATCGATAAACAGGCAAAAAACACCGTACCCATCAAGCCGATGGGGGCGGAGCCTCGGCAGCCTCGGGCTTCTTCTCTTGCTCCTTGTTCTCCTCAACTTTCGGCTCCTCCTTCTTTTCCTCCTCTTTCTTCTCAGCCTCCTCCTTTTTCTCTTCTCCCTCCTTCTTTTCCCCATCTTTCTTCTCCGTCTCCTCCTTCTTTTCTCTCTCCTTCTTCTCGTCTTCTTTCTTCACGTCTTCCGCTTTAGGCTCTGCCTTCTGTAAAAAATTGAATTTTTGAAGTTCGATAAACCCGACCAGCTTCTCGTCTTTTTTGTCGTCGGGTTTTGGCTCTTCTTTCTTTTCTTCTTTCACGTCAGCTTTCTGCAAAAATACGAGACAGTGCTTACCAAAAAATTGAAAATTCACCTCCTTCTCGCTCTCCTTCTTTTCCTCGTCTTTCTTCTCCTTCTTGCTGGCTTCCTTCTTCTCCGCAGCCACCTTCTTCTCACTCTTCTTCTCATTCTTCGTGCTCTTCTCCTTCTGAAATAGCTCTTTCAAGATTTTCTTTTTTAGGTTTTTTAGTAAGCCTAGGAGTTGGAAATTTTTATGCTAATTTAGGTTCTCGTATGTTAGCGGGGGGTGGGAGTTAGCGGCTTGCGGCTTGAGAACGAACTATGAATCCATTTTGTAGCATTTTTGTATGGTTTTAGATATTGCAAGTAGACAAAACATTTGAAATTTTTGAATGATGGATTTTCGGGTCAAAAATAATGAAAAAGTGTCAATATCTAAAAGGATTTGAATCTGAAAATAGGTAGCAAACTTTATAGCAATCAAAATATTACTAAAAACACTTCTGTACCTCTTTTTCGGTCTCCTTCTTCTCATCTCCCTTCGACTTCTTCTTTTCCTCGTCTTTCTTCTCGCTCTCCTTCTTTTCTTCATCTTTCTTCGCACTCTTTTTCTCGCTCTCCTTCTTCTTTTCATCCTCCTCCTTTTTTTTCGTGCTCTTCTCTTTCCGAAAAGTTGCATTAAAAGGGTTGGAAATCGTAGCGCCGTCCCCTTGCTTTGATTGTGTACGTCGAGATCCGTCTTCGAACGTATTTTCGATTATTCTACAGTGTTTGTTAGGTGAAGGGGTTCTTGTTTTTTAGCGGGGGTTCTTGTATTGCCTTTGCATTCAAATTTCCTATTTTTTATCGTCTAGCGAACCGAAAAAAAAGAAAATTATGGAAATTAGGCCTCCGCTACGGCCGCCCGCTAACGTCAAGTTATAGGTGGAGAAGCTCTCTCCGTGAAGGCGGAAGTACCCGCACCTCTTTTGGACCCTCCTTCTCCTCCTGCTCCTTCGGCTTCTTCTCGCTCTTCTTCTCTTCGTCCTCCTTCTTTTCCTTGTGGCTTTTCTGCTCCGGATCATCCTTCTTTTTCTCACTCATCTCCTTTTTCTCCTGCTCCTTCTCCTTTTTCTCGCTTTCCGCTTTCCGCTTCTCACTCTCCTGGGTCTTCTCTATCGTCGGCGGCGGCGAAATTCTTTCAAGAAGCACCGGATCCACATAGTATTTCAGCTCTCTCAACTCAACTGGTTCTTCCCACATAGCGCCGGGGTAGTACTCTGAACCAAAATCAATAGAAAATCGAAAAACCCGATTTTTTGGTGTTAAAGTTCGATTTTTTCCAATTTTGAGTTTTAAGTTTTTCCCGAAATTTGTAGTAACAATGTAGTAACGCTTCCATCATTTAAATTTGCCATTTGGTAAGAACGACAAGAACAAAACTAACCATAGACTTTTCGTATCTGTCTTGGGGCTGGGGCTGGCTTGGGTGGGGCTGGCGCAGGTTTTGGCGTGACGGCGACCACTGAAACGGCTTGGCTTAGGTTTCGGCTTACATCTAGGCTTTGGCTTCGGCTTCGGCTTCGGCTTAGGCCCATGCTCAGGCTTATGCTCATGCGTATGCTTAGGCTTAGGCTTAGGCTTGGGCCTACCCTTCTTCTTTTTCTTGCCACACCCCCCGAGAGCAGCCACGCAGAAGACGAGCGTGCAGATGGCCCATCCGAGGGCTGATGATGCCCAGTTTTCCTGGCGCGTAGTTTGCATACCGCCAAAATTTGCCTACGTCGAATGGGATTAGCATGTCCACGCGAGAAGTGGTCGCAAGTGGGTTCGAAAATCGAATACGGAATTCCATGAAATCGGCGAAGCCGGAAGCCAGATGCACTACGTAATTTTCCTGTAATGCAAATACTGTATGTGGGTATTAATGTGCTATCTATCACTCAATCACTCGCTCTCTCTCTCTCTCTCGGTCTCTCTCTCTCGGTCTCTCTCTCTCTCTCTCTCTCTCTCTCTCGGTCTCTCTCTCTGGGTCCGCCGCTGTTTTGCGATGTAAATTTAATTTTATTTTTGTTGAAGTAATATTGTTTAAATCGTAGCCGTTGTGGAGTCGTCAAAACCGCCATTTTCAACAATTCCTTCTGTTTCTGGATCTTCCGGATGCGCTGCTTGGACAGGTGTTTCCGAAAAAATCTCCGGAAGATGGCTAAAATTCCGAATTTTTCTTGGGCGTTGACATACCTCAGATTCAAATAATATTCGTTGTGCTTCAGGAGTTGCACGTGGTTGCGTAGTCTGTCGCACAACGTGGCAAAAGTTGGGCGAAGTTTTGGCTTCAGTCGCCAGCAGCTATGCATCAATTCGACCCTTAAATGTTTTGGACCTCGAATTCCACCTTTAATTCGGATTCGGATAATTCGGTCGCGTCGGTATTCTCAATCGATCTACTTACATCCAATGCGGGGTGGATTCGGGTGGGACCAGCGTCTGGCCACTATTCAAATAATCTGGAAATCTCTCGGGTGGGATCTTCTCGAAAGGCGTCTCGCCAAACGTGTGCATCTCCCAGAGGAGGACTCCGAATGACCATCTGAAAACTCGTTTGTGAATTTTGCAGAGCGTTTCGAGACTTACACGTCAGACTTCTCGGAGAAGCTCCCATCAGAGACAGCTTCCGGTGCTGACCATCTGAGTCTGGCTCGATTGTGCCGCAGGTTGCGCATGTAGTCGTGGTCGTCCTCGGTCCGGCTTAAGGCGAAACCGGTGATCTGATGCTCCCATCAAATGTTAGTACATTGAAAAATGCCTTTGCCATCTTCTCCGCCGTCATCAGCACGTTCTTGGCGGCGAGGTCGCGATGAACGATGCGCAGATTTGCGAGAAACGCCTGAAAAATTGCTCACTATCTCTCTCTCTCTCTCTCCCTCGCTCTCTCTCTCTTTCTCTCCTTCTCTCCTCTTCTCTTTCGCTCTCTCTCGCTCACTCTCTATCTATTTCTCTCTATCTATTTCTCTCTCTCTCTCTTTATCTCTCTCTCGTTCTCTCGCTCTGTCCCTCAACTTACCATTCCGTCCGCAACCTGCCAGCTAATCGATGGATAATCGGCGATGGTCACTGACCACTCGTCTCTATCCTAAACATGGCGTCTTCGACGAAAGTCTATAATTCTGGTGTAGCCTTGTTCTCTATAGGCTTACCTCTCTCTTCCGAATTTTCTCGACACAACTCAGCAAATCACCATTCGCACAGTATTCCGTAATTATCATAGGGTCCGACGGATCGCTGGTACAACCCAGTAGTGAGAGTAGATGCGCGTGGGGTGGGATGGCTTTGAGTACGACAATTTCTTTGAGCATTTCAATTCTAAAAACACCATCGATTTTTAATAGTATACAGGGTGTCCCAAAAAAAAAACACCCCCCTCTAGCGGCGCGCAGTCGTGTCCGATTTCCACCGTTTAGGTATCTATCGAAAGCTCTTGAAAAGGCGAGAAAACAAGGAGGGTTCATTTTCTTTATTATGTTTTTTTATTTGCGAATTTTAGCTCCAAAAATCGAGAAAACGGCAGATTTACGCGAGATCTGCATGCTAATTGCAAAATTCCTATTGAAAAGCTGCCTGTTTTTTTACAAAAACGGTGAATATCGGACGAATAAGGATAAATTTGAGAAAATGAAGCCCGCTTGTTTTCTCGCCTTTTCGCGGGATTTCGAATGGTATAAAAATCATCCTGATCTGTGTTTCCCCCGGACCGCTAGAGGGGGGTGCTTTTTTTTGGGACACCCAGTAGAATAGATGCGCTGCAATAAACTACGACCAGAAACAACGTTATTTACCTTGCATGCTCTTTAACAGCTGTTTTCGCAATCACCTCGTGGCCAGTTGCCGTGATGGGATAGACAACCTAGGCTTACGAGGCTTACTTAGGCATAGGCTTAGGCTTAGGCTTAGGCTTAGGCTTAGGCTTAGGCTTAGGTTTATGCTTAGGCTTAGGCTTAGGCTTAGGCTTAGGCTTAGGCTTAGGCTTAGGCTTAGGCTTAGGTTTATGCTTAGGCTTAGGCTTAGGCTTAGGCTTAGGCTTAGGCTTAGGCTTAGGCTTCGCTTGGCTTAGATTTAGGCTTCGGCTTAGGCTTAGGACTTGGCATAGGCGTAGGCCTAGGCTTAGAAATCGGCTTAGGCCTAGGCTTAGGTTCTTGCTTAGGCTTAGGCTTGGACGTTGGCTTAGCCGTAGATTTAGGCTTGGGCTTGGCTTAGGTTAGGCTTAGACTTCGTCTAGGCTTCGCTTAGGCTGGCTAAGACGTAGGTTCTCTTAGATTTTTCACAAACCTTCAAAGACGGATACACCATCGTACATGGCAGAGCTCCATGAAGAATAGTCTTCCTTATCAAGTGCATTTCATTCCTCTTCAACTCTTCGCCAAATTTCAGCGCTGTCTGGTCGATTTCCCATTCCGCGTCGGCGAGGAGGTTAACGCCCACATGCGGGCTAAACTGGAATACCTTTACGTGAGAAGACACCTTACCCAAGATACCAGCGAGGGTCGTGCTTTTCCAGAAGTCGCGCTATTTGGCGAGCGATGCCCTGCTCGAATTCGATGAGCCGCTTCCTATAAAAGTCATTATTACCTTAAAAGCCGTTACCTTCGCCATCTAATGAGCAAAATGAGGCCGACTAGAAGACATATTGTCCCCAGTACGCTGCTAACGATAATGCCGACCAACCGGAAGTTTGCACCAATCCCAGAAGAGCGAACGACGCCAGGTGTCGTGCTCAAGATTCTCGTTTTAGCCGAAAGGGATACTGGAGATAACCTCATAATAACACCGGTAGTCGACGGTCTTGGGATGATTTCTGTACATCTTCGCATCGGATCAGCCTGACGGTGCCACTCGAGCCGGGTCCGCAACCTGGCGCTCACAACCGAGGGGATCCACGTCGTCTAGAATTAGATAGCGTAAGAAATTTTTCGAGCTCACCTCGATCCGGTATAGCCTAGAGCTGCAATAGGGCCAGGTTTGACTTTCGGTGAAGCTCAACCTAACAACGAGTCGTAGTAGAGCAGAGCGAGAGACAGAGAGACAGAGAGCGAGAGATAGAGTGAGATATAGAGAGCGAGGCAGAGACAGCGAGAGAAAGAGAGAGTGAGTCGTGAGTGAGTGAGCGGGAGCGAGAGAGAGAGCGAGAGATAGGGAGGGAGAGTGGGAGAGAGACGTTGTATGCTCTGTTTAAACCTACAGCAAGCTATCAAATTCGCCATCATCGTTGAGGTAGTACATTGAGTAGCTCAGGATTCCTTGAGTTATGTTTTCGACGGTAAGGAAGAAGTGAATCAGTGGGTCGCCTAAAACACAGAATTCTTCTGGTTAGTAGGCGCCGAGATCGACACCCGTCCGGCAATCAGGCCTCGACGACTACGCTTCAAGGCAAAGCAGGCTTACCAATTTTACAAAAACAAACATAATATTTTAAAAAATCCAAATCACTATCCGAATGGTCTACTTACGCTCAAACCAGTAGCTGTAGCGAAACGTTCCGACAGCCGGGCCAATAGTCGACGGGTAGCCATGGCTGAGCTCGTCTGTATACCTTGTGTCGATACCATTGGTACTGTTCTGTTCAGCTTTACCGGCTCCAGAAAACTTAGCTTACCCTTAGTAACAGATAATTGAAGTGAAACGGCTTGGTCGTGCACGTGATGTCGAAGGTGGCCTTGCCGAAGCGAAGAGTCGCGATGGTGTAGCTCCACAATAGTTCAGGGATCATCGTACGGCCGTCACTGAAAATTACGGTAGGCGGAGTGAGAGAGCGGGGGTGGGATCGGGAAAGAGCGCGAGAGAGAGAGAGAGGGGGGGGAGAGAGGAGAGAAAGTAAGCGCGAGCGAGCAAAAATTACTGCGACAGCGCATGATTAGGGGAAACCTTTGCGTCACCTTTCTCTCGCTTTCTCTCTCTCTCTCTCTCTCTCTCTCGCTCCGGCTCGCAGACTCTTTCGATCTCTCACTCTCCTTCGCACTCTTTCGCACTGTCTCTCTCGCACTCTTTCGCACTGTCTCTCTCGCACTCTCTCTCTATCTCTATCCCTTTCTCTCTCTCTCTCTCTCTCTCTCTCTCTCTCTCTCTCTTTCTCTGGTTCTCTCGGCCTTTCTCTCTCCCACCATGTGAATTTATCCACAAATCGTTTCGAGTCCAACGCATCCTCGATCGATCCGAGATAACCATAAAACACGCAGTCATCCTCATTCTATCAAATTTAATTTTCTTGAGTTTTAAGTACTGTAGAAACCTACCGTATCCCCGCCCAACGGCCTAATCTCGGTGAAGGACACTCGGTTTCCACGAGGTGGCGTTACAAAAGTGTGTATTGTCTCGGCCCCGATTTTGGTAAACGATTGCGGTGGGTGGTAGAGCACCACGTGGGCAATGAGGTCAGGTGGTACTAAAAAATCGTAAAAATCGTAATACGACCGATTATGAATCGATACCTTTAAAAAAAGCATCAGAAAGCACTGTCAACACATAGACATAGTGTAAATATTTGTCAGCCAGTTTGGTAAATTGTACCAATTCGGAAATGGTGATTGGAGGTGTGATATCAGCAACGATTAACGAGACCCCATAGGCTTCGGAAGAAGTCCAGGTGCTAAAAATCAAAAAATGTAACGACCGAAGAGAAAGAGGTAGCGAGAGAGTGAGAGAGAGTGCGACATCGCGAGAGATAGAGACCGAAAGAGACCCAGAGAGACAGCGAGAGCGAGAGAGTGCTAGGGAGAGAGTGAGAGTGAGAGAGGGTAATAGAGAGAGTGCGAGACAGTGCGAAAGAGTGAGAGTGCGATGGAAAGAGGGGGAGAGAGAGAGAGAGAGCTAGTTGGAGCGAAAGAGACCCACTAGGTCTTTGATTCTTCCACTACCACACTGTCGTTGAACTTAAATGGAACGCCTTCAAAGCGTGGTTTCGGATCGTCGAGCGAGCACGACAACCCGATGATAAATCGAAGGCTGCAACCTTCGCATTCTGCCTTGATCGTCATTTTCTGCAATATGCCGTTTGGTAGAAATTATTGGAAACGATACCTTTCCATCTAAACTACTGCGATGATAGGTGGTTGATGGGAAAGTTGGGGTGAGATTGATGTTGATGACAGCCACGGTTATTTCTGAAAGCAGACTTACCTAGGCTTGGCTCGGGTTTTGGCTAAAGCTTCGGCTTACGCCTGAGCTTATGCTTAGGCTTCGGGAGCTCCTGGCCTTCGTCATCTCACCCACCATGTATCGAAAATATCAACCAAAAACGGATCCAAAACATCGACATTTAGAGAGCCTGCGAAACCTTCAAGAACACGAGTATTTGGGAAGGAGTTAAGCCGATGTTTCTCCTTATCAGTGCCAAGTTTGATCGACTGTTACGTTCTTGAGGGTTGCGTGAGCGTTGATCGGTTCCGGTGCTTGATGCTTGCTTTGTAAGCCTAAGCCTAAGTCTGAGCCTACGCCTAATCCCCCAGCCAAGCCCAAGCCCAAACCGAAGCCTAAGCTTCAGCCTAAGCCTAGGCATAAGCCTAAGCAGGCGATGCAATTGAAACTTCTAGAAGACCAACCAATTTATTGCAACAAACAGAATGACAAGAAAATCACAAGCATGCTGGAAATAGAATTTCGGAAAGCAATTTTTGTACTTCTTGATGTTGTTGTGCTAAGGGCGAACTCAACCAGAGGCACGCAGTCGATACCAGGATCTTCATGCCACATCTCCAGCCGAACCATCGCCTTACCATGGGCATGCAGAAAAGGCAGAAAAGTAAGCTGAAAACCGTTAAATGTGATATTTTTGGCCGATACGCGACTTTTTAAGTAGTAGTCGTATTTTTTAGTCGAATTTGATTAATTTAAAAACTATACCCAAATATCATCCACGCCAGCTGCGCAGTAGACCGCCGTGGAGGTGTTGTCGAAGACGTAGCTAAAGTTGGTTTTTAATTGGAAACACCAAAATAACTACAGTCAAATTGACCCCTATGAAATTCCGATGGTGCAAATACTGAAAAATTGGAAGAGAAGTCGGAAACGCGACAACGGAAAATTTCGCCGGGCCGGGCCAGGCCGGGCAAGCCAAGAATCGTAAAATTCCCGGATTTTGCGGATCGAAATTTCAAGTGTCGGCATTTGGACCGTCGGTATGTGCATTTATTTATGGTCGGGGTTTCAGTTAAAAAACATCCCTACCTATTTTTACCCGGTTCAAGCACGTTCTGCTCGCCAATGTCCAGCCAAAGCTGCCCGTTTTTGAACTTCAGCACAGTGACGGTCAGGAAGCGACCTAAAGGTATCGTCCCTTTAAGCCTATCCCTTTCAGGTGCACCTCCGGAAACTCGCCTCCAACCCAATGTTTCTGTCGCATCGCCGTGTCGTCAATGATCGGATAGTAGCGACTCAGAAATTCCTTGTACTGAACCTCACCGGGCAGGGTGGAGATGTTCTAGGCGGTTGACGGACATTGTAGCTGAATCTCTCGTGCTCTTTCTCACTCGCTCTCGCTCTCCCTCTCTCTCGCTCTCTTACTGCTTACCGAATCTTCGAGCTCCTGCGCGTCAGCGTTGGCCGTCACGACGATGTCGTACAAACAGCTATCGAAAACTATCCTGATGGATGGTCGTTGCCAATTCTGGTCCCATAAAACACGTTGTGGGCTTCTGCAATGGATTTGCTTGAGAAAGAACCAGAGAGGAAGAGGGAGAGAACAGAGAGAGAGAGAGAGAGAGAGAGAGAGAGAGAGAGAGAGAGAGAGAGAGAGAGAGAGAGAGAGAGAGAGAGAGAGAGAGGGAGAGGGAGAGCAGGTGACGGAGAAAATCACACATTTCATAGTTGTTGATGAAAAGCTGATCCGGGGAAGTTTTAGTCGAAAGGCCGGCGTAGGCTTCAAACTTGCAGTTGGCACCTGTCTGAACGAAGTTAGGCTTAGGCTTAGGCTTAGGCTCAGGCCTAGGCTTATGTTGAGGCTTGAGCTTAGGTTTCGGCTTAGGCTTTGGCTTAGGCTTAAATCACCAACATTTCCACCCGCCAACGTCGCCTGCATAAATGCCAAAGAACTCAAGGCCCGGCTGATGAAGTAGTGAACATCTCCAGCCCCGATTCCTTGAAGGTGTTGCGGATCCGGAACTGCTAGCACCGCGTGCACCAGGATATTTGGTGGAACTTAGTACTGACGTTGGACACAAAATTTCTCTTACTTTTATAGTAATATTCCGACGTCACCGTAAATGCGTAGCTGTAGTTGGACCAGGTATGGGTTAAGGTCTTGAATTCCGACGTCTCATGCAGGGTCAATGGATTCGGGAGGTCCCGGGCTCGCAGCGAGGTTCCGTACGACAACTTTGATGTCCAGGTGCTGTAATTGTTAGGTATAAGTCTTTTTACGTTTGAAAAAATGGACTTAAGATCTACCAACGTTTGTATTTAGGCACTTTTTACGTCTAAATTCAAGGTTGTGAAATTTTTGCAACGTTAGACGACCCACTATAACAATCGATCGTGGTCTAGTTGATTTCCGAACATTGTGAACGGCATTTTTTCAAAGAGCGGAGATCCGAGACCAATTGGACCTTGGAGGCCGACGTCGAGGCGTAACTTGCACTTTGAGCCGCAGTCGGCGTGGATGGTGTAATTCTGAAGGTGTGCTAAGCCCTAGTCTTAGGCTTCAGCTTAGGCTTAGGTTTAGGCTTGCTTAGGCTTAGGCTTAGGCTTAGGCTTAGACTTAGGCTTAGGCTTAGGCTTAGGCTTAGGCTTAGGCTTAGGCTTAATCTTCTGCATATGCTTAGGCTTAGTTTTAAGCTTAAGTTCAGGCTTGGGCCTAACTAACCTTTATGCTCGTAAAATGCGACCTTGTCATGCCAACCGTCGGTACCTCAGCAGTCAACTTATCCGTGCACGGTGTTGCAGAATTTACTAAATTAGCATGATCGGTTTTTGTCTTTTTTTCGGGGGCTGATTTTGTACCTGTTCTCAGAAGATCCCAACATAAGATTAAGCCGGCAAAAAGCATCAGAACTCGGGGTGAGGATCGGGTACAATCACACAACTGCGAGAAGCGGTCTTTCCGCATTTCTCCAGCTTACAGGACCGGACTTATCGATAAGCGCGCCGGGGTGTTTGATTTTCAGGGTAGAAACAGTCATTTCAGGAACTTTGCTTTAAGGTTTATAAAAATTAAGGGATCAAAAATCCGAAACTTGGCATGTGCGTTGGATTTGGCCGGGGGATTACTGTAGAGCTAGGTCGCATTTTATGAAAACATGGAGCATGGATTATACATCGCAAATCTGGAGTGCTGTACGTGGAGGTGTAACGTTCCGATAGTACGCTGGAGTACGCCGTACTACTCGAACAATTATGATGGCGGCAAAGTTTGAAAGAAAACCGACGGATAGGTAGTTTCAATTTTCTTCACTCTCTTTCTCTGTCCCTCTTTCTCTCTCTCTTTCTCTTTCTCTCTCTTTCTCTCTCTCTCTCTCTCTCTCTCGCTCTCCCCTGGGAATTCAAAATAAAAATATTTTTGCTCGCTTTCCACAAATTATTTTTCTGGAGATCTAATTGGGAATGACAAACCCTTCCCCAAAATGCAGTTTTTAATTTTTAAATCTGAAAGACTTCCAAAATTCTGTTTAGTGTGTCCTGAAATACCTCATCCCATTAGTGCAGTGAACAATACAGCGAAATACTACTTGCTCCTTTTTACGCACCCAGACGGGCCGCAGAATATTGCTAGACTTTTTCTTATACCACGAATGTGGTGCGGCCTGATGGCGCATCAAATTTTCCGCCCCATGACTCCATTCAGCCCGAGACAACGGGAATTACGGTAGCACCAGGGCCCCGGGACCAGCCTATATAAACCACTGATAATCTTCTAGGCAATGAAAAAGATTGGTATTGATATCGAGGTACTTCTGACAAATTTTCGGATTATTTTGGGTACGATCCCGGGCGGACCGATTTTTTTTATTTTTTGAGGGTTGACTGTAGGTTGAAGGATTCGAAAATATGTTCATCTTGCAGAGAAAAATATTGTCTTTTTGGTAGTATTCTCAGTTTAATAATAAAGGTATTTGATTAAATAAGATTTCTAAAAGCAGATTTTCGACCTTTCGAACTGCTTTTTCGCGATTTTCCGATTAGGTGGATCTTGTAGCGCAAACAATTGTCTAATCGTCTACGTTGCACTACCATCCGCAAACCATCACCTCTCATTTTTCGCACTGCCCTACGCTACGTTTCGCCCCATTCCGTTGCGTTCCGTTACGTTCCGTTACGCTCCGTTACATCCCGTTTCGTTGTACATCTTCCTTCTTTCCAAAAATTCGTTTCAGGGTAGCATCGAGAATGCTCAAAAATCACTTGGTGTATCTGAATGGGGCCCTTGGAGCGGGGATAAATATACTCCTAATGTACTTCATCATCACTGATCACCAGGTATGATCATCATCATCAAGTTTTTGGGGCATATTCGGCAGCAGAATGTGGAAATACAACATACATTACGTACTGTAGCCTTAGCAAGCAAAATTATCAACAAAATTACATAAATTTTCCTAGGGCAAGACAAAAAATTATCGCTATATGCTGGGGCTGATCACGCTGTATAACATATACTACAGCATCGCTTTATGCGTCATCGACATGGTAGGTTACGGTAGCGAGGCGAGGAGAGAGTTAGAGGAGAGAGGGAGAGAGAGAAAGAGAGAGAAAGAGAGAGCGAGAGAGAAAGAGAACGAGAGGGAGACGCAGACTTCATTGTGTTGTAGATCCTCCTCATCGACGACCGTGGTTTCCTAATGTTTAGCGCCAACTTTGCGCCCTACGGCTGGTGGCCATCCTACCTAGCCTCATTGGTAATCTTTACAGACCTAATTATTGATTTTTAATTTCCATTTCCAGGTCTACGTCGACAATTTTACTGTATCCCTGGCGCTCCTCACTGTGCATTGCTTGTATCGATATGTGAAGATCACGGGGTGAGATAGAGAGAGAGAGAGAGAGCGAGAGAGAGAAAGAGAGAGAGAGAGCGAGCGAGAGAGAGAGGGAGAGAGAGAGAGAGAAAGAATAAGATTTTCAGCAATCTGAAATTCCTCTTCGACACCCCGTTGGCCATTTTCGGGGTTACCGTAGTCAGCCTTGGCTCTGGGATCGTCTGGCTGCTATTCTGCGCTCTTTCAATGTCGGTAGGTGCCTTTTTTAAGGTTTCTAGAGCGTTCAATATGTAAAATCTGTCTTGATAACCCCCGAAACCCCAATTTTCTCTTCCAGCCAAGCTACGAGCGTTCGGAGTACAGCCGCGCAATCATCTGGGAAATGCACAGCATCGACACAAGGGAACTCGGCTATTTGGGGCCGATCTATTTGGTAGCTACCGTAGGCCAGAAACGAGCATGAGAGTTGTTTTAGTATCCAGACGCGACTGGTGTTGACCGGGTCCTATGGAAAAATTTCATTGGATCGGCTGGTTGTATGCTGATCATGGTCAGCCTCTACACGGCGATCTGGGTGTTTGGGATACGACTGTAAGTATCGGAGTGTATCGGAATGTAGCGAAGTACAACGGAAACCCGCTAAAGTCAAAAATTGTGATATTTATCCAAATTGAACGTAATGTGGCGGCGTTTCTTGAAATCTAACGCAGCGTATCGGAATTTAACGGAAATCGACGAGAAACCTGAAATTTCAGATTCTTCTTCATCCGAGGCTCCCTCGTTAGTGCTCAGACGAAAAAGATACAGCTTCAATTGATGCAGTTGTTGGTAATTCAGGTAACTTATCAGCGAAATCAATTTATCCCAAATTTTAGGCCACAGTACCACTGATTTTCGAGTACGCGCCATGCCTTATGTGCGTTTGGGGAGGATATATCGGTCCGGCGGTTTTCTCTCTCTCTCATTCTGTCTGTCTCGCTCTCTCTCTCTCTCTCTAGCTCACTAACGTTGTTTTTTAAGGAATCCCCTTCACAAAAGAATACTCATTGTACGGCATGGTCTTCATCTCAGCCTATGCCCCTGTTGATGCCATTTCCAGTATCGTTGGATTTCCGGTAAAAAGCGTATTTCTGGAATTTGGGAACATACTAAAATGGAAATCTAAGAGGCAGCTAGCAAAGATCTTTCGTGAATTGCCATTTACCTCGATACGTTCAGATTTATCGCCGACGTCTTCTGAAATGTGCTCGAAGGAGAAAAATCTACTCCACCGGGGGCACCACGATGAAGAGCTCAAATGACAGCGCTGCCTAATTTCAAAAGTCTAAAATATAATTTGTTAAGATAAAAATAGATAAAAATACTCTTAAGACGATTATACTATTCAAAATATATTTGAATAGTATAAATAGTATACTATAAATAGTATAATAGTATAAATCTAATTTTCTTTGCGTATTTTCATCGACCTCTAAAGTCTTAGTCAGCACTCGTCAAAATTTCCATTTTTAAGGTTCAAAAACTTGGGTTTTGGGAACAATTACATGTGTTTCTTATATTTATACAATTAAAAATGTACATTATACCATATATCAATATGGTTTAAATTAAGTTTTTCGTCTTTCATCGAACTCTCGCCATTAAAAGTGAATTATCCCCCGCCATCGAGTGTGAATAGGGCAATAGACGATCCATAAAGCTCGAGGTAACTCAAATATATAAATTTTAATAGAAAAACGTAAAACTTACCTATTCCAATCAAAATCAATAGGAAATACAGAGAAAGAAGCATGTAGCTGATCATGTTTTCGAAAAAAAAACGGGATTTTGTGGAGTAAGAGTCGGAATTGAGGGTGATTTAGGGTTGTTTTGTCGGAATCGAAACGGCGGGGCGGAGATGATATTGGCGAACTTGCGTGACGAAAGATTGGGGATTTTTGGTCAAAGAAAAATATGAAATTGAGGCGTTTATGTTGTATCACACGTAAAACGTATCCCTTTAAAATCGAAAAATCATGAAAAAATTGTTTTAACCTGTTAAAATCGCAATTACACGTAACAAACTACTATAAAAATGTTCTTCTAATTCTTAACACAGTAATGATGATCGCTGAACCATAAAAAGTCTCGAAATTTTGTCAGAATGTGGCAAAAACCGCTTAATTTCTTAATGAAACTACGGGTTCTTTTCCGTCAGCGTTTTTCCACTAAAATACGGCTACAAAAAAGCAATGAAAAACCTATTGATTTAGAATGCAAAGATATTTTGAAAGGGACGAATTTAAATGCGGAATCGATAAAAAAATTAGCTACAAAGCTGAAATATGACAACGGCCTACCAATTTTTTTCGCACTAACTAGCGTAAATACCCCGAAAAACCGATTACGACATTTATTTTGGCTCGGCAAAACTGAGAAATATGGTAAGAGATATCGGTTTTAATATTACTGAAATTGCGAATCATCCTTTCTCAAAAAAAACCGATTACGACATCTATTTTAGCTTATCTTCAACTAGTTAAATTAAACCAGTAGTTTAATTAAGTTCTACAAAACGGAGAGAATTAATATATGCTGTATTTCCTGCTTTATAATATTATTTAGCATATTAAATTTCAGACCTGGAGAAAATATACTTTTTACAAGATTTCCAGACCTTCGCACAACCCGCCTACCCCATTGTTTTGGGCTTATCTTGGAGCGGGCTCTGGGGGCCAGGCGCGAAAACAACCCTCCCCTGGCGCCCCTCTCCCTCTTGACCCGTCCCCCGCGCTCTCTCCCCAGTGCCGCATTAGCTCAGTTGGTAGAGCGTCAGACTTTTAATCTGAATGTCAGGGGTTCGAGCCCCCTATGCGGCTAATCCCTTTTTGCTTTTTTGCCGAATTGTGAGATCGGTTAGAATTTGATTGAAAACGACGTTTTTATCGTTTTTAGAGGAAGTGGTGGTAGCTAATGCATGATTTTCCCGGTAAAGCATAGCCAACCGATTTTTAAGGTTTTTCCATGCTTTGTCGGAGTGGTTATTGCTTTTTGTGACGATTTATCGTTGCCAAAAACCGATTTTAAGTGATTTCCGATCAGTAAAAACTAGTTTTAACGGGTCTATACTTTTTTCAATTGCACATTTAGTTCTTTTCATGGCTTGAGGAAGTTTCTATACATTTTTAGGCCTATACGCTGAATGCTCGTCGACGCTTAGAAGTTAAAATGAGCATTTTACAACCATTTTAAGCCCAAATTTTTGATTTAAGGTATAGTTTACAATAATTTAACAGAGCAACTTGCATTTCTAGCTGTTTCGACCTGGAAATTCTAATTTTGTAATTTCTAGAGCCAGGGAAATGTGGCTAACGCTCGAAAACTAAAATTTTTTCTTTAATTCACGTTCAAAGCTCTAAAAACTAGATTTTTCCAGGATCTCTGGAACTTTCTCCGCTCTCCCGCAACATCATTGCACAATTTTGCAGCACCCGGCCGCCAATCCGGCTATCCGACCCGGGCCTGATAGCTCAGGCTACATAAAAACGGAAGAAGCCGGAGCAGGAGGAGGAGACGGGCCGGCTACCCCGCCTCTTTCGTCTTAAAATAAATATATCAAAATCGGGGATCGCATTTGATTCCTCTCCTAATGTTTGTTCTCCCTCTCAACGGGCCCGGGTCATCTGGGGCTTTGGGCCCTCTGTCTTGGAAAAGGATAATTTTGGGGGTAACTGGGCCGGAAAGTAGGATTCCCCCGGCATGAAAGATCAACCGCAAGTTCGTGATATATCAGACTTTGGTCCCGTCGAGACGGAATCGAGCGCCTTACTTCGGTCTTTTGAACTGTCAGCTAGGGTTGCACATTTCGGCCCTTTTTCGAACTTGCTTAGATTTCTCAGAATTCCAGTCATTTTTCCTAAAAATCATTTTTCCTAAATTCATTTTTCCTAAATTCATTTTTCCTAAAGTTCATTTTTCCTAAAACCGGTTAAATACCGTAAAGGCCTAGTTCTTTAGTACTATGCATGCGAAAATAGAAAATTTTTTAGAATAAGGTCAGATCTGCCCAGTGAGATCATAGGAAGTATTTTAGTTGCGCGTTTAGCCTAGATTTGGGTGATTGGAAGTGAAAAGGATCAATTATAATAAGAAAGATTTTCGATAAAAGCCTACTAATAACCAAACCAAACAAATACTGCTAAAAATGATAGCATTTGGAATTTCTTCATATTTTTACGCAATCCTATTGAATGAAAAATTTTAAGAAAAATGAACTTTAGGAAAAATGATTTTTAGGAAAAATGATTTTTAGGAAAAATGACTTTTAGGAAAAATGATTTTTAGGAAAAATGAATTTAGGAAAAATGATTTTTAGGAAAATGAACATAACCCGATTTCTCAATATATTTTAAGACATGTAAATTGTTAAAATTGGCCCGTTCCATCTGCTGGATATCAGCAGCAACGCGCTAGATCGAAAACTAGTCTGAATATCGCTTAATAAAGTAAAAACAGTATGATTAATGAGTTCAAACTTTTAAAAAATGCGTTTTACCATTTTCCTGAAACTTTTTCTTAGTCCAGTTAATGGAAAGCGTTGATTTTGACGTTTTCTAGCAGCATCTTCTAACGTTTTGTCAGGCTTTTATAGGGAGCCTGCGGCACCATTTTGTTTTTGCATTAGCTTTGTAGTTTGATAATTTTAGTTTGGGGCACCCATTTCTGGAAGCCAGAAAGTAATAGAATAATTCAATCTTTCAAGGTTTACTCTGATAGGTTCCAACCCCATTTCTTTCCTTTCCTTCCCTTTTTTCGGAATTGTAGAACAACATTAAAAATATTTCAGCAAATGTCTGAAGCCGAGATAATCGATATTCCAACAGCGGAACACTGGAAGCAATGGAAACAATTAATTACAGCGGTAGGCTTGTTTTTTGATTTTTTTTAAGCATTACACCGCATTCAGGAAGGCTGGTGCGGGTTCGATGACACGATGCTAACGCTCTTTCCAATATCAGAGAATGTAAAAATGGTAGTAGCTGTTGATAGTACAGGTTTGTAGCTTGTAATACTTTTGCAAAAACAAAGAATAAAGATGTCATCTAGATTCTCAGGAAACAAAACTCGTAAAAAACTAAATGTTCATTTTAGACAAATCCTTCCTCGGCTCGATAGTGTGGGCAGAAAACGACGATCTCATTTGCATTGATACCTATTACGTGGTAACTTTTCAGCTCCGAAATTCCTTTTACCAAATTAAAGCGTTAAAGTTGGTTGCCATTCAAACGACGATCAAAAATTACAAATATAAATTTAGAAAGCAAGTAGTCGAGGCCGAGGGGTCGGGCGAAAAATGTGGAAACGAATGAAGGAGCGGCTCGACCTGAAAAAACCGATGATGCTCAAGGCAGGTCAGCCGAATTTGCATTCAATTTTTTTAGTGAATTGTATTTACCATTTTTTCATAGAGGTTGCCTAAAAAAATAGTAAATTAGTCAATCAAAAGTTTTTAGAAGACAACATGAAAGCCAAGTACATGTCTGAGGAATTCCCATGTTTGGGCCCCGCGCAAACTTGTGTCGAGCCGAGGAAGGAGCAGCTTTTGGTAGGCGTTGACGAATTTTACGAGATTGCTAGCTCTAATAACCCCCATGTTATTAATTTATATACCTAAATTACCTAAATCTGATATTTTAGTTATTTCCAGGAGGCTGCTCGAAGGCTACAAAGTGCAACGATCGAGAAATCGGAAGAGCTACGCTACGTATCAGTCCAGAAACTTAACGGCATCGATCTAGAGGCGTTCTATCATTTTGATAGAAAGGTGGGTTGTAAATAAAAAATATATCCTTAGAAACTTTTTTTATAAATGGATTCGAAACCCTCCAGGCCAACCCATGAATCCACTAGATCTAGACAACTACGTAAAATACCAACAATCGCCTTTATTTTAACTTTTCCTGTATTCTTCAGCAAAAAAACTAGGCAAAATTTATGCTGAACCGAGATTCTTCCTAAGTTTTGCTGGAGTTTTGCTCAACTGTCGAGGCCTAGTGGATAGAAAGGGTGGATTCTCGCCTTTCCTAGCCCCTTAAAAGCGCATGGTTGTCCTAAAACTACCATTTTCCAGGCAACCGGCCGACAACGCCGAAAACTGCTCGATGCCCTCTTCAAATTACCTTGCGTAACCGGTGGCGTGCTGTTGAACGAGCTCGGGAAGGTGGTCGGCTTCTCGATGCTCGCCACAGCAATTCCGGAAGGGACTTACAAATTGGCGCCCCTGTATGCTGAAGATGATAATGTAGCTGGGAGGTTAATCGAGGAGATGATGAGTGAGTATTTCATTATCTCTCTATCTCTCTCTCGCTCTCTCTCTCTCTTTCGCTCTCTCTCACTCTCTCTCTCCGCTCTCTCTCGCTCTCTCTCTCTCTCTCTTTTCTCTCATTCTCACCTTTATTCAACACCGAGAATTATGCGAATTTCAGGCGACGTCGATTCTGGAGACCACGTCATCCAGTTGCATATCCCAGAAGGGTGTAGGGGCCATTCTGGACTACAACCCCTGTTTGAGGAGCTCGGCGTACTAGTCGAATTCGACTCAACGGCCCTCTACTCCCAACAGTACAAAAATCCCACGAATCTCGGCCTCCTGTATGTGAACCACGATAATTTCATGCATTTTGATTTGTGAATCGATCGAAAAATGGAAGTTGAAACAAAGTGAGAGAGAGTGAGAGAGTGAAAGAGATAGGAGAGAGGAGAGAAGAGAGAGGAGAGAAAGAGGTGGTAGGAATGAAATCGGGACACAATTTTTTTTTGAATACAACTTTATGGAATTTCGATGGTTTGCGAAGCTCGAACTCGAATGAAAATGCAGCGGCATTTAATGCCATATTTTGTTAAATACCTTTATCAAAAACGCAGCTTTCACATTGACGCCTGAACGGGGACATTGATGACCGGTGCGTCGAAACCGGGAGCTGGAGCTGGAGCTTCGGCTGTGTCGCTCTTCAGAAATAAATATATTAAGCTTCGGGTTGTCAAAGTATTTTTCTGCTTCTATGCATTGAAGAGGAATTCTGGAATTAATCGTAAAATAAGCCCACTGCTGCGGTATCGGCCGCGGAAGGGCCAGCAGCGTCCAAGGTTGCGGTATCCGCAGCTTCCGAAGCAGGTGCAGGAGCAGGAGGAGGTGGCGAAGGTGGCGCTTGCTTCGGAGTAAGGGCATTCTGAATTTATGATACAAACTCTAAGTCGCCACCTACCTTTCCCTGGATCCATCGCTTAACCCTAGATGGTTGTTGGTTTCTCTGCGCCGCTAAACTGAAGTTGGAACTTTCAAGAGAGTCAAGAAAACATTTTTAAAGGACTTAAAAAGACATGGTCTTTTTTTTCCCTTGATTCTAGACAAAAACTTTCTTACCTGGCCCGCCGGAAATTTGGATTCCAGGCAGCCACTTTGTGTCCTCCGAGCTGGCGGCGATAGCTGAAAATTGGGTGCCCTTTTTTGGTTCATCTTTCGTGCTTCATACATTTTTACCAAAAAGTCAAAAATTCTCAAAAATGTTGTATTGTTTTTATATCTAAAAACTATGTAAAATGCCATAAAAATGGTTTATATTTTGGCCTAGAGCCGTGGAGAATTACAGGAAAAAAAAACGTTGGTCCCGCTCCGCTAACAATCCAGAACCGTAATTTGTTATTTTATTAGAGCCCTTTAACAAAACAACAAAATTAAGTTAAGCGACTTACACAGGACGGCCGTGAAAATCGTGCATAGTAGCGTTCGGAAACTGAGAGAAATGGTTTGCATTCTGCAGGAAAACCTCCAGGATGGACTTTTCAGAATCGAGTACCCAAAATTATTCCAAAAGCTTCCAAAATTTCCAATATTCCTGCAAAAGTCGTGTGAAATTCCCATAATTCAAATTCCAATCTTTTTTGCATTTCTGCAACAATCTATATAAAACGGAAACTGCCCAAAAACAGATGTTACAGTCCGTAGTGCCTTAAGCTAATTATGAGAACCGGTCCTTGCGTAAAACCAGCCCTCGCCTAAGCCCTAAGCCCTAGTCTAGCCTAAATCTAAAAACAAAAAAATTTAAAAATTAAAATGCCTTCCACTATACCGTAACCCGAGCGGCAAATCGGGGCACTTTAGGTGCTCGAAGGCGATGGAGAGAATGTCCAAGTATTCGGCCGTATCCTTGCTATTCCTGTTTTATTCTTATTCCGGACACCAGCTATCATTTTTACATTGGTTCCGGAAACTAGCAGTCTTCATTGCTGGCACCGTCCCTTTAAAAGGGGTGAGTAAACTCTTGTTTTTTGAGAGCTGATGTGCGCATGGGAGATTTAGAGAAAGAGGGAGAGAGAGAGAGAGAGAGAGAGAGAGAGAGAGAGAGAGAGAGAGGGAGAGAGAACGAGCCTTCTTGGCTCCATTTTTATAGATATTTCTCAATTCTGCATTCAAGTACGAGGGTCGCATGGGCCAATTTTGATCCCAGATGGAGCTGATTCCCTAGGAATCTTTGCTAGCTTCCCAGCTTGCCGTGCACCTAGCCTGGCTGCTATTTTCTGGGTTGGTGCTGCCCTCTCAGATGTGTTTTTAAGTTTTTATCCGGCCACGGCGAATTTGAAAGATATAGAGAGAGTGAGGTAGAGAGAGAAAGAGAGAGCGAGAGAGAGAGAGAGAGAGAGCGCGAGAGCGAGATAGGGAGAGCGCAATAAAGGTGCGCAAGGGAGTCAGAGAGCAAGAGAAACATCCGCGAAGAGGGCATACTTTCGAAGAAAACGTACGAGCCGCCAAAAAAACTCCAAACTCGCGTCTTCACGCCGGAAAAGCGCTTCCACGACGTAACTTCAAAGAGTTGGAGCGGTTGGAGCCATCCATAGTTGACTTTTGCCTACGCGATGCTACGCTGCGAGACAATTTTCTTCTACTATCGCTTCTGCTGCAAATTCGCGTATTTTTCCGTGTCCTAAGAGAGAGACAAAACTCATACTTCAGCCCTCGTCTCTTTCTTTTAGACGTCTCCAAGCACCCGCCATTTCCGATGGGAACCTCCCGGCGCGTGCAGAGTAATAAAATGGAACCGTTTATGGCAGGGAACGGGTCTGAAATTTGCGTATAAATAGAAATCCTGAATCTCAGATGAATAACTCGGAATCCATCCCCTGAAGATGTACAAGGCACTCCTCGTCTGCGCCCTCCTCTGCCTCGCCGTCTTCGCTGAGGTTGGTTTGAAAAGAATGGTAAAATCGTTAGTGAAATTACAAACTTTATGACGATTTTTCAGCTCGTTTTAGAGTGGATTTTGATATAAAAATCCCAGTTGTTCAAAAAAGAATGAGAAAAGTTGGAAGTTACCGAATTTGGTGACTACTAAAAGAAGTAGTTTGCTATAAAAAGAAGCTTTTTATCGTATTTGTTGCAAGAATTTTTTAATAAAGGATAAATTTCTTATAATGAGAAAATAAAAATTCGAGCTAAAAACATTTGTTTTTTAGGATGCCGCCGACGCCCCGGTGGAGTCAGCCGTGACGCGCCCACACCATGGGGTGGGCATTTTCTTATTTATTTAAATCGTAAACCTCAAATAAGAAAATATCATACGATTATCTTTACCAAGCGTTAATAAGCGAGAAAATTGGAAAATTTAGACACCTAGAAAACAAGTTTTTTCAGACCCATGGCCCGCACCGCGACCACACCGGAGGACATCACTCTGGAGTCACTGGGGTTGGTGAGAGAGGGAGAGAGAGATCGAGAGAGAAAAAGAGAGAGAGAGAGAGAGAGAGAGAGAGAGAGAAGAGACAGAATCCTTTCTAAATTCTAATTTCAGTTCCGATCTGGCAGCCGAGGACCGAAGGGCCATAAGGGAACCAAGGGGCCGAAGGGATCCGGCTTCACCAAGGGACACAGCAAGGGATTGAAGAAGGCTGTAAGTGAGAGAGAGAGAGAGAAAGAGAGAGAGAGAGATAGAGAGACAGAGAGAAATATTTTGATTCCTAGCTATCGCCAAATTTCTTCTTTTAGCACAAGAACACCAAGGCGCCATCAGCTTAAAAAACTCTCCGAGGAATGGTCAGTTTTGGAATAAACTATTTTTTCCAAATGATTTTTTGGGATCCAGCACGTCAAATACACACAAAAACAGGGGTTGCGTCAATAAAAAAGGCAGGGGATTCCAGGAAAATCCTGCTGGTTGTTTGGGCTATTTTTGGGCACCATATTTGCCAACCAACATGCGACGCGACTGTTTACGCCCTAAAATGGCCAACTTTTCAAATCCAGTTTGCGCACACTTACGAGTCGAACCCGTTTTGCGAATATGACGATTGGTTTTCATAGAGGAAGATGATGTACTACTGTAGAATTTCACAAAATTTCGTAAGTCGTAAATTATTTCGTGGTCGCGGTTTTTGGATCCGTCCTCTCTACAAAAAGGCAATTTTAAGCTATTTTCGCTGCCTTGTCGTTACAAAATACTTTTTCAGAATCTTTCATTCCTTTTATAACTATTGTAATATCTTACTGCAAAAAAATGAAAATTCGAATGGTTTAAAAACGGAATTCCTTATTTTTCCAGACCCTTAACAGTACCAGAAAATTCTAGAACCCTGAATTCCGTTCAGCACCTAGCTACCGTTCAATGATCGCCCCTCCGCTTCATCATAAAAAACCTCGAAAAACCGGCGGTTTACACATGGTCGTAAAAACAGGATTTGACGTGGGGTGTTTGTATCGGAATACTCGTTTGTTTCTCTGTCTACTATGTGGCCGGCTAAAAAGTGCCCTCGCCAATTATCGGGGTGGTGGGCCGTTACTACGGTCTGGGGGCCAAAACTGGCCTTGTTTTTGTCTGTTTCTCTCTCCCACGCTCTCTCTCTCTCGCGCTCTCTCTATCTCTATCTCCACCTCTCTCTCTATCTCTCGCTCTCTCGCCAACCCATTGTTTTGGGGGCGCCGTTTAGACTGCGCGAAAACAGGCGCGGATACGTGAACTTTCCTGCCGGAATCCCGGTAACGAGGGGGCGGGGCTTGTTTTGAGAGGTTTTTAGGGTGAAGCCCTGCGTATATATTTACCGGGCTGCTCATTTTGAAGGTCAGAAGCCCTGGGGGAAGCCCTGCAATTGGATTATTTAAGACGGCCGAAAAATCTTATCTTTTAAGATATTGCTTTGAAAATCGCGCTTTCTATCTGTCGCTCTCCCCTCTCTCTTGCTATCTCGCTTTCTCTCGCGCTTTCATTTGCTTTTTGATCTCTCTATCTCTCACTCTCTCTCGCTGTCGCCTGGCTCTTTCTTTCTATCGCTTCATCTTTCTCTCTTTTTCTCTCTGCCTCTCGCTCTCTCTCTCGTTCTCACGATCTGTTTCTCTCTTTGGCTAGAATTTCTCTGCTGGATCGCTCTAAATTTTTATGCTAATTTTTTGTTCGTAGCAGCCTCGCGCCCGCAAACTGTTTCTGCTAGCTTGCCCTACAGTATCCCGCCTTTTTCAGCATCCCACAGTACCAAAGCCTAAAATGCGCACCCTTTCCTGTCTCCTGCTCCTCGCCGCGACCGTATCCGCCCACGAGCACGAGCGTCATCACAGCAAGAAATTCCGAAGCACTACGTTACTGGCTAGGGTCAGGCGACAGGTAAGTATTTTATTTTCGTCGTACTACTTTAAATCCACCAGGCGGACGTATTTTTTTCTCTAGCGAAAACTAGAGCTACCGTATTATCGGACAAAAGCGCATTTTTCAAATTTTAGGCCGATACCAACACCGAGCCAGGTTGCATGGGATTGACGGTGCAAAACGGCAACGTTAATTACATCCAAGGTAAGTGGAAATTGAAAATTACTCTAAAAAGACTCCTACAGTACCTCTAAAAATTCATTCAGAATTGTATCGATTCAGTTTATGAAATATTAAGAAAAAAACTGTCATGACGAATTTTTCTCGCTCTACAGTATCCCTTCAGGAAACCCCCAGAAGGAGATGGCATCCGGAACAAGCGCCACAGCCACCTGCAATCTTGGCTTTGTACCATCTGGAACCATGACAGTAACCTGTCAGAATGGAGCGTGGACCCCACAGATTGGTAAGAATTTTTGGTGTACTGTAATACGCATTTTATAACCGTACATTAGCGTATTCAAATCAACAGCTCTCGTGCTCCTTTCAAAGGCTATTTTCAGGCACCTGTAACGCGGCTGGCGCTGGCGCCCCGGGCACCAGCGGCGTTGGCGGTAACGTTGGAGCAACCGGGGTCTCAACCTCACCACTAGGTGTCCCTTCGAATCCTGCGGCTCCCGGAGCCCCTGGCGCCAATGGTAGTGAGTTTCAGATAGATTGGATAACACCGAGTAGCTAAAAAAAGGCTTGAACTGCTTGAACAAGTTGGCTTGGGTTGGTGAGGTTTTGGCTTAGCGTAGTCTTCGCTTGGGCTTAATTTTGGCTGAGGCTCAGGCTTAGACTCAGGCTTAGGTTTAGGCCTAGGCTCAGGCCTGCACTTAGGCTTAGGCTTAGTCCTCGGGTTCGGCGGTGGCTTAGGCCTAGGTTTGGGCTCAACTTTTGGCTTTGTAGGAGTAGGCTTGCGTTTAAGGTTTAGCTTCGTCTTAGGCTTAGCTTAGGCTTATCAGCTTGATTTTTTCAGCCGGTCTGCAATGCCTGGAGATGCTTCAGCCCCTTAATGGTGTCATCAGCTATGGAGGCGGCACCGGAACGACCGGAAGTGTCGGAACTGTTGGAACTTCTGTGCCTGGCACTGGAGCTGGAACTCCTCCTGCCGGGACCGGAACCGCACCCGGAACCGGTAAGTTTTTTGACGTCTGGTTCCCTCTCTCACTCTCTCTCTTCCTCTCTCTCGCTCGCCTTCTCTCTCGCTCTCTCTCGCTTCAAAACCTTTTTTCAGCCCCGGCAACCCCCGGAGGGATGCACGCTAGCGGCTCGACGGCCACTCTTACATGCAATCCGCAATTCGTAGCTAGTGGTAAGTAAAGTTAAGTGAAGTACTTTGAAATGACAGTTGGAGCGAGCGCCTAAAGGTTTTTACCCAGGATTACTGTACCATTTCCAGGCGAGACCACAGCCACCTGCAACAATGGCGTCTGGAACCCGCCTACAGTAGGCAAGTTTTTTTGAAAAATTTTAGGTTTCTACGGGATACTGTAGTAAAAATACTTAATTTGCTATAATCCTAGCGTAATTCGCAAATGTGAAAATTCCACCTACCTAGTATTTTGTAGTTAAATAGCGCAGAAACATGAAAATTGCCATGAGAGTTATACGGTAGCAAAAATGGCCAGTCCGAAAGCCGGTTTATTTGTAGAAAAA